CCTTCGGTCGGTGGTTCCCCACCCCTGTAAGAAACCCTCCAGCTTGGTCCCAAAATGAATTAGAAGTCAATTCATCCAGCACAGAATTGATTCCCAGCAACCTCCAGGATGTGGGCTCTGCCATTCTGCACTCGCAGGAGCCTGACCACCTTAGCGGTTCCCTTCAGTTTAGATGCACTCTGCTCACTTTCTGTGTCCTTCTTTTCTCCAGATCTTGAAGCTGTTCTGCCCAGCTGCCCCTCCTCGAGGAAAGCAAGTGAGAAAACAACAGTTTATTAAAAGCTGTGGCTTGCTCTCCACTCTCCCATCCCTGAAGACTTGTGTTTTCGGCTGGACTGTTTAAAAGCAAGGTCTCCAGAGGAGATTATTTCATTTACAACGGAGGACGTGTGCCAGCGATGGAAAAAAAACTCTGGCTTTTCTCACAACAAATCCGAAAGACTTTTCATTTGAGGGAGTGGAGGATACCCTTAAGTGCTCAGCAGTTGATGTGGCGTCATGTCTCAACTGTTGGGTTTGGGTGTGCGACTCCTGAATTCAGATCCTCATCTAATAGTGAAAATACATAAGTGGATGACCTTGGGCACATTGCTCGCTATGTATCTGACCCACCTCACATGGTTGTTGTGAGGGTAAAATGAGATAATCCCATTACGTTGTCCTGAACTCTTTTCAGGAACAGTGAGATGCTAATATGATGGCTAGTTTTGCTAGGATTGAAAAAGGCAGGGTGGAATGGAAGAGAAGGAGATAGCGTTGATTTTTCTTTTTCTTTTTAAAGCATCAATCTGAGTCTAGTGAGGTCCAGAACTGAAGGACTCTAAACGATTCAATCATTTAAATGATTCCATCTTTCGATGGCTGTAAGTCAAAATCAGATAAGGGCACTAACGTCTGGGTTTCTTCAAATTCTCCACTGCTGCGTGTACTCTGGTGGTGCAGAACGCAGCTTTCTGAGAATAATAATAAAATAATAATAATAATAAAATTTATTTATACCCCGCTCTCCCTGGCCAGAGCCGGGCTCAGGTCAGCTAACACCAATAAAATCACAGTAAAAACATAATAGGGGAAAGAGAGGGGGAAAACAAAACCTATTTAAAATACAGGTTAAAATGCAATTTAAAATGCAGTCTCGTTTTAAAATAGCCGATAAATCAAGACCATAAGGGGAGGGAAACATAAGGGTCAGACTGAGTCCAAACCAAAGGCCAGGCGGAACAGCTCCGTCTTGCAGGCCCTGCAGAAAGATGTCAAGTCCTGCAGGGCCCTAGTCTTTTGTGACAGAGTGTTCCACCACTTCGGGGCCAGTGCTGAAAAGGCCCTGGCCCTCGTTGAAACCAATCTAACCTCCTTGAGGCTCGGGACCTCCAAAGTATTGTTATTTGTGGACCTTAAGGTCCTCCACAGGGCATACTAGGAGAGGCGGTCCTTTCATTTTAAAGAATGGTGGCTAGTCCTCATGGGTTTTGAGAGGTGGAAAACGTGTGGCTGCGGCTTGTTGAATGAAGAGGCCTGCAATCTAGAGAAAACTGCAGAGTGAGGCTTCCATCCTCTCTCCCCATGGCTTCTAATCCTTTCTCCTGTGCCCAATTTCGTTCTCTAGCCCTGGCAAGGCCCTGTCTTTAAAGCATTGCCTTGTGAGAGAAACGGAGGAAATGTTGTGGGAATGAGGCAGCTACTGGTTATCTGGCACAGTTGTGGGGCTTCCTTCACACATCACCCCTCCAGGTGCTCTTGTGAAAGTATAGGGGCAGTTCTTTGCAATGCCACTTTTAATACTTCTGCTGCCTGCATAAGTTTGGAGGCTGATGTGCCATTTTGTGCCCTGCAATTTCCTGCTGGAATCCTGCAACTTTAAAACCAGAAAGATTCCGTTTTAATTTGTCGCAAGAGCTCCCCTCCTGGCAGCAATAGTGTGACAACGTTGGGGTGGGGGAAGGAAGCATTGCCGCCCAACCAAGGAAGCAGAATGATGTGCAGAATGATCTATAAAGGTAAATGTAAAGGGACCCCTGACCATTAGGCCCAGTCATGGCCGACTGGGGTTGCGGCGCTCATCTCGCTTTATTGGCCGAGGGAGCCGGTGCACAGCTTCTGGGTCATGCGGCCAGCATGACTTAGCTGCTTCTGGCGAACCAGAGCAGTGCACAGAAACGCCGTTTACCTTCCCGCCGGAGTGGTACCTATTTATCTACCTGCACTTTGACATGCTTTCGAACCTGCTAGGTTGGCAGGAGCAGGGACCGAGCAATGGGAGCTCACCCCATCGCGGGGATTCGAACCGCCGACATTCTGATCGGCAAGTTCTAGGCTCTGTGGTTTAACCCACAGTGCCACCCACGTCCCTAGAATGATCTATACAATCTAGCATAAACCCACCGCAAATGCACTATTTTACTGCATCAACGGGTTAAAGTTATGTAACCACTGCTACCGACTGCATGCTGCAAGAAACCTAAAAAGCTGACCCCAGGTGGTGCTCATAACACGGAGATTGACATCGCATTGTTGTACTTGATCATCATGTTGGCTTTGGATATTACTGATATTTGCTTGCAACACAGGGGTTTAATTGTTTGGTTACTTACTGCGCTGCTCTCTGCCACAGACTCTTCCTGCTCACTAAACCCTGTTGCCTCTTCAGCTTCCGACACTTCCTCCTCCCAGGCTTCTCCCTCTGACCACTCAATAAAATGGAGAAATCTGAGGGCTCCCTTAGACAAAAAACAAGGACACCAGTCAGGAATACCAGAGCAAAACAGCAGCCAATAGGCTTGGTCTTTATTGAAGACTGTCGCGACAGGACTCCCACCTGCCACCAGGTGAAACAAGATGGAAGCCCTGAACAAAAGAAGACCCCAACTTTTATTAGCGACTAATCCCCCAAGCTACACCCCTAGAACTACATCACAAGTACATCATGACTACATCACAAAAAGGAGGGTTTGCGGGAGGGGTTTGTGGAGGTAACCTGAGTATCTTGTCACCTGGCTGGTCCCTCCTTTCCCCCTCCCCATGAGTATTTTCCAGAGGACAGAGGGGAGCTGGCAGTTTCCTGCCCCCAGAGGGAAGAGCTGATCACTGTCCTTTGTTTCAGTCCTTGTTGAATCCACTCCCCTATGCAAGTTCTTTGTGTCCTTGATGGTCTTCTGTCTAGGACCATCAAGGTTGGCATGCCAACTGGGTAAGGCTCCTGCGTACTTGGTACGCTCAAGGGATTATGGCCGTCCTGTATGAAACCATGCCCTTTTGATAGTCCTTCCTTCATGGAGCAAAATAAAAGTGGATCGGTGTAGATCCAATGTATGGTTGATTTTCTATGAATTCATAACAGAAACATTGCATATGTCGTGTGTGAGTGTGTGTCGAGTTTGTACAAACTAAATGTTTGGGGGTGGGGTGTTCCTGCAACAACATTGACCCACCACCTGACTCCGAGCCTTCTTTCCCTGGGGGTGCCCCCCAGCTGGTGCCTCCCCCCACTCCTCTGCACCCAGCCAGCCCATGACAATTAATGCGGACAGCAAGCTTTCTGTACTTCCACTGATTCTCTGTTGTCCATTTTATGTTCTCCTCCAAATCACTGACTTCTCACACTTCCCTGTCACCTCCTCATTCCGGATTTTTTCATGGGAACTCTGAAAATGAGAGGACATAAAATAAAAAGTGAAAAAGTGGCCGTGTTCATTGGCCCCTGTGCGTCTTCCCAAAATAATCCTCGGGAGGTCATTGCAATAAAGGACATAAAAAATTCTACGCAGCTTAATTGTAAAAAAACAAAAATAAAATAAAAGTGGATAGTTTAAATGTTGAGCCTAGGCTGGGATTTGTTTTAACATGCTGCTATAACGCTGCATCTCAGTCTTGGATTACTTGTCTCTGGGCACGTGCAGAGTTTCCTTTCCTGCACTAAGTAGTCTAATCAGGCAATCCTTTCTCTCTCTTTTTAAAAATATATTTTTATTAGTTTTTTAACATATCATTTCCAACCATCATTTAACATAACTTCTTATCTTATACAATATTTTAGACTTCCGTCAACAACTTCTGAAGATTTTCCATTCCGTTCTTTATTGCTTATTCTGCATTTCTTAATTTCTCTATTACTCTTAATTATCATTAACTAATAATTCTCTTCATAGTCTTGCAATGTTTCATATAGTCCTCCTTACAGAACTTCTTGCAGTCCTACTAGCGTGATCTGTTTATTACAATTGCTTTTCAAATAGTTCAAATATTTACTCCAGTTTTCTAAGAATCTCTGGTCCCGCAGGTTTCGAATCCTTCCTGTTAATTCATCTAATTCTGCACAGTCCATTAATTTCATTTCAGGCAACCCTTTTTCACATGCATATATAGGATTACAAGGAGATTAGTTCTAAAGTCTAAAGGCACGACTCGCAGCCTTCGACACCGTTTATCCTTTTTTTGCAGAACAACGTTAGCAGGGAACAATCGCTCCCGTTATAGACCTTTATAGAATTGCCATTCCCACCCCGCGCCGCCAGGGGTCGCTGCTGCGAACAGAGCGCTGGAAAACCGCGGGCGCTTATTTCTCCCCCTTTCATAACCCTCTTCGCCGCCCGTCGCTTCCGCGTCTCGCTCGGCAGCGATTGGCGGAAAGGAGAGTGGCCGTAGATGTACTAAAAAAGTAGAGCTGCCGCAGCGACTCGACTAGGAGGCCAGGCTTCCTGGTTGCAGCCCGGCCCGTGGGCCTGGCAGTGACGGAGGCGCGGGGTGAGAAAAGCAACAGAAGCAAATAAGAAAGAAATGGGGAGGAAAAGCGAGGCGGGGAAAAGAAAGAAAAACCCGCCCTTCCGGCGTGACTATAATTGTGCATGTCAGTATCACTCTAACATGCTTCTCTTCGTATCTCTACGGCCCGGCGGGGAGGCGTGGCCTGGCGCCCACGTGACGCGGCGGGAGCCCAGAGCAACAACACTAGAGGAGGGAGGGAGGGAGACCCTGCCTGGGCGTCGGAGGGCGAGGCGGGCGGCATGGCGGAGGCCGTCAAGCCCCGGAGCAGGCCGAGGAGCAGCCGGGGAAGGACCAAGGTAACCCGGGGAGCGAGGGAGGGAGGCAGGCGGGCGGGCGCCTTGCTGCCTCGCAGGTAGACTGCCTCTCGGCGGGGAGGCTCCACTAGGCTTCTCGCAGGTAGACTGCTGCTATACAGGAGAGGCTGCATTTAGGTATTTCAGAGGTTGGCTGCCTTTCTGATGTTTGGGGTGGGGTCCATTAAGGCATCTCACAGGTAGACTGCCCCCTAGCAGGGAGGCTCCACTGAGGCTTCTCGCAGGTAGACTGTTGCTTGGCAGAAGAGGCCATTAGGCATCTTATGGACAGGTAGACTGCCCTCTAGCAGGAGGCTGCACTAGCCTTTTGGGGGGGGTGGGGGGTGGGAGGGAAGTCCATTAAGGCATCTCACAGGTAGACTGCCCCCTAGCAGGGAAGCCCCATCAAGGCTTCTCACAGGTAGACTGTTTCTCATTAGGGGAGGCGCCATTAAGGCATCTTATAGGACAGGTAGACTGCCCTCTAGCAGGGAGGCTCCACTAGCCTTTTGGGGGGGGTGGGGGGTGGGAGGGAAGTCCATTAAGGCATCTCACAGGTAGACTGCCCCCTAGCAGGGAGGCTCCACTGAGGCTTCTCGCAGGTAGACTGCTGCTTGACAGAAGAGGCTGCATCTAGGTATTTCAGAGGCTGGCTGCCTTTTTGGGGGGTGGGAGGGAGGGAAATCCATTAAGGCTTCTCACAGGTAGACTGTTCTCTAGTAGGGAGGCTGCACCAACACTTCTCGCAGGTAGACTGCTGCTGTACAGGAGAGGCTCCATTTAGGTATTTCAGAGGCTGACTGCCTTTTTTGGGGGTGGGTGGGAGTGAAATCCATTAAGGCATCTCATAGGTAGACTTCCTCTTATCAGGGAAGCCCCATCAAGGCTTCTCACAGGTAGACTGTTTCTCATTAGGGGAGGCGCCATTAAGGCATCTTATAGGACAGGTAGACTGCCCTCTAGCAGGGAGGCTCCACTAGCCTTTTTGGGGGGTGGGGGGGTGGGAGGGAAGTCCATCAAGGCTTTTCACAGGTAGACTGTTTCTCATTAGGGGAGGTGCCATTAAGGCATCTTATAGGACAGGTAGACTGCCCTCTAGCAGGGAGGCTCCACTAGCCTTTTTGGGGTGGGGGGTGGGAGGAAGTCCATCAAGGCTTTTCACAGGTAGACTGTTTCTCATTAGGGAGGCGCCATTAAGGCATCTTATAGGTAGGCTGCCCCTAGCAGGAAAGCTCCACTGAGTCTTCTCGCAGGTAGACTGCTGCTTGACAGAAGAGACTGCATTTAGGTATGTCAGAGGCTGCCATCCTTTCTGATGTTTGGGGTGGCATCTCACAGGCTGCTCCTGGATAGAAGAGGCTCCATTTAGGTGTTCTAGAGGCTGACTGCCTTTTTTTTGGGGGGGGGGTAGGCTCTATTAAGGCATCTTGCAGGTAGGCTGCCTCTTAGCAGGAAAGCTCCACTGAGGCATTTTGGAGGTAGGCTGTTTCTCATTAGGGGATGCTCCATTAAGACTTTTTACAGGTAGACGATTTTTTGCCTCCATCACGCAGGTAGACTGCCTCTCAGCGGGAAGGATCCATTTAGGTGGCTGGTAGCCTGTTTACCAATAGGGGCCGCTCCATTAGGGCCTCTTGCAGGTAGACTGCTTCTCAACAAAGAGGTTCCACTTAGGCAGCTGGCAGGTGGTCTGTTTCTCAATATTGGAGACTCCATTTAGGTATTCTGTAAGCTGCCTCTCAACTATGCCTGTCAGCAAGCAAGTTCCATTTAGGCGGCTCACAGGTAGACTGCTTCTCGGTAGGTAGGCTCTGTGTAGGTATAACAGAGGTAGACTGCCTCTCAGCAAGTGGGGTGAGGGAGCTCTCAATTCAGGTGGCCCACAGGTAGACTCATTCTCTACACAGGAAGGCTTCATTTAGTTATTCTGCAGGTAGACTGTCTTTAGGCAAGGAGGCTCCATTTAGGCTGTTGACAAGCAAAACTGCTGCTCTTCCATAGGGAGGCTCCATCTTGCCATCCTTGCAAGGGCTTTGAAAAGTCTGGCTGGCCAGTGTTTGAAACAAAAGGCTAGCCTATGGCCTTCTAGCCTGATCTAGCAAAGCAGCTTATACGTTCTGTCCACATTTATGGAATTTTACTCTGGCAACCCTTGATGGCCATGGAGATGCAATCAGATGTTGCTGCAACGCTGGATTGTAATACCATTCTTTGTATCCAGGAAGTGTTTGTTTATTGATGGATTAAGTGGAAGTTCTAGCGCTGCTACGTTGCTGCTGCTCATCAGCATGCCTGGCATTTCATGGAGTTTCGTAAGCAGAGAAGTCGGTTTGAAGCTCTACAAGACGGCAACCATTTAAGCGTTGGAGGTATTGAGAAACCACGAAGCTGAGGGAAGGGTGGAGGAGGCAGTTCGATGCATGGACTTTCACTTTCACTTGGGGAAAGAGATCGAAGGGGCAGGTGGGTTTTGAGGCAAAGCAGGTGAATACACAAAATGCAGACAAAAGTGCCAGAAAAGTACAAAGGCATTTGGAGGAGTTTGGGGCAAGGATGTGCAGAATCCAGGTTAGGCTTTAGCATTCTGCTGGTGGTCTTTGAAATGGTTGAAATAAGAATAAAAGGCTTGTTCACATGTTATACCAAACCCAGCTGCAAGCTGTCTCTACAGTTATACAAGGGTATGTGTGAAGGAGTGCATGCTTGTTGATTTTATGCAGTTCCGTGAACATGTACACAGGTAATAATAATAATAATAATAATAATAATTTATTTATACCCCGCCCATCTGGCTGGGCTTCCCCAGCCACTCTGGGCAACTTCCAACAAAATATTAAAATACCGTAATACATCAAACATTAAAAGCTTCCCTAAACAGGGCTGCCTTCAGATGTCTTCTAAAAGTCTGGTAGTTGTTGTTCTCTTTGACATCTGGTGGGAGGGCGTTCCACAGGGCGGGTGCCACTACCAAGAAGGCCCTCTGCCTGGTTCCCTGTAACTTGGCTTCTTGCAGTGAGGGAACTGCCAGAAGGCCCTCAGCACTGGACCTCAGTGTCCTGGCAGAATGATGGTGGTGGAGATGCTCCTTCAGATATACTGGACCGAGGCTGTTTAGGGCTTTAAAGGTCAGCATCAACAGTGGTACAGATTTTACATGTGCTGAATGTAACGGGCGAACACTCCTAGAGTCAGAAGTGAGGCTTAGAAGAAGCTCCTTGCTTCTAATATTTGCTTTCTCTTCTCTCTCTCTCTCCTCTTCTCCCTGCTGCCTCTGATTCTCTCTGCGTCACTGTGGCCAGTGCATATTCTGCCTTGCTTGCTCCACTATTCTATATACCCCAAGCCCTCAGTGAAAGCAGCTTCAGCAAAAGAGAGAGGAAAAGGGATCGGTGGGATTTGATGGCCAAGTTCTGTTGTCAGAGAGGATTAAAAGCCCCTTAGCTTTTCATAAGCATACGGCTGCAGTCATGGGGGCTAGAAACTTACCGTATTTTTCGCTCTATAGGACGCACCGGACCATAGGAGGGGGAGAACAGGGAAAAAAAATTCTCCCCCTCTCTGCTCAGCACCCCTTCAGCGAAGCGGCAGGAGAAACGGAGCCCCTTCCATTTCTCCTCCCGCTTCGCTGAAGGGGCGCTGCGCAGAGAGGGAAAACTGTGCAGCGCCTCTCCAGCGAAGCGAAGCCGGGAGAGCAAGAGGGATCGGTGTGCACTGACCCCTCTCGCTCTCCAGGCTTCAGGCGGCTATCCGCAAGCCTTTGGAGTGCAGCGGGAAATCCTCCGGGGGCTTCAGGCGACTTCAGCGAAAGCAACGTGAAGCCTCCAGAGCGCAGGGGGAGCTCTCCCTCTGCGCTTCGGAGGCTTCGCGTTGCTATCGCTGAAGCCAAGGAGCCTGCATTTGCTCCATAAGACGCACACACATTTCCCCTTAATTTTTGAAGGGGAAAAAGTGCATCTTATAGAGCGAAAAATACGGTACTCGTTGCTCAAAAGGACAAGGGAGCTTGGATCCTTTGGAATCTGATGGACACACCCAGGATTTTGTGCTGAAATGCTACGGCTGCTTTTTAAGGCTTCCCCTCCTGGCCTTTGTGGATAAGCGTTATTTTGCTGCTGGAAAAGGTCAGATAAGGTCATATATGACTGTGGGAGGCAGTGTGATCTGTGGCGTCCTTTGCCAAGCTGGTATCTTGCAGATGTTTTGGGTTATTCTCCCATCAGCCCCAGCCAGTGTACCAGCAGGGTACCAGTTTGGCGAAAACTGAATCTGTGGCATTAGTTAACCTCGAGTCTTGGGAATAGCGTGACTCTCACATGGCATTTCCTTCGGCTCTTGGCTGGCACTCAGCATTTTCGGTTTCTCATCTCCCACCCTCCCTTCCAGAAAGCGCTTTCATTAGTTGGGGAAGTGTTCCATGATGTGGCAAGCCAAACACTTCTGCAAGAAACGGGTGAGAGGTTGTTTGTTGTGGGTATTCTTACCTCGCCTGTCACAACAGCTTCAAGGTGGCTTGCAGTGAAAACATTAAAAATACAACAAGACTTGAACACACAAACACACACACACAGCCCAGCTCTAACAAGCAATAAAAGAGCAGATTGCAGCAGGGGAACGCACAAAGGCGATAGACTCTAAAGGGGCGAAACACTCTAAATAAAACATCAATTTAAAGGTGTACTTCAGTAAAAGGGGAGGGTTGGTAATAGTTGTAGCAGTGAACCCATATACGTTTACATTCACCGGCTTTTGATATAGGCTAATTGTATTGCTTTGATGTTACCCTTATCTTTGGGGCTTGAGGTGCTGAGCTCTGAGATCCGAAGAGGGGCTCTATCTGTAAGGGTTGGGTATTTGGCACCAATGCCCTCATTTAGTCAGGTGAAATGATGTATGCTTCTTTTCTGTATAAAGAATATATAAATATTTGCTTAGGTGCAGACAAGGCAGCTCCTGGTTGCAAAAGCTAGGAGAACTGGCAGGCTGTTTTGCTGTAAGTCTACACTTTCTTTAATAGAGAATAATAATAATAATAATAATAATAATAATAATAATACTACTAATAATAATTTGTTTATTTATTTATTTATTTATACCTCACCCGTCTGGCTGGGTTTCCCCAGCCACTCTGGGCAGCTCCCAACAGAATATTAAAAACTTGATAAAACATCAGACATTAAAAACTTACCTAAACAGGGCTGCCTTCAGATGTCTTCTAAAAGTCAGACACAGTGGTACCTCGGGTTAAGTACTTAATTCGTTTCGAGGTCCGTTCTTAACCTGAAACTGTTCTTAACCTGAAGCACCACTTTAGCTAATGGGGCCTCCCGCTGCCGCCGCGCCGCCGGAGCACGATTTCTGTTCTCAACCTGAAGCAAAGTTCTTAACCCGAGGTACTATTTCTGGGTTAGCGGAGTCTGTAACCTGAAGCATATGTAACCTGAGGTACCACTGTAGTTGTTTATTTCCTTGACATCTGGTGGGAGGGCATTCCACAGGGCGGGTGCCACTACCAAGAAGGCCCTCTGCCTGGTTCCCTGTAACTCCATTTCTCACAGGGAGGGAACCACCAGAAGGCCCTCGGCGCTGGACCTCAGTGTCCGGGCTAAATGATGGGGGTGGAGACGCTCCTTCAGGTATACCGATCACTCTGGTGTTTTTGGCATTCTTCTTTGGTATCCCTGCACCCAGTCACTCTCACGAGCCATCCTCTGGGCCTGTAGATCAGGATATCTATCATCTATCTATCTATCTATCTATCATCTATCTCTATCTGTGTGTGTGATTGAGCAGCTCCTTCAGTGGTAGAGTATCTCCTTTGCATACACAAGATCCCAGGATCAACCCCTCGCATCTCTAGGTGAGACAGGTAATGCCTTTTGTCTGAAATCCCAGATCGTTGCTACCAGTCAGTGTGGACATTGCTGAGGTAGATGGATCAATGGCCTTACTCCATCGTTCTGCCCAGACACTGAGGTCCAGCGCCGAGGGCCTTCTGGTGGTTCCCTCGCTGTGAGAAGCCAAGTTACAGGGAACCAGGCAGAGGGCCTTCTCGGTAGTGGCACCTGCCCTGTGGAACGCCCTTCCACCAGATGTCAAAGAGAAAAATAACTACCAAACTTTTAGAAGACATCTGAAGGCAGCCCTGTTTAGGGAAGCTTTTAATGTTTAATAGGTTATTGTATTTTAGTGTTTTGTTGGAAGCCACCCAGAGTGGCTGGGGAAACCCAGCCAGATGGGTGGGGTATAAATAATAAATTATTATTATTATTATTATTATTTATTATTACTCCCCATAAGGGACCATCTTACGTTCCTATGGGTCTTTTGTTCCTCAAATCTCATTCTTCAGTGTTGCTGTCTCTCTCTCCCCAATTCTTTCCACTAGGAAAAAAAGAAAAAAAGTGAAGAGGAGGAGAGCGTCGCCTCTCAGCTGTCTCTTCCAGATTCAGTTAGAGATGGAGAAGAACCAACTCGGTCCTGCGACACCCAGGGAGAACGCCTTCCAGATCCCAGGCTCTGCAACAAAGCCAAAGAGAGAGAAAATGTGAAGGATGCCTGCGATGTCCTACCGAGTGCAGTAACTGTAGAAAATGAAGGATCTCCAGCAACTGCCCCGTTGGAGCCCCCGATCCAGGGGGAAGAATTTGCAGGCAGAGCTTTGCAGGAGGAGAAAAGTATCGGCGGAAACCCAGCCAGTCCTCAGAGCCTCGCCGAAGCAGTTGCTTCCTGCGACCTGTCGGAAAGCAATGCTCCTTGCGCGCCTTCTTTGCTGGGGAGTGCGCAGGCCCCAGAGACTGAGACCGTACGCAGTGACAAGCAGTCTGTTTCCCATCCTTCGGAAGAGGTTCTACCCGCCGTCTGTGCCCCCAGCAAAGAGGAGGTTCAGAAATCCGCTCCCAAAATGCTCTATCCGGATCTCCCGCTGGAGCTGTTCAGGGAGAGGCTGGCAGCGGTTGCGGTTGCTCCCGTCAAACCGAAGGAGAGGCTTTACCCTGAGATCCCGGCAGAGCCACAGCTGTTGCCTTTCACCCGAGAGCAGCTGAAGGTCTTTGAGCCCTGCTCCTGGCTGGAGAACGTCGACGCCTACGTGGAAGAGTTTGGGACTGTGGCGCACCAGGACAGGCACGAGTTCTTTGAGCTGCTGCTGAACTACTGGCGCTGCCGCAAGCAGCTGCTCCTTGCCGAGCGGAGCTGCAAACCATTGCCTTGGATTGCCAGAGCGCCAGGAGCCGCCTGTGGACTTTCAAGGACGAACAGCAGCCCATCCAGGTGAAGTAACCGAAGCACGTTTCTAAAAGCCAGTTCATACGTTCGCGGAAAATCAGGTGGTTCAGCCCTCCGGAGACGTAACGTTTTATAAAGAAGCAGAGATGCAGTGTAGCGTAGTGGTTAGTGGCATGGGACGCGGGTGGCGCTGTGGTCTAAACCACGGAGCCTCTTGGGCTTGCCGATCGGAAGGATAGCGGTTCGAATCCCCGTGACTGAGTGAGCTCCCGTTGCTTGGTCCCTGCTCCTGCCAACCTAGCAATTCAAAAGCACACCAGTGCAAGTAGATAAATAGGTACCGTTGCAGCGGGAAGGTAAACGGCATTTCCCTGCGCTCTGGTTTCCGTCACGGTGTCCCGTTGTGCCAGAAGTGGTTTAGTCATGCTGCCCACATAACCCAGAAAAGCTTTCTGCAGATAAACGCCGGCTCCCTCGGCCTGAAAGCGAGATGAGCGCCGCAACCCCATAGTCGCCTTTGACTGGACTTAACCATCCAGGGGTCCTTTACCTTTTCTTACCTTTTTAGAGCAGTGTTTCCCAAATTTGCGTCTCCAGCTGTTTTTGGACTACGGTTCCCATTATCCCTGACCACTCATTCTCCTAGCTACGGATGATGGGATTTGTACTCCCCCCAAAAAGCTGGAGTCCCAAGTTTGGGAAACACTGGGTTAGAGTGTCAGACTAAGACCTTGGGAGGCCAGGGTTTGAATCCCCACTGGGCCAGTTGCTGCCTGTCAGCCTAGCCAACCTCACAGGGTTGTTGTTCTGGGAGTTAGTTAAATGAGGAGGGCCAGAACTGTGTGTGCACCACCTTGAGCTCCCTGGAGAGAAAGGCGGGATATAAACACAGTTAAATAAATGTGTTTAATTTGCTGGAAGCGGCTCAGAGTGGCTGTGGCAACCCAGTCAGATAGGTGGCATATAAATAATAAATTATTATTATTATTATTATTATTATTATTAAACACAGCTATTTCAGAATGCAGGTATTAGTGGTGTGGGGGAACTTGCTTGTTTGAATTTCCCCTCCCAAGAAATGGTGAGGCCTACCATGCCTTGTTATTTAGCCTCCTAGACCAGAGTTTTTCCATAGCTTTCATCTTTGAGGGAACACCTCTTGACTTGCAGAAATGCTTCTGGAATGGGATCCTGAGAGAGCTGTACCGCACGCTTTTAAGGAATGTCTTCAATCGGCTCAGGAGCGCCCACACTCAGCTACAGACTCTTTGGAGCTTTCTGTTTCTTTCTTTTAATTAGTACTCCGCTTTTCTGTATTATTATACACAGGGCGGTTTGCGAGCTGCGAAAACGACAAAATATACAAGGCCACACATCTTAATAGCAAACTGATCTGGTACAAATAAATCAATAAAAAATAATGAGGGTTCTTAACCTATCAAATGAAGTACCGTATTTTTCGGACTATAGGACGCACCGGCCCATAGGACGCACCTAGTTTTCAGGGGGGGAAAACAAGGAAAAAAATATGATTTCCCCCCCGCAGCTCTGGGAGCAGTGGACAGGCTGCACGCAGCCTGTCCGCTACTCCAAGACCTTCTCCCTGCTTTTGCGGGAGGTGGTGGAATTCCCCCACCTCCGGCAAAAGCCCACAGGAGCCCCGCGCGACTCCTGCGGGCTTTTTGACCAGGAGGGAGAAGGGACTGAAACGGCCAGTCAGTCCCTTCTCCCTCCTTGGGGAAAAGCCCCCAAGAGCCGCTTGCTCTTTAAAGGGTGTGCGGCTCCTGCGGGCTTTTCTAGGAGGTGGGGGAATTCCCCCATCTCCCGCAAAAGCCCAAAGGAGGGTTGGAGAGTAGCGGGAGGGCGTCGCGCGCCTTCCCGCTGCCCCCCCATCCTCTGGGGCTGGCGATGGGGAGCGCTGCTCCCCACCGCCAGCCTCGAGCCGGGTTGGAGGGTAGCGGCAGGCGTCGCGCGCCTTCTCACTGCCCTCCATCCTCGGGCTGGCGATGGGGGAAGCGCTGCTTTCCCCACCGCCAGCCTTGAAGCCGGGTTGGAGGGTAGCGGCAAGGCGTCGCGCGCCTTCCCGCTGCCCCCCATCCTCTGGGGCTGGCGATGGGGAGCGCTGCTCCCCACCGCCAGCCTCGAGCCGGGTTGGAGGGTAGCGGCAAGGCGTCGCACGCCTTCCCGCTGCCCCCATCCTCTGGGGCTGGCGATGGGGAGCGCTGCTTCCCACCGCCAGCCTCGAGCCGGGTTGGAGGGTAGCGGCAAGGCGTCGCGCGCCTTCCCGCTGCCCCCATCCTCTGGGGCTGGCGATGGGGAAGCGCTGCTTCCCCACCGCCAGCCTCGAAGCCGCGTTGGAGGGTAGCGGCAAGGCGTCGCGCGCCTTCCCGCTGCCCCCCATCCTCTGGGTCTGGTGATGGGGGAAGCGCTGCTTTCCCCCACCACCAGCCTCAAAGAGCAGACTCTCCTGGCTTCAGCGGAAGCAACGCGAAGCCTCCGGAGCGCAGGCTCGGAGGCTTCGCATTGCTATCGCTGAAGCCAAGGAGTCTGCATTCGCTCCATAGGACGCACACACATTTCCCCTTCATTTTTGGAGGGGAAAAAGTGCGTCTTATAGTCTGAAAAATACGGTAATATGTAATGACCCATCAGGATATAATAGGGCACAACAAAATGAACTCTCAGAATATCAACAAATAATTTCACAGAAATTCACTCTTGACAGTTGCAATCATCATCATAAAAACTGTGATACCTAGAATGCCACAATACATTGAAAAAGTCATGTTAGGAGATCGAATTGTGCAACAAGGTCACTTAATAAAATTATTAAAAGGATCCCGCCCTGCCGGCCTTAACTCCTCATTTTGAACATTGCTTCCCTTGCAGGGCGTCTGTGCTGATCAGTGCAAAGTGTCCGGCCACCATCGCTACCAGACGGTCGAGATGAACGAAGGTGCTTTGGGAGACCTGAAGAGGCTCTTTGAAGCCCAGGCTGAGCATGTGCACCAGACCCTGGCCTTGCACTTGTACACGTCTGTGTTGTCTCGCCTGCAGGTGGAGTCTTACATCTACAGGCTTCTCAGCAGCTCTTCCTCGCTGAGGTCTGTGGGCATTCAACAGCAGCAGCCGCCAGGTGCGTGTATCCCGAGTTATATTCCCATTAACTTCCCTTGGGCAGGAAGCATCAGGGACGCCGTGTGCAGAAAGCGGCAGAATTCCGCTCCCGTTCTGCAACCTGCATAAATTACGCAAGCGAAGCGCATATGCTCATTTGACGTACTTGATTCCGGGGAGGTTCAGACTACCTTCTTGTACGTTCTGGCAATGCACGATGGGTTTTTGCTCTCCCTGCCCTCCCACTATCCACACAGTGTGTGAGAGAAGGGGCTGCACCATACATATTGGGGTGTTGACGTGGAACCCCTTTGTGAAAACGGAGGGGGGTCCTGTTTGGCAGCTTCTCATGCTCTGGGCACATGGGCAGTGGTGTGTGGATGCTGAGAGCATCTCTGTGTTCGTGTGCACGACCCTGCAATTGCGTGCTCTCTCCAGCCAAGGAGGGGGACTGCAGTCGTACCTTGGTTCTCGAACGTAATCCATTCCGGAAGGTGTGACTGTATTTATGTCATTAAATTGCATCTGCCCCCAAATAATAATAATAATAATAATAATAATAATAATATCTTTATTGTCATTGCCCCCTTCGGGGACAACGAAATTACTTGACTGCTCCATAAAAACACTAATTAAACAATACAGTATAATACAGCAAGGGAGATTAGATGACTTTCAAAGTCCGGGCTTCCCATTCAGGGCCGAGATCGCTCTGGAGAAGAAGCTGTTCTTAAGATGGCTCGTTCTTGTCTTCATCGTCCTGTATCTCCGTCCCGACGGCAAGAGCTCGAAGAGACAGTGACCAGGATGCGATGGATCTTTTACTATGTCCAGTGCCTTCCTATGGCACCTTGTGGCATAAATCTGCTCTAAGGTGGAGAGTGGGCAGCCAACAATGCTCTCTGCTGCCTTAACAACCCTGCACAACCCCATCCTGTCCTGGGTAGTACAGCTTCCGTACCACACACATAAGCCATAAGTGAGCACGCTCTCAATGGCACAGTGATAGAAGGCAAGCAGCAGTTTCTGCGGAAGATGGTTTTTCCTTAGTATTCTCAAAAAGTACAGTCTCTGCTGCGCCTTCTTCACAAGCCCCCTTGTGTTGACACTCCAGGACAGATCCTCAGGACAAATACCCCAGGACAAATACCCCAGTGGGGTGATAGTTATCCCATTCCCACCCCTTTACAACCACCAGAGTCAGACCAGGAGACCAGGGTTCACATTCCCACCTGGCCATGAAGCTCACTGGGTGACCTTGTAACAATTTAAACAATTTAATTATTTGTACCCCACCCATCTGGCTGGGCTGCCCCAGCCACGCTGGGTAGCTATTCCCCTCTCAAGCCTTACCCTAACTGACCTCATAGGGTTCTGGTGGGGATTAAACGTGGAGGGGGAAAACCATGTGGACCACCTTGAACTTTGTGGAGAAAATCTGGAATATAAATGAAATCAGGCCATCAATAAGAGGCAGCAATTTGGTGCAGGCCTCCTCATGGCTAGGCAAGGTTTCGAACCCAGTGCAGGCTTCCTAGCAGAGGCCCAGTACAGTGGTACCTCGGGTTAAGAACTTAATTCGTTCTGGAGGTCCGTTCTTAACCTGAAACTGTTCTTAACCTGAGGTACCACTTTAGCCAATGGGGCTTCCTGCTGCCACACAATTTCTGTTCTCATCCTGAAGCAAAATTCTTAACCTGAGGTACTATTTCTGGGTTAGCGGAGTCTGTAACCTGAAGTGTCTGTAATTTGAAGCATCTGTAACCCGAGGTACCAGTGTACTCTGCTTTATTTCACTCCAGCTGTGAGGTCACTTAATCCTTTTTCTTCTCTCCTCCTTTGCAGTTCTTAAACAGGCTGAAAATGTTTCCTTGGACGTGGGTCCCTTGAAGGAATGCATCAGCGTCCTCTTCAGTTTCACACGCAGGGTCGTTGAGGATCCTCAGTTTGAGAGCGACGTGCTCTCCTGGCTGCAGAGGCTGGTGAGAAACAGAGGGAGTCAGATCTACCCTAAATCTGGTGCTAGGGCAATCCTTTTATATCTATAAGGTAAAGGTAAAGGGACCCCTGACCATTAGGTCCATTAGGTCTCTGGGGTTGCAGCGCTCATCTCGCTTTATTGGCCGAAGGAGCCGGTGTACAGCTTTCGGGTCATGTGTCCAGCATGACTAAGCTGCTTCTGGCGAACCAGAGCAGCACACAGAAACGCCGTTTACCTTCCCGCTGGAGTGGTACCTATTTATCTACTTGCACTTTGATGTGCTTTCAAACTGCTAGGTTGGCAGGAGCAGGGACCTAGCTACGGAAGCTCACCTTGTCATGGGGATTCGAAACGCTGACCTTCTGATCGGCAAGCCCTAGGTTCTGTGGTTTAACCCACAGCGCCACCTGCGTCCTATTTCCCAACTGACCTAGCAAAAGGAAGTCAAGAATAGCAATGCAAGGAGAAGAGGGTCTGGAACGGGGAGCTTTGAAGAGGGACCGTGCCTTTCAGTATGCTTCTATTTTAAGAGATCCGTCGTAACTGTGGCTTTGCAGTCCTTCCCTCCCTTAACTGCCTTTCAAATTGTCTCCTGTCTCTCCAGGTGTCCGTCTTGCAAAAGGTTGGTTGTCCAGGGGACCACATTTTCCTTTTAAACCACATCCTCCGCTGCCCGGCCGGCGTTAGCAAGTGGGCTGTTCCTTTCATTCAGGTGCGGAGGTTTAAGCTTTGCTTCTTACGGGGATGTGCTGGGGACCCAGATCTCGCCGTCTCTTGGGCAGTTGCGCTTTAGGAGGCAGGTGTGGGGGGTCTTGCCCATGGGTCGGCAAACTAAGGCCCGTGGGCTGGATCCGGCCCAATCGCCTTCATAATCCGGCCCACGGACGGTCCAGGAATCAGCGTGTTTTTACATGTCTGACCCTTATGTTTCCCTCCCCTTATGGTCTTGATTTATCGGCTACTTTAAAATGAGGCTGCATTTTAAATTGCATTTTAACCTGTATTTTAAATTGTTTTTTTCCTCCCTGTCTTTCCCCCCCATTATGTTTTTACTGTGATTTTATTGGTGTTAGCTGCCCTGAGCCCGGCTCTGGCCAGGGAGGGCGGGGTATAAATAAATTTATTATTATTATTATTATTATTAGTAGTAGTAGTAGTAGTAGTAGTAGTAGTAGAATGTTTCCTTTTATTTAAAATACATCTCTGGGTTATTTGTGGGGCATAGGAATTCGTTCATTTCCCCCCTTCAAAATATAGTCCGGCCCCCCACAAGGTCTGAGGGACAGTGGAGCGGGTCTCCTACTGAAAACGTTTGCTGACCCCTGGTCTTGCCCCACAAGAATGCCCCAAACTGAGGTGCTCAAACTGCAAATGAGTTACAGTTTTTCAGATTAGTGAAACCTTTTAAAGGGTGGGGGGGCAGGAGGACAAATGTAGTCGTTCTAGGGCCACACCATTAGAGATTGTCGGGGAGTGATCCTCGGATGAAGAACAGTATAGAAATCTAATGATAACGCAGCATGTTTGAAATTTGAATGTGCAAAAGCTAGCCTTTTTTTTTTTTTTTTTTTTAAGGGAAAAGCAGTTTAGCCTTCCCTTGCCCCTTGACATGCTTGTTTTCACAGGCAAGTGCGTTTTATCTTAGGGAGCATTAAAAGTATAATTCTCTCTACCTGAGGTCTGAAATGGCGCAGTCTGGGACGGGCTGCACCAACATCTTTTCCTGCATATTCTAATCTGCTCTCAGAGCTTGTTTTGTGTTTATCTGCCTTTGAGCATCTCACCTCAACTCTTGTGAAAACCGTTTTTCCCCACCTGTATCTCCATAAATTGGACGTATCGGGTGCATTTTGATCTTGATTACCCAGACACCCGGGTTTGAGTAGCACCTATTTTTTATTTTTTTTAACTCCCTCATTCAATTTCTTGTTTGCTTTCAGATTCGGGTTCTGGATAACCCCTCGGGGCTCTTTCACTTTATGCAGTCCCTTGCTTTGCTTATGTCACCTGCCAAGTAAGTATACAAAAGAGCCACTCTTCCTCTCCGTGGTGCTAGGGGTGTTATTCTGCTTAGCCCTGTCCAGGGAAGATGTGCTTCAAAACCAAGCAAAAAAAGTTATTTTCCCCCTGTGCAAGTAACCTCATAGCTACCCACAAAATGTCAAACTGGATATATACAGGACTAGTGATGTGAGGTGAGAATATTCTCTGGAGAATATTCTCCACACACTGTAAATTCTGTGTCGTCTACACAGCTGCTTTAAATTTCTTCTTTCCATCCTTGGGCTAGTAACATCCATGCAGCTGTTGTCACATACATAAAATGTATTTTCTGGCCTTTTGGAAACTGTTAAGGGTTTTGTATACTAATACAGCGGTATACCTCGGGTTACAAACACTTCGGGTTACAAACGCTTAAGGTTACAGACTTTGCTAGCCCAGAAATAGTACCTCGGGTTAAGAACTTTACCTCAGGATGAGAACAGAAATTGCATGGTGGTGGTGCGGCAGCAGCAGCAGCGAGAGGCCCCATTAGCTAAAGTGATACCTCAGGTTAAGAACAGTTTCAGGTTAAGAACGGACCTCCGGAATGAATTAAGTTCCTAACCAGAGGTACCACTGTAATAATAATAATTTTTATTTATTTATATCCTGTCCTCCCCAGCCAAAGCCAAGCTCAGAGTGGCTAACAACAGTAAAAATAGCACAGTTTATGTAAAATCACAATCAGTTAATTGAAATACATTCTAGTACAGTGGTACCTCGGGTTACAGACGCTTCAGGTGACAGACTCCGCTAACCCAGAAATAGTGCTTCAGGTTGAGAACAGAAATCATGCTCTGGCGGTGCGGCAGCAGCAGGAGGCCCCATTAGCGAAAGTGGTGCTTCAGGTTAAGAACAGTTTCAGTTTAAGAACGGACCTCCGGAACGAATTAAGTACTTAACCCGAGGTACCACTGTAGTAACTAGTAGTACTACATTCTAGTAGTAACTCTTGAACCTGGTCCAGTAGCAAATCAGCAGCCAGTACAGATTTCTGAGCACAGGTTCTATATGCTGGCAAGACCTCACTCCTGCCAGCCATTGCGCTGCAGAATTCTGCCCTAACTGCTGCTTCTGGATCAAGCGCAAGGGAAGCCCATCCCTGTGACTCAGCTGCAAGGGGGGGGGGCACAGAGGCAATTGAGAGCTGCTGGCTTTGTTCTCCCCTTGCCCTTGCCCCCCCTTAGAGCGCTAGCCAGCAAGGATGGAGCCTTCCCCCCCCCCTTTTGGTCTCTGTGACCCAATTTTCACGGCCTGCTGCATTTTGCGATTCGCAGAAATCGAGCGGAGTTCATGTGCCACATGAAACCGAGCGAACGGAAGGCGTCTTCCTCATCCGGGCAGGAATCTGGGAACTGGACTCTGGTGGATGAAGGAGGAGAAGAGGTACCTTTTAAGAGGGATGCCACTAACAGGGAGGATAAGAGGAGATATGGTACAAAAAGTGAATAAAGAATGAGCTATCCTTAAGGAATTAAGGGACATGGGTGGCGCTGTGGGTTAAACCACAGAGCCTAGGACTTGCTGATCAGAAGGTTGGCGGTTCGAATACCCGCGACGGGGTGAGCTCCCGTTGCTCGGTCCCTGCTCCTGCCAACCTAGCAGTTCAAAAGCACGTCAAAGTGCAAGAAAATAAATAGGTACCGCTCTGGTGGGAAGGTAAACGGCGTTTCCATGCGCTGCTCTGGTTCGCCAGAAGCAGCTTAGTCATGCTGGCCACATGACCCAGAAGCTGTACGCCGGCTCCCTCGGCCCAATAAAGCGAGATAAGCGCTGCAACCCCAGAGTTGTCCGCGACTGGACCAAATGGTCAGGGGTCCCTTTACCTGTCTTTAAGGAATACATCAAAATTTATGTGGAAATAGAAGAATTTCTGACAGATATTGAGTGAATCCAGAAAATGATTAGAGTGAAAGGAGAGTAAAGTTAAGACAGAGGAAGAGACTAAAGAAGTAATGAAATGCGTTTAAGCTAGTTGGAAAAATAAAATAGCGTAACAAGAACGGCTGGAAGTCAAGTCACTTGGTGGGTGTCGGAGTGGGGCAGGTGTGTAGGTATGTTGATATGTACAGTATAGGTAGGTACTATATAGAGTAATGTAGGTATGTTTTATGTTATCAAAATAAGGTAGTGTGTTACGTACTTGTATCGTGTAATTGTGTAAATGTATATGTATGTGTTTTATATGTTAATATAAATTTTAAAAAATCAGAGAGATGGCACTGTGCACTTCCGGGACAGCGGGAAATGCAGCCTTTTGATGCGCTGTTGTCTTTTGTCCTAGGACGAAGATTCTGAGACTAGCTGGCTCCTCCTCCTGGAAGACGACTTGATCGCGCTTCTGTCCCAGTTCCCCTTTCACGAACTCTTCCAGCACATCCTCGGGTTTGATTCTAAAGGTGAGCGAAGTCCCCAAGGGATGTGCGTCGGGCAGTATGGAAACGGTGTGGAATGTCAACTGAAGTAGCTGGTATATATGGAAAGGCCGTGGGTTCAATCCCCAGCGTCTCCACTTAGGCCTGGGGAGAAAGACGGCTGTATAAAACCCCGAAGGAGCCGCTGGCAGTCAGTGTAGACTAAGTTAGAGAAATCAACACTCGAACTCTGTGGAAGGCAGTTTCCTATGTTCCTACTTAGTAGGTTGGGAACAGGAGTGAGTCTAGTTCAGTAGGACTGGCACCCATAACTAAGACAGAGGTTAAGATTAATTTTTTAAATAATAATTTTATAAGTGTGTGTCTTCGTTTCTCAATTTGTTCCCTTTACTCGGTTTTGCATGTATCGTGATATTTTACACACGGTGACTTGCAGTTATTTTAACTGATCGTAGCTTAGTAATTATTGCAATTGTTAAGAGTGAATTTCAGTTTAGCTATTATTTGCTGATGTTTTGAGAGTTTATTTTACTGTGTACTATTATATTCCAATAGATTATTGGATATTACTTTATTTGATGTAGGTCGTTCCGTTTTAAAGTTATATTTTATCATGACTTTTTGTATTGGACCAGATTATTATAAGGCGTGCTGTATATTTCGCCGCTGTAAACTGCCTTGTGTGTAGTAATGTAGAAAGGTGGTGTACAAATTAAAAGTGAAATGAAATGGAAAAATAAGAAATGCTGGAATATATATGACAGCACACTTGCCGTAGTCTGAACTATATTCCAGTTTCAACAGGACTTATTAATAACACGCTAATTCTCCCCCTCGCCACCTTTTTCAATCCTGATCTGTTTTATCTGTCGCGAAGGCATCTACGTTCCTGAGAAAACAACGCCTCAAGAGATGATGAAGGTCTTTGCGTTTGCAAACTCTTTAGTGGAACTTCTTGCCATGGGACTGGAAACCTTCAACAGAGCCCGCTACAGGCAGTTTGTGAAACGAATCGGCCACCTCATCAGGTAAGGAGCATCACTTGGTAGCCTCAAGCAGCAACAGAGGCCCCTTCTTGGCCAACGTGGGATTGTGGAGGTCACTGTTTGTCCAGCTTGCCTCCGCATCCCATCCCAGTTTTGTAATTGCCGCTTTGCTCCAAAGGAAACGCCTGAGCATCTTGTTCTTCTGCCAGCGTTAGATTAGCACCCTTTACCTTTTTTAGAATCAAAACATCTTAGAATTGTAGAGTCAGAAGGAGTCTGAGGGCCGTGCAACAGCTTCTTGTGGTTCTTTACATGTTTCCAAAGGGGCCTTTGGCATGTGTAGTTCAGCAGCTCTTGCATCATCCTCACTATTTACTGATCACAGAATCAGAAAATTGTGGAGTTGGCCATTTGCATTTCAGGGATCTCAGCTAAAGCATCCAAGAGGGATGGGCATCCAGCCTCTTCTTAAAAACCTCCAAGGAAGGAGAGTCCATAGTAGTTGGCCACCGTGAGAGCAGGAGGCTGGACTACAATGCACCGTTGGCCTGATCTGGCTGCAAGGCTCTTCTTACATTCTTAAATGATTTGTAGACATTCAGATTTTCCGCATTGTCCTGTTCCGCCTCCCCGTTCCCCCTCTCTCGCCTCCTGCTGTTAGGATGACGCTTTGCTACGTGAGTGACCACTGGGCCCAGTATGCCAGCCAGGCCAAAGGCTACGGCTATGAGATGCACCCTTACTCTGTTGAGAAACTGCAGGTGGAATTTGACGAGCTCTTCCTGAGGGCTGTCCTCCAAGTCCTGAAAGCGAAAAGGTAGGAAACGAGGGGCTGTGCCGGGGGCGGGGGGGGGGGGGTGACATTTGTGGCGGTTGGGGAAGTCTAGGTTGCGTCTAGAAGAGAGCTGTGAAGTCAGGTGGGACCCAATAGAAGGCCAGAACTCAAATCCTCCAGGTGTGGAGGGAAATGGCCTTTATCAGAGCTTGTTAGCGTGCAGTTAATTTCCAAGGTTAGGGGCATATGTGTTTCCTCTGCGGGAGAGATCCGCCGAAGCCGACAAAGTGAGTGGCTGGACCATTTGAGAATCCTCTCTGCCTTGGCAGCAAGGGTAGCTGCCCATGCACTGTCTCGCCAGAGTGGTGCATGCTCTGGTTATCTCCCGCTTGGACTACTGCAATGTGCTCTATGTGGGACTACCTTTGAAGGTGACCCGGAAACTGCAATTAATCCAGAATGCGGCAGCTAGACTGGTGACTGGGAGTGGCTGCTGAGACCACATAACACCTGTCCTGAAAGACCTACATTGGCTCCCGGTACGTTTCCAGGCACAATTCGAAGTGTTGGTGTTGACCTTTAAAGCCCTAAATGGCCTCGGTCCAGTATATCTGAAGGAGCGTCTCCACCTCTATCGTTCTGCCCGGACACTGAGGTCCAACTGAGAGCCTTCTGGAGGTTCCCTCCCTGCGAGAAGTGAGGTTACAGGGAACCAGACAGAGGGTCTTCTCGGTAGTGGCACCCACCCTGTGGAACGTCCCCCCTTCAGATGTCAAAGAATAAACAACTATCTGACTTTTAGAAGGCATCTGAAGGCAGTCTTGTGATCATGGAATTGTAGAGTTGGAAGGGACCCCCAGGGTCATCTAGTCCAACCCCCTGCAATGCAACATGGGGCTCAAACCCACAACCCTGAGATTAAGAGTCCCATGCTCTACCAACTGAGCCATGCTAGCATTGTGTAGGGAAGCTTTTAATATTTGATGAATTATTGTATTATAATACTTTGCTGGAAGCCGCTCAGAGTGGCTGGGGAAGCCCAGCCAGATGGGCGGGGTATAAATAATAAATTATTATTATTCCTGTGCCCGAAACATTTCTGTTTGGTCTTCCCATTCCCAACAGGCTAGGGGTCTGGCTCTTTATGTCCGAGATGCCCTACGGGACCCTGTCCTGCAACATGCTCTGGAAGCTTTTCTCCATCATGCACTGCGCAGAAAGCGAGAACCTGGAGAAGCCGTGTGCCGTGGTGCAGCTGGCTGACTGCAAACACAGACTCAATGGTAGCGTCTCAATCCCCCCGTCTCCCTTTCTTTCTTTGGTCGCTTGCGTGCGTATTTTCAGCCAGGTATATTTGGATGCTCATCTGCCTGGGGTGTAAGCGTCACGGCTGGTGTCCCCGGACCAAGCAAGTACAGTGGTACCTCAGGTTACATACGCTTCAGGTTACAGACTCCGCTAACCCAGAAATAATGCTTCAGGTTAAGAATTTTGCTTCAGGATGAGAACAGAAATCGTGCTCTAGCAGCGCGGCGGCAGCAGGAGGTCCCATTAGCTAAAGTGGTGCTTCAGGTTAAGAACAGTTTCAGGTTAAGTACAGACCTCTGGAACGAATGAAGTACTTAACCCGAGGTACCACAGTAGTCACGCAGGCAAGCGCTGATTCCTTCTGAATGCATCACTGCGATGCAGCCCTCTGGCTGTCTTCCTGTGATGGTGGTGGTGCAACGTTGGGGAATCTTTTTCGGCCTGAGAGCCACATTTCCTTCTGTGTAACCTTCTGAAGGCTGGTAGGGAGATCTGCTTTGGGGAAAAATGGTTGGGCTTAGGCAGATGTGCTTCCACTCCCAATTCTTTGCCGCTAGGAAAAGATCTGCCTGCCTCCATCCCATGTTAGCTGCTGTGTGCCGACTTGGTCATGTTGGGCAGTCGTTCAGGCCCCTTATCAATTTAGAACACAGCAGCGGTAGCCAATTTGGAAATAAACAACTACCTGACTTTTAGAAAACATCTGAAAGCTGTGTTGGGAAGTTTATTTTATGTCTAACCATTTTTTATGTGCCGTAAGCTGCCCAGAGTGGCTGGGGAAACCCAGCCAGATGGGCGGGGTATAAATAAAATAATAATAGTAATAATCTATTTTAATAAATAACCATTTTACTTTTAAAAGACAACTGAAGGCAGCCCTGTTTAGGGAAGTTTTTAATGTCTGACGCTGTATTGTTTTTAATATTCGGTTGGAAGCCACCCAGAGTGGCTGGGGAAGCCCAGCCAGATGGGCGGGGTATAAATAATAAATTATTATTATTAATCATTATCATCATCTTCGTCCTCCATATAATTCTGGACTCAAGCTCCCCTCTGCCCCAGACAGCAGTCTGCATTTCTCAGGGACAGTGGGTGTTGCGGTCAGACAATATCTGGAGCTCACCGCTGTGATGCAGAGTAGAATGAAACGCCCATTAAAGGAGGATCTCCGATCTTTGCCCTTGAAATAAAACCAGCCCCCTCTTTTGCCACCGGCAGACCCAGCCCACCTGGAGAATTTCGAAAAGTATCTCCAGTCGATGAACGGGTCCGAGGAGATCTGCCTGCTGACGACGTTTGCCCAGATGGCTCAGGCGAAACGCGAGGATGCTGACCAGGACTTTGTCAGAGTCATCGTGTTGGAGATCTATGAGGTGAGCCAGGAGCAGTTCGATAGGTGAGAGGGAGCTGCGGTGTTGGGCAGAAAGCTCCGACCCGGGAGTGGCTTCCGCACTGCAGCTGCGAGGCGGAGCTGCGAAGGAAGCAGCCCCGGGTTCGAATCTTGCCTCTGCTGCGAACTTGCTAAGAGATGGCTGTGTGTCGGCCTCCTTTTCCTGGTCCCAGCCAGCCATTCATCTACTGGAAGCTGAGCAAGGCTGTTTGCTGAGAAAGGGCGTTTTGACTCCGTGCTAGCATTCGAGTGACAAAGGAAGTAAAAGGAGGTGGATAACAATTAAGGATTTATTATGTTTGGAAAATTTATATAGAAAGGTTTATTGTTTTGTGTGCATTCAATTGTAAGATAAAACATATGCAAAGGGACTTGACAGGAAGTCAGAACTGAAGAAAAGATTTTGTAAGATAAAAGGGGGAAAATATTTATTTTCATTATTAATTTTTTCTTTCCCCCCTTTTTTTCTGTCTGTGTTTGTGTGTGTTGTATGGAATGGAATGTTTGGGAGGAAATAAGACGGTAAATAACAAATAAACAAAATATTGATGTATGTAATTTTTATTTCTCAATTACGTTTTGTGGTAGTAGGGTTGTAATGTTTTTTGTAACATAAAATTATTCAATAAAAATTATTTTTTAAAAAGAGAGAAATGGCGTTTTACCAGGGAAAGCCTCAGCGGGCGGCTAAAAATGAAGTAAAAACCGCTGTATTTCTCCAGGTGTCGTACGTCAGCCTTTCCACCAGAGAGACTTTCTCAAAGGTCGGCCGGGAGCTCCTGGGCGCCATCACCGCTGTCCACACCAGCATGATCTCTGTTCTTCTGGACCGAGTCAAAGAGACCATTGAAAAGGTTGGCATGGTAAGAACCACGCCATGCTGGGCTGCAGCTGTTGCTGAGCCCAGTTGATGGAGAACGTCCTTTAGCCATGTACAACTTACCGTATTTTTTGCTCTATAAGACTCACTTTTTCCCTCCTAAAAAGTAAGGGGAAATGTGTGTGCGTCTTATGGAGCGAATGCAGGCTGCACAGCTTTCGCTGAAGCCAGGAGAGCAAGAGGGATTGCTGCTTTCACTGCGCAGCGATCCCTCTTGCTGTTCTGGCTTCTGAGATTCAGAATATTTTTTTTCTTGTTTTCCTCCTCCAAAAACTAGGTGCGTCTTGTGGTCTGGTGCGTCTTATAGAGTGAAAAATACGGTAAAATGCTCCTGCTAGAATTGTACGCCAGCCCTGTTGTTTTGCGTTTATTCTGGTTCGGAAGGGGAACGGCAAGGACCTTCAGCCTCACCTTCTGAATGATGGAAACCTCATTCATCCGCGCCCTGATATTTCAGCGCCTGCCACCTCCCAAATGCACACCTTACAGCTCTTATCTGGGTAAACAGCAGGGACTAGAAGCATGTTCTGAGTCACAGAACACACACAGGCCTGTTGGAGAAAGGAGCTTGGAGGACCCAAGGGCCATAGAGCCCTTACTGCTAAATAAGAGACACCTTAGAAGACCATGAGCTGAGAGCCAAGGGGCAGATGGAGCTCAGCAGCTCAGGAAAGTAGCCTATGTTGGGAGAATGAAAACTCTCATCCTAAACCTTCGCTGCCTTGCAGGTTTTCGTTCGGAAAATGCAATGAAATGAAATACTTTATTGTCACTTGTACAACTTGTGTACAGTGAGATTACATAATAATAATAATAATAATAATAATAATAATAGGCTAAGGAGTAAATCCTTCACAAATCTGGACCTGAGTCCCTGAGACGGTTGGATGGCACCTTTTGCGCCTCCTTCTGGCAACTCCTGCTGCCAAGCTTTTGCCAGATGTCTTGCTCTGCTTTCCTTTGGATCCCATCAGTGAGGCTGGCGGGGGCGGGGGTCTTGTCGTCTGAGCAGCCCAGGACCTCCAGACACACTGCCCAGTCTTGCGCCTGGGGAGCTCACTTCGGCACTGCTAACACAGCAGTTTGACTTCACCGCTGGAAGTACACTCCCTTGTCTCTTGAGATAGATGGACACCAACAGAGGCTTGTATAAGCGGGTCCAATATTTCCATTCTCTTGCTTTGAGCGTTTTATTTTTGCAAGATTACTCACTCCCAACAGCGTTGAAAAAGACTTCACTGGACCTTTGAGATGGTCTTCTTTATTATAATATTTTTATTAGTTTCCAATTACATTCCAATAACAGCCTCATTATAACAATGCCAATTTATAATACAATTACTAATACCAATCGTTCAAATACCGAACTACGTAATTTAGGTGGCCTGCCCGTGTGCTAGAATGGATGGTTTTATGCTTTTCTTTACTTCTGCATTCCAAAATCTTATTAATTTCTATTACATTCCGGTCATCATAATAATCCCTTATACAACAACTGCAATACTAATAATTTCTATTTGTGTTGGCACATGAAATGCTTTATAAAACTACAAGTGAGGCACTCAAACTATATCCTTAGTCTTCCTGTGTGTGGCAATTATTCTGTCCGTGGCGTTTCTTCCTTTTCTTGTAAAATGTTACGTCTTATCTTTTCCCGGTTGTTTCTCTACTCCAGCATCTTCATCGGCATATCTGTCACCTTTTTCTTCTTAGGTTTCTCTTTATTTATTTAAAGAGCTGCCCATGCACCTCTGGAAGCCATCTTCATCTGAGGTAGCCCTGATCCGCGACTGGCTTCTCAATCACAGCCTCACTGAAGTGGAGAACAAACTCGCCTGCATTATCCTGGAAGGGCTGAACTGGGGAGTCGGTGAGCAGGTGCGTGTGGAGAAAGGAGGCTGCAGCTTTTTAATCAGTGAATCGAACAATGCATTCAAATTTCCAGTTATTTTTAATACCGGTACTTTGGGGTGTGGGGGGGGTGGGAACTGCAGGTGGCAGGCTCCATTTTTGAAGACACCCACCACCCCACAAACACACACACTTGTGCAGGAGTGAAAAGCTCCTTTAAACGGGCTTTTGCTACGTCGTAATGAATGCATCAGCTGATTGCAAAGTAAAACACCAGTCTTGAAACACCAGTCTTGAAAGACCTACACTGGCTCCCAGTATGTTTCCGAGCACAATTCAAAGTGTTGGTGCTGACCTTTAAAGCCCTAAACGGCCTTGGCCCAGTATACCTGAAGGAGCATCTCCACCTCCATCGTTCTGCCCGGACACTGAGGTCCAGCGACAAGGGCCTTCTGGCGGTTCCCTCGCTGCGAGAAGCCAAGTTACAGGGAACCAGGCAGAGGGCCTTCTCGGTGGTGGCACCCGCCCTGTGGAACCCCCTCCCACCAGATGTCAAAGAGAAAAATAACTACCAAACTTTTAGAAGACATCTAAAGGAAGCTTAGGGAAGATTTTAATGTTTAATAGGTTATTGTATTTTAGTGTTTTGTTGGAAGCCGCCCAGAGTGGCTGGGGGGACCCAGCCAGATGGGCGGGGTATAAATAATAAATTATTATTATTATTATTATTATTATTATTATTATTAAACCTGGTTTCAGTCCAGAGGAAGGTTTGTGCAGATTTCATAGAGCCCTTTTCTACATGAGGGCTGCATTCTCCTATGGGCAATTTTGTGAGGCCACTGAATGGGTGGGGACAGAGCGGAAACGGGCGGAGCAACGAATGCAAATTTTACCTCTCTACAAAAGGCTAGTTTTTATCCACATTGCAAATGAGCAGCCCAAAGGCTTGGGTAAATGGAATTTTTTTACCCCTGGCCTCTGAAAACAGACATCATAATAATAATTTATTATTTATACCCTGCCCATCTGGCTGGGCTTCCCCAGCCACTCTGGGCGGCTTCCAACAAAATATTAAAACACAGAGGCATGACTCTGCAAGCCACCACTGTTTATTTGCCAGCATGTTCCCCTTCTGGGTAGCTTTGCCTTCTCCCTGCTAGTGCAGGGAGGAAACAGGCCAGGGGCTGTTACTCTTCAAGCAACTCTACTCAGTAGGCCAAGAACAACCCTCAGTTCATTGGGACAGACCGCAGTCCCTTGTTCAAACATACCTGCCCCAGGGACCACGGTTTACTGTGATGTGATGGGAGGGTTGTACATTTAAGGCCCGTGTCTTAAACGTCATTCACCATCAGGGTGGCCTTCATCTCGACCCAACGGTCCACGCTGAAGTTGCGCTAATGGTCTTAGAAGCTTACCAGAAGTACCTCTCTCAGAAACCGTACAGCGGGCTCATCTCTGAAAGCATCAAGCAGGTACGTCCTTCTTCCTTGAATGCTTCTTGTTAGCTTGGCTTTTTTGCACTGAAGTTTTTTTTTATCAAGTTCCCCAAAATTCACACATACATTTCAATACAGTGGAACCTCGGGTTGTGAATGTGATCCGTGCGGGAGGCACATTCGCAACCCTCAGCGCCGCGTCTGCGCATGCGCAAAGTGCTATTTAGTGCTTCTGTGCATGTGTGAGCACCGAAACCCAGAAGTAACCCCTTCTGGTGCTTCCGGGTTCAGCGCGGTGTGCAACCTGAAAATTTCGTAACCTGAAGCTTCTGTAACCCAAGGTACCACTGTACATAATAAAAACTTTTCCCCAACTTCTCACCTGCTTTTCCATGGTGTTTCCATTTCTCACCCCCGCTGCACCCTCTCTTAAACCTTAAGAAAACTGCCGTAATCTTTAATCCCTTCTATTGCTCACAGTGTCAAATCCTTCTTGTGTGTTCATCATGTAATAATACTTCTTTATACAATCCTGTTTGCTATGGGGGAGGCAGCGACGAGCTGGGTTCCCATAAACTGTTGCTTAAAAACTGCCCTGCACTTCTGTTGGATGTAAGGTTGGGCAGTTGTTACCTAAGTCCCTCCCATAAATGTAGATGAAGCCTGTGGCCAATGCAGATTTTTGCTGGACTACAATTCCCATCATTCCTGACCATCAGCGGTGCTGGTGTGCTGATGGGAGTTGGAGTCCATCAATCTTCAGGTTAAAGCAACGCTAAGCGACTTTGCACCGCTCCAAGATGCTGTGTAGACAAACCGGAAGTCCCGTCTCTCTTACGGAACCGCCTCTCCCGATATGCCCCATGGAGGACCTTAAGGTCCATAAATAGCAACACCCTAGAGGTCCTGGGCCCTAAGGAAGTCAGATTAGCCTCAACCAGAGGCAGGGCCTTTTCAACACTGGCTCTGGCCTTGTGGAACGCTCTGTCTCATGAGACCAGGGCCCTGCAGGATCTGATTTCTTTCCGCAGGGCCTGTAAGACAGAGTTGTTCCGCCTGGCCTTTGGCTTGGAATCAACTTGATCCCCTTCCCCTCTTTCCTTTCTCCTTCTGTGATGCAACCCCTATTTGGGGACTTCCCTGCCTTTTTTCTGGCCCACGTAGGACCAGTCTGGATAGTTGACCTTGGCGAAGACTTGACATTTTCATCCCCAAAAAGTTTTTGCTTTGAGTTTCTACTGAAATGAGGCTGCATTTTAATGTTGTACTTAATCTTGTTTCGAAGTTGTATTTTAATCAATTGTTTTTACCTGGTGTTAGCCGCCCTGAGCCCGGTCTTGGCTGGGGAAGGCGGGGTATAAATAAAATTTATTATTATTATTTATCATTGTCTAGGTCTCCTACCTGGCCAGCGTCGTCCGTTATGGAGAGACACCCGAAACCTCCTTCAACCAGTGGGCCTGGGGGCTGGTCTTGAGGCTGAAACTGCACGCCAACGACTACGGGATGCAGCAGGGCTGGCCTCTCACTCCCGTCTCCTCTGCGGCGCTTGAGCTGGCGGAATCGCCCACCTTTCACCCACTGTTGAAGGCCGTCCGGTCGGGCCTCCCTATTGGCTGCTACCTGGCGTTGGCCATGACGACGGTGGGGCATAGGTGAGTGCCAGGAGAACTCTCCCTTGCCCTCTGTGTCCTCGGCGGTGCATTTCTGGGTTTACATGCATCCCCGCCCCAGGCCTGCAGCTCGTTCACAGTCAATCAGAAAGCATAGGGAAGGTAGTGCAATCATGGCTCAGAGGAACCTGGTGAATCCCCCCTGTAATGGCTCGTGCATAAATCGGCGCCACACCTGGCTGGGTTGCCTGAGTGAACCCTTTCTGTCCGGACAGCCGCTCGCCCGTGGCTGTCTCAATCGCTGGCAGAATCCGTCAGTGGGCGTTTCTTGAACTTCTTCCAGCAAAGAAGCTCTTTGACGCCGAATCTCCGCCTACTCTCCCTGCGCGGAAGCCTTCTGCGCAGGGAGGGTGTGGGCAGCGGAGGACCCGTGCTCTCCCCGCTGGTCCCCGGAGAGGAGTCATGGAGCCACCTTGCCGATTCCCCCATCTGCCCCCCTTCTCCACTGGTGCTATGCTGATTTCCTTCCCCAGAAGATGTGCTGCTTCTCTCCCTCCCGGGACGCTCTCCGGAATCCCTCTGGAGCCCTCCCTCTCCCTCTGGCTCCGATGGCAGTTCCCTGACACCCCCCTCCCAAAAAACCCCTCAAGCTGACCTGCCCTTGCATCACAGGAACATAGGAAGCTGTCTTATACAGAGCCAGACCATTGGTCTGTGTAACTGACTGACAATGGCTCTCCTAGGTTTCAGGGCGGGGTATAAATAATAAATTATTATTCTGGGAATGGAACTTGGCATCTTCTTCAGGCAAATCAGGTTCTCTGCCCCTGAGCAACGGCCCTTCCCCTTGCTTATTTGTTTATTTATTAAACTTACCACAGCCATACCTCGGGTTGCGAACGTGATCCGTGCAGGAGGCACGTTCGCAACATGCAGTGCCGTGTCTGCGCACGCGTGTGACGTGATTCGGCGCTTCTGCGCATGCGTGTGATGTCATTTTGTGTTTTTGCGCATGCGCGAGCGCCGAAACCTGGAAGTAACCTGTTCCGGTACTTCCAGGTTCGGTGCGGACCACAACCCAAAAACGCGCAACCCGCAGCGTTCGTAACTTGAGGTATGACTGTACAGTGGTACCTTGGTTTTTGAACAGAATGAGTTCCGGGAGCCCGTTCAACTCCCGGAACTGTTCAGAAAACTGAAGCATGACTTCTGATTGTCTGTAGGAGTGTCCTGCAGCCAATCGGAAGCCACAGAAGCCGCGCCAGATGTTCAGCTTCCGAAAATCGTTCGAAAACCGGAACACTCACTTCCGGGTTTCGATCGTTCAGGAGCCAATCTGTTCGGGAGCCGAGGCGTTCAAGATCCAGGGTACAACTGTAGTTGCTTGTCATGTGAAAGTCTCCAAGCAATGTCCAGTAAAGATAGATTTACAGCACATAATGGGGGTGGGGGGAGGTGGCAGCTGCCCAATGCATCTTCTCATCTGTCTCCCCATAATAGCTTTGAGGCAGGAATCCCCTCAGAAGAATTTGTGTCAGCTTCCTGGAAGCCTGCAGGCGTGGGAGCAGAGATCACCCTTCTGCCTGTTAATACCGTTATCGTTTTGTCCAATGACTAACATACATTTTCCTCTTATCCTTCAATAGTGTTGAGAAGTTCTGTGCTGAAGGGATCTCACTCCTGGGCGTTTTGGTGCAGTCGCGGCATCTGAGAACGGTGGTTCATGTCCTGGATAAAGTCTTAGCGTTGTTCTATCCATGCCAGTATTACCTGCTGAAGAACGAACAGTAAGTCCAAGACTGCCTGCCTTGCTTGTATCCCCCATCTATCCTTTCAAAATTCTGCTGTTACTGCATCTCAAGGCAGCCCTGTATAGGAAAGTTTTTAATGTTTAATGTTTTATTATGTTTTTGAATATGCTGGGAAGAGTGGCTGGGACAACCCAGTCAGATGGACAGGGGTACAAATATTATTATTATTATTAATTAAATAGGGCAGGCTGGTTTTTGCAGCTCAGCCAGAGGGCCCTTTCTGAGAGTTGGTATATGTCAGGCATAGGCAAACTTGGCCCTCCAGATGTTTTTGGCCTACAACTCCCAGGATCCCTAGCCAGCAGGACCAGTGGTCAGGGATGATGGGAACTGTAGTCCCAAAACATCTGGAGGGCTGAGTTTGCCTATGCCTGATATATGTAGTGCACAGCATTTGAAATTAGCTGGGCATTTTGTAACTGGCAACTGGTCTTTTGCAACAGGATTGATATGTCCAGGTGCCACCTTTGGCGCCTAACATATCCACCTGCCTGTGGGTTATTCAGGGGGCCTGCAGAGTAGCGCGGCAGCAAAAGACATGCCTTTGTTTTTTTGCTGTTGCTGCTGCGCTGCCGGGCAAATCAGCTGTTTTGCGGGGTAGCGCGGTAGCAAAATACATGCCTTTTGCTGCTGTGCTACCTTGCAGACCCCCTGAATCACCTGGCAGCAAAAAAAAAGAAAGAAAGAACTTTTTTTTTTACCTGCTATCTGTCTTCAAAAAAGAAATCCTAGTCTATGTACAAAAAATGGCGACTGGACATTCTGTTTTGGTACCCACCATCCAGATCCCAGCAGTCATATGGCTCCTAGCTTTTGTATCCTAGTTTGTAACAATGGTAGTGGGGCAACTGTACCTTTTCGACCTAGCAACTAAATTGGCAACTTGTTCTTTGTCCTGTCCCGCCCCACCCAGGTTTCTGTCTTGCCTCTATCAATTCCTTCAGCTGGACAGTGGCGTCCCCCAAGGGATGACCCAGCAAGTGACGCAGAAAGTCACTCAGCACTTAACTGGGACGAGTTACGGTGAAAACATCAAGCTGCTCAACTGCATGATTCAGGTCAGGAGCTAGAAGCATGTCTTCTTCGACCGTGGACTCTTTTAAGGCTGGAAGGGAACCAAGGGACCAAAGCACCCATCCCTTTGCTCCTAAAGATCAGCCTACATGGTGCAAGACTAGAATGTGCCACAAGACAAAAGCAAGGAGTTATTGACAGTTTTACCGCTTCCTTTAAACTGCTTAGAGGCTTTACAGCAATCAAGCAGCATATGAATTTTTGTTAAATAAAATAAGGGTGGTTGCCCCATGTAAACGAATGTGCGTGTCCCCGCAAGCGTGGAATCTCAGAATCATCCAATTGTCAAGTTGGAAATGACCCAAAGGGTCCCTTATTCCAAACCTCTGCAATGCAGGAATCTCAGCTAATGAATCTCTGACAGAGAATCTTTCTGAGAATCTTGGCTCTTCCTTCCTTTCCCAAATTAAGCTTATCTTAGGCTCGACAAGATAGGCTTGAGAGCTTGTAGATCCGCATCTGCTGAAATTCCAGGAGTTCCAGGGATGACTGAATGAGAGCGACAGGGTTTGGGGTGGGGTTCAGGGTACATCAATGCAGTTAAAATGTCATGGCCCCGACCTCTGGAAGCAGCCAGGACTTTGATGCAGGGGAACAGAAGTCAGGACCAGCTGTGCAAGCAACATCAGACCACATAACACCGGTCTTGAAAGACCTACACTGGCTCCCAGTACATTTCCGAGCACAATTCAAAGTGTTGGTGCTGACCTTTAAAGCCCTAAATGGCCTCGGCCCAGTATATCTGAAGGAGCATCTCCACCCCCCCATTGTTCTACCCGGATACTGAGGTCCAGTGCCGAGGGCCTTCTGGAGGTTCCCTCACAGCGTGAAACCAAGTTACAGGGAACCAGGCAGAGGGCCTTCTCGGTAGTGGCACCCACCCTGTGGAACGCCCTCCCACCAGATGTCAAAGAGAAGAACAACTACCAGACTTTTAGAAGACATCTGAAGGCAGCCCTCTTTAGGGAGGCTTTTAATGTTTGATGTATTGTGGTATTTTAATATTTTGATGGAAGCCGCCCAGAGTGGCTGGGGAAGCCCAGCCAGATGGGCGGGGTATAAATAATAAATTATTATTATATATTATATTATTCTGGGTCCAGGCAGAGTCTCCAGTGCGGAGCCAGAACCGGCCAGCTGGAAGTGCCTTCAGCTGCCCCTTCCCCATCGAGGCCAATGGTCTTTGTCCATGCCAGGAGCCTCACTCTTTTCAGTGCTTGTGTTTGGCAAGCACTGCCAAAGAGGCAACAACGATGCATGCCTGCAGGCTAGAGGCCTGCTCCACCTTTCAGCAAAGGCTTGAACAGCCTGGGAAGGGTTCTATGACCTCAGCAAATTGCCAGCTCGGTGCTGTCCAAGGTCCTGCGATGAGAGAGAGAGAGAGAGACTGGGAATCCTGATAGTAGATGATTCGGTCAAGGAAGCCAAGTTGCATGCAGCTGGGGTGTGTGGAGGCTTGTAGAATCTGGATTTCTGACCGTTTCTGAGGCCAACCCCAGGGAGATTCTGGAGAAACATCAGGAAGAATTTTCAGACAGCGACAGCCTTTCGGCACTGGGATGGGCTCCCTCAGAAGGTGGTGGACTCCTTCCTTGGAGGTTTTTAAGCAGAGGTTGGATGGCCATCTGTCAGGGATGCCTTTAAAGCCCTCAACGGCCTCGGTCCGGTATACCTGAAGGAGCATCTCCACCTTCATCGTTCTGCCCAGACACTGAGGTCCAGCATCGAGGGCCTTCTGGCAGTTCCCTCATTGCAAGAAGTGAGGTTACACGGAACCAGGCAGAGGGCCTTCTCGGTAGTGGCACCCGCCCTGTGGAACGCCCTCCCACCAGATGTCAAAGAGAAAAACAACTACCAGACTTTTAGAAGACATTCCCTGTTTAGGGTAGCTTTTAATGTTTAATAGGTTATTGTATTTTAATATTCTGTTGGAAGCCTCCCAGAGTGGCTGGGGAAACCCAGCCAGATGGGCAGGGTATAAATAATAAATTAACATTATTGTTATTAGTGGAGATTCTTGCATTGCAAGGGGTTGGACTACATGACCCTCGGGGTCCCTTCCGGCACTACAATTCTCTGACCACCCTGGTCTCCCATCAGAAGAAACATGCAAAACTGGTGGGCAAAAGATACAGTGTCAGTGAGTTGGCTGTGCTGTGGATGAGTGAGAATCAGGCGCTGTTCTCTCTCTCTTTCTCTCTCTCTCTCTCTCTCTCTCTCTCTCTCTCTGTGTGTGTGTGTACAGCCCATGCAATGAGCACCTCCATGCAAATACAGTTTTGACTGCTTTTCTGTCGCCTGCAGAAATCCGTCTCTAATGGTGGCAGCGTTTTATAAGAAGGGCTGTTCTCACGCCTTGTTGCTGCCCTCCAGGTCTGTGGGTTCTCTCCGGCCCTTATTGCGATCTCATTTCATCCTTCCACCCTTTTTCTTGGCAGACTCACATTTTTATGAGCAGCCTTCCCAACGGAGTCGGGCCAGCGGCCGTGTTGGAGTTCTGGGTTCAGGCCCTCATCAGCCAGCCGCTGTGGCACAAGGAGAGAGCCATACTCTGCCTGATGGACCACTTGTGCCAAGCCGCTTTCCAGTTCAACCAAGAGGACTGTGTGCAGAAGCTGCTGTACCAGCAACACAAGGTATGGATGCTCCATCCCTCTTTCCCTCCTGGGTTAGGAGATGCTTTAACTAGCAGTGTCTGTTGGTGTTTTGCAACTTTGACCTGTTGCAGGACCTTAGCCAGACCTTAGCAGAGCATATGCAGAGTTCCAGAAAGCAATCAGTTGCAGGCAGGATGGACGAAGCAGGAACAAATGCTGCTATTAGTAACTTGGTTGCTTTGATGTGTTTATTATTTACGGCAGACTCTACAAGTTATTTCAGTGGTACCTCTAGATACGAATGGGATCCGTTCCGGAGCCCCGTTCGCATCTAGAAGCAAACGTAACTAGTGACGGCACGTCTGTGCATGCACGCATCACGTTTTGCCGCTTCTGCGCATGCGCATGACGTCATTTTGAGCGTCTGCGCATGCGCAAGCGGCGAAACCCGGAAGTAACGCGCTCCGTTACTTCCGGGTTGCTGCGGAGCGCAACTCAAGCGCACTCAACCCAAAGCGCATTCAACCGAGGTATGACTGTATATACAAGAACAGAAACGTGGATCTTAACTAGCTCTCTCTTAACAAACGCCAAACGACTCTCAGAACATCACACTGACCGACAACACAGTCCAGTCAGTAAGGTCATAAATCATCATGCCCTTGTGAGACTTCAATTTTAAAGCTGTTTCCAGGCTCCCATATCTCCAGGCAGATAACTCTCTGCTCAGTCATCCTTGTCTGTCGGCCAACTCTTAATTGACTCTGTGAAGCTGCACAGAATAGCACGTAGTCAAAAATCCCAACAGTGTCTGTCTCGAGAGACGATGGAGTGCACTTCTTGGGGTGAACATCCCCGGAGGTGCAAGCCTGGATGTCCTGGGCTGCCCAGACGACAAGACCCTCTCTCAGCCTCGCTGATGTGGTCCAAAGGAATGCATAGCAATGTCTTTGGCACCAGCTTGGCTGCAGGAATTGCTGGACGGAGGCGTACAAGGCGCCATCCAACCATCTTAGGGATTCCACTCTAGATTTGTGTAGGGTTTTCTTCTGAAGATATCCAGCAAGGCAGTGAAGGTTTAGGATCAGAGTTCTCTTTCTCCTTGATGGGCTTCCTTCCCAGGCTGATCACTCCCATCTGCCCCTCATATTTAAATAATGGCCAAGTAATGCAGAATGTGGGACGCGGGTGGCGCTGTGGGTTAAACCACTGAGCCTCTTGGGCTTGCTGATCAGAAGGTCGGCGGTTCGAATCCCCGCGACAGGGTGAGCTCCCGTTGCTCGGTCCCTGCTCCTGCCCACCTAGCAGTTCGAAAGCACGTCAAAGTGCAAGTAGATAAATAGGTACCACTCCGGCAGGAAGGTAAACGGTGTTTCCGTGCGCTGCTCTGGTACGCCAGAAGCGGCTTAGTCATGCTGGCCACATGACCCGGAAGCTGTACGCCGGCTCCCTCGGCCAATAAAGCGAGATGAGCGCCGCAGCCCCAGAGTCGGCCGCGACTGGACCTAATGGTCAGGGGTCCCTTTAACTTTACCTTTACCTTTAATGCAGAATGTGTTGGGATGCTGTGGTCGCCTGTTCCCTGCTCTGGAAGTGGGTTGGACTTGTTGAGCTTTGGGATCACTTATAACACTTGGACTCTGCGATTCTTGGGTGTGTGGCTACTTAATTCATGGGCATGGCCCTTCCTTCTTCCTATGACCTCATGCAGGCTTCCTCAACCTGGGCCCTCCAGATGTTTTTGGCTTACAACTCCCATGATCCCTAGCTAGCAGGACCAGTGGTCAGGGATGATAGGAATTGCAGTCTCAAAACATCTGGAGGGCCGAGGTTGAGGAAGCCTGACTTAATGTTTAGAAGAAACCACCACTCTTAGAAGCTGAACCTGTTGATTGCCACCCTCTGGAGGAGATTTGCTCTATTTATGTGACAGCTCTTCAGATATTTGAAGTTGGTGGTCCCCAGTGCTTCTTCCTCGTCTCTTCTCCAAGCTAAACTTGCATGTTCTCCAGACTCCAAAGCCTCGTTGATGCCCTCTTCAGGCTAGAATTTGGCTTCCCTGTTCTATATACAGTGGTGCCCCGCAAGACGAATGCCTCGCAAGACGGAAAACCCGCTAGACGAAAGGGTTTTCCGTTTTGGAGGTGCTTCGCAAAACGAATTTCCTATGTGCTTGCTTCGCAAGACGAAAATGTCTTGCGAGTTCCTGCGGGTTTTTTTTCCTCCCCCCCCCCTTTTTCCCAAGCCGCTAAACCGCTTATCAGCTGATCGTTAAGCCGCTTAACAGCTGATCGCGAAGCCGCTTATCAGCTGATCCGCTAAGCCCGCTAAGCCGCTAATACTGTAGCGCTAATCTGCTAAACCGCTAATGGGCTTGTTTCGCAAGACGAAAAAACCCGCAAGACGAAGAGACTCGCGGAACGGATTCTTTTCGTCTTGCGAGGCACCACTGTATTGCGTCAAACATTGTTATGTCAAATGCTGTTTGAAACTGTGTCCCCCTGACCTCTGATAACAGGCAAGAAGTGTGTTCTTAAAGTCTGAATATGCTTCTGTGGCTTAATTCCCATTGCCTTTCGGCCTAAATCTCTGGCCTGCAATGGCTCAAGGTCTTCTCACCTGGCCTTTTCTCTCTCACCCGACCTTCCCAGAATGCCTTGGGCTACCACTGTGACAAGGGGCTGCTCTCTTCCTTAGTCAGCTGGATCGTGGCTGGAAATGTCACGCCTTCCTTCATCGAGGGAAACGCAAATCCCACGCAGGTAGGGAAGTGCCATAGAGTTGATGTCCTAGAATGGGCTTGGAGGGTGTTGCCCAGGCTTGCTCTCTCACTGGGAAGAAACAAAGATGGATTTGATTGAAATCAAATCAATTTAAATCACTAGTCAGTAAGACTTGATTTAAATCATTTTTCTTCTTTTACAGAAAGACTCATTCTTGCTGGTATAATCTTAATATTTGCAACCAAACAAAGGTTTCATTTTTGGAATAAAAAGTTTTCAGAGTAGTTTTTACAGTTATATAAAAAAATCACTGATTTGGTTATACTATTAGAAATGCATAGACAGATAATTATGAAATTATTGTGAGGTTGAATAAGTTAGCTGTTTATAGTTGGAGAACTTTTCTGCTGTACTTTATTGGAAGGAGAAAAATAATCATTTCCTTAATAACAATTTAAACAATTTATTTAACTTAAACAGTAACATTATGGCATTTGTATCCATGTTTGTCAACTGATGTGGTTAAAATAATTTTAGAAAACCGAAAACTTAGACTTAGTTGTAGAACTCATGAAAAACCTAAAACAAATCCTTATTCCTGATGAATAGCCATTGGACTATAATGTAACTTAAATAGAAAATTATCTTTAGAAAGATTTCCCCCTGAAAGCATTTTATTTTAAAAATCCAATTTAAATAAAAAAAATCTGATTTAAATAGAAAAAATCCATTTTAAAATATATTTTTTAAAATAAAAAAACATTTATTTTTATCCTCCCTGGAAGAAACCATTTTGAGTCTCGATGGGCCTCCTGGGAGCAGATGCTTCTCTTTCCTTGGTAGCCTTTGCTTTTATTACTTTCAGGTCTGGTTTGCGTGGACCATTCTGAATACGGAGTCCATCTTCGAAGAGGATTCCCAGCTTCGCAGAGTCGTGGAAAAGGAGTTGGTGGTCAGCAATTCGGCTCCTGATCAGGCTCTGAAGGTAGGACCAACGTGTCTTCTCTAGGCGATGGGTGCCTTCTCTGAAAAGGCACCCGATGTTAGGATATAGTTCCGTTCCACCTTTAGAACAGGCATGTGGAGTTGTTGCATGTCACAATTCTGTTTACTTCCAGCACAGTTTGCTGGGAACCTCCGTTGTATATAGCTTTTGCCTGTGTTGCTGTTTGCTTGGAAACGAAGGGAAGCAGACATGTTTTTCCTTTGTCCTGATGCTGAATAAACGCTTGTAAATATGCTTACATATGCCTCTGTGCGCTACTTCCGTTGCAAAGAGTTCTTATCTCTGCTAGCTTGCATGCTCAGTCTCTAAAGGTCGCAGTTTTGATGCTGTTCCAAGAACCGGATTTCGCCTGTTTGCTGGTCGGTGGGCTGGAGCCAGCTGGGGGCCTGCCAATTGCCCCCGTCTCCCCGGATGTATCCCAGCACCCAGAACAAGCTCGTGATGGGGAAAATTGACTTCACAGATATTGGCATAACCTATTTGGTGTTTCACAGCTTTCTGACTAGTTGCAGGACCTTAGCCAGACCTAGCAGAGTACACACAGAATCCACGGAAGCAATTGGCAACTTGGCTGCAGACAGGATAGACGAAGCAGGAACCAGGAACTTGTAGTTAGGTGTTTATTATATACAGTGGACCATAGCTGTCAACTTACAGATTTGAAAATAAGGGACCAGCAACCTCGAAAATAAGGGATCAGCAGCCAAAATAAGGGATCAACAATTACTTTGATAAAATACATATTTTGTTGCATGCAAATGGCTTTAGATACCTATTAGGTCCATAAATTACCATATAGCATATATTCAACACACAAAAACAGCAACAATTTGTTGTTGACAAAGGACAGCTGGACATAGAAAGGGCCCCATTACCTTCAGTAGCTTATTTAAGGGACATCATCAATAAGGGACAGCAGCGGGACATGGTGCTGGGATAAGGGACTGTTCCGCCAAATAAGGGACGCTTGACAGCTATGCAGTGGACTATTTACAGGAACAGAACACATATCTTTTGCTAGCTCTCTCTGACACGACTCACAACTCCTACACTGACACACAGAACTCTGAACACTGAACTAACACATTCCAGTTAGTAGGCCATTAATTATCACTCCCTTGAGAGAGCTTGACCAATCAGGGAGTTGTCTCCATGTCTCTGTTATCACCAGGCAGACTTACTCCTTAAGATTGCCTTCTGGCTGTCTGCCAAACCTTAATTGACTCTGTGTGAGTAGCTGCACGTATACAGTTTCCCAACAACAGAAGGCGACGCAACCAACTTTCTTTTCTGTCTGCAGAAAGCTCAGAGCCAGCTGAAGCTGCCCATCGTCCCATCTCTCCAGCGGCTGCTGATTTATCGTTGGGCTCATCAAGCCCTCGCTACCCCCGCTGACCACCCGCTGCTCCCGCTCATCTGGCAGAAATTCTTCCTCCTCTACCTCCACCGCCCGGGGCCGCAATATGGGTGAATTCACATCTGGAGGGTTTTTATTTAATTATCGTTATTTATTTCATTTCCGTCTCGCTTCCCCACCAGGCGTTTCGAAACGATTTACCCTGTAATGACATAAGATATAAGAACCGGCTAAAAACAATTGCACACACACAGAAACAATTTTAGGAAACAACTGCAAATATAAAGGCAGTTTAAAGTGACAACATGGCATCAATTCAGATCCCAGGCAGATACCAGCTGGGATGAATGTTTTAGGAAGCTCACTGAAAGGGGAACACATTTTGCTTTTTAATTATAGGAGTTGCTGTGCATGCAAAAGGCCTTTGGCCTCCTGTTAATCCCTGGCAACATCCCCAAGTGAAAGGGCTCAGTTAGAGCGGGTGATAAAGAAAGGCAGCCTTCGGCCTGAGACCCTGGGGAGCTGTTGCCAGTCAGAGCAAACAACACTGGGGGTAGACAAGCAAATAGTCAAACCAATAAAAGGCAGGTTTTTTATGTTTCTGTATTGGGGACGAACAGGTGACAGCTCAGGAATCCTGGTTAAAACTGAAATTTCTCCTTACCAAGTCACAAGAACCTGCCTCTCTCCTGATGTACTTGGGCTCCCAGCTCCCACCAGCCCAAGCCAGCATAGCTAAATATATTTAGAAACATGTATTAAGTTTTAATTAGAGAGCCAGCGTGGTGTAGTGGTTAAGAGCAGTGATCTGGTGAACTGGGTTCGCTTCCCCACTCCTCCACATGCACCTGCTGGGTGACCTTGGGCTAGTCACACTTCTCTGAAGTCTCTCAGCCCCACTCACCTCACAGAATGTTTGTTGTGGGGGAGGAAGAGAAAGGAGAAGGTTAGCCGCTTTGAGACTCCTTAAGGGGAGTGAAAGGCGGGATGTCAAGTCCAAGTCCAAACTCTTTTGTTTGGGTATTTCTTTTAAAAAATTGCAGAAATTGGACAAACTTAACAAAATAACTCATGCAACTGGAAGTAGACTGATTTCTCCATTGCTAAGTTTCATTATAAAGGAACGCGGGTGGCGCTGTGGGTTAAACCACAGAGCCTAGGACTTGCCGATCAGAAGGTCAGCGGTTCGAATCCCCACGACGGGGTGAGCTCCCATTGCTGGGTCCCTGCACCTGACAACCTAGCAGTTCAAAAGCACGTCAAAGTACAAGTAGATAAATAGGTACCACTCTGGCGGGAAGGTAAACGGTGTTTCCGTGCGCTGCTCTGGTTCGCCAGAAGCGGCTTAGTCATGCTGGCCGCATGACCCGGAAGCTGTACGCCGGCTCCCTCGGCCAATAAAGCGAGATGAGCGCCGCAACCCCAGAGTCATCCGCGACTGGACCTAATGGTCAGGGGCCCCTTCACCTTTAAGTTTCATTATGACCACCTTAGGTTTTTTTTCTTCAAAAGGGAAAAGGTCTACATACCGCTTTTCTAAGTGATTTCGCTTGTGTTGGTTGTAAATGAGAAAGATTCTTCTTTTTAAGGTTACCTGTAGATGGATGCATTGGGAAGAGGTTCTTTCAGAGTCCCGCTCACCTGGGCTTATTAAGCGACCTGAAGCATCGCCTGATCGAGGCTGCAGACTTCCACCACTCAGCCAGCAAAGCCCTCAGGCTGGAGAACCCGGCAGGGGGCAGCGAAAGCTTAGCAGAGAAAGGAGGTGGCAAGAAGGTGTACCTGACCTCCCCTGAACTGCACAAGGAGCTCGTCAGGTAATCATATATCCACCGTGCTCTTCCAATGAAGACCTTGTCCTGAAGCAGAACCTGGGGTGCTGTTTTTCTGGAGCATCTCCTTATGCCTACGGTCACAGTTCACCCGTCCCTTGCCTCTCCTGGTCTGCCCTGCAGAGGACCTTAAGGTCCATGAATAACCATAGCTTAGAGGTCCCGGGCCCTAAGGAAGTCAGACCATCCTCCACCAGGGCCAGGGCCTTTTCAGTGATGGCTCCGACCTGGTGGAACGCTCTGTCCTATGAGACCAGGGCCCTGCAGGATTTAACCTCCTTCCATCGGGCCTGTAAGGCAGAGCTATTCCGCCTGGCCTTTAATTTGAATTCAGCCTGATCTTTCATTTCCCTTCTCTTCCCTCCCCTTTTATGAAGATCACCCGCTCTGAGACCCCACAGCTAATTCTCCCCTGGTCTCCTCGCTGGCCCAAATAGGACCAATTCAGCCAGCTAGCCCTGGGGATTATCTTTTTGAGTTTTGAGTTTTATTGTTATTCATGTTTTTATACTGTATTTTATGCTGCTTTTATAATTAAGTGTTTTAAATTTGTTGTTAGCCACCTTGAGCCCAGTTTTTGAACCGGGAAGGGACGAGGTATAAATAAAATTGTATTATTATTATTATTATTATTATTAATAATAATAGAGTATCCCTGCCTCAGGGATGGGCTTTAGATGCACGGTCTCCATGCATTCTAGTTCCGGAGAACCCTTTCTTCAACGACCTGACTCCCTCAGACTCCCCTCTATGTGCTGCAAAGGAGTCTGGGAAATGTTCTAGGGTGGGGGAACCCTTTTTAGCTCACAGATGACATCTGCTTGAGGGCAGTCTCCTGGAGGCCACAGGCCTTTGCCAAAGCAAATGGAGCAGTGTGTGTGAATGTTACCTTTGTACACACCCCACTCTGACTGTCATCCAGGCATTGGCAAAGTCCAAGGGCACGTTCTGGGCAAGCAAGAACTCTTGAAGGGTGCAGCTTGGAAGGGTGGCCTGTGGAGTGTGGGGGAGATAATAATAATTTTTTTAGTATTTATACCCTGCCTGGCTGGAGATGATGATGATGATGATAATAATAATAACTATTTTATTATTTAGACCCCCTGGCTAGGTTTCTCCTAGGTTTTCTTTCTTTCTTTCTTTTTTAAATAAAATTTTAATTAGTTTTTCAGCATATCATTTTCAAAAGCAATTAAGCATACTTTTATATCTTATACAGTTTTTTTTACTTCCATCAATCACATCTGAAAATTTTCCAATCTATTCACTTAATTTACATTTCTTATTTTCGCTATTACGTTTATATCTCATAACTAATATCTCTCTTCTTTCTCCTCTTTGCAATATTTCATATATTCCTCCTTACAAAAACTTCCTGTAGTCCTACTAGCGTGATTTGTTGATTACAGCTGCTCTTCAAATAATTCATATATTTCTTCCAATCTTCTGTAAATCTCTGGTCCCGCAGGTCTCAAATCCTTCCTTGTGATTTTATCCAATTCTGCGTAGTCCGTTAATTTTGTCTGCCATTCTTCCTTCGTCGGTATTTCTTCTTGCTTCCTCTCCTTGTTATGCCTTTCAGGCTTTTCAACACGTTTGTTTTGTGGCTGGAAGAAGAGAGCTTTCAGAAGGGAGACACGTACATCCCCTCCTTACCAAAGCAATATGATGCCCACAGGCTCGCGAAGATCATGCAGAACCAGCAGGTAATGTGCAGGGTCAAAGGTGAGGTTGCTATAACTGTCCCCCCTTAATACACCTCCAACTTAACAATTAACTTCGCGGGTTGCCATTCCCTGGAAAATCCGTTAACCCCCAACACTTCATTCTTCTTGGACTCTGGCAGAAACCTGCCTGTTCCAGAAGACTTCAGCTTATTGATCTCTTCGTGATTTTTAATATACGTGATGTTTCTAGCGGATGCATTTTAATGTAGTGTATCTTTTTCATGTACTGTAAGCCAGCCTTCACTTACCAGATGCCCTCTATTTTTTAAAAAAAATAATTTTTACTGAATGATTTTATGTTACAAAAAACATTACAACCATACTACCACTAAATATAATTGAGAAATAAAAATTACATACATCAATATTTAGTTTATTTGTTATTTACCGTCTTATTTCCTCCCAAACATTCCATACAAAACACACATATGTACACACACACACACACACACACACACACACACAAATACACAAATGATAATAATGCAAGTAAATATTTCCCCCCCTTTTATCTTACAAAATCTTTTCTTCAATTTTGACTTCCTGTCAAGTCCCTTCGCGTATGTTTTATCTTAACCCGGTGCCCTCTAGGACTGCAACCCTCAGATGTTGGCTGGGGCTGATGGGATTTGTAGTCCAAGCACCTGGGACAAAAGTGTGGAAGGAGTTTTAAGGACTTTAGAAATTGCCCAGTCCCAGGGTGTGTGTGTATGTGTAGAATCTGTAGCAACAGGAAAAACAAAGATCTGCCTTGCTTTCGCCGGATCCTGCCTCCGTCCATTCCTTCACTGATCTGTAATGGACTTAGGCGACACTGTAAAAACCAACCCCAATTTCTTCTATAACATTCCCAAGTGCTTTTTGGACTTGGGTGGCTTTAGAGAGCCATTTGGATGATGTCCAAATAGGGATTTCTGTCAGAGGTATGTGTGCCACATGTGTCCCTCATGAGCGTGGCCTTTAGGATCTTGTTTGAAGTGGTAACAGCAGCTTCATAGATCAAAGTGGCTCTCCTCCACGCGCTCCCTCTAATGGTGCTCTCCAGTAATTTTTCTATTGGTCTTTAACCTAGTTCCCATAAGGTAACAATAAAGGTAAAGGGACCCCTGACCATTAGGTTCAGTCGTGGCCGACTCGGGGGTTGCGGCGCTCATCTCGCTTTATTGGCCGAGGGAGCCGGCGTACAGCTTCCGGGTCATGTGGCCAGCATGACTAAGCCACTTCTGGCGAACCAGAGCAGCGCACGGAAACACTGTTTACCTTCCTGCCGGAGTGGTACCTATTTATCTATTGCACCTTGATGTGCTTTCAAGCTGCTAGGTTGGCAGGAGCAGGGACCCAGCAACGGGAGCTCACCCCGTCGCGGGGATTCGAACCGCCGACCTTCTGATCGGCAAGCCCTAGGCTCTGTGGTTTAACCCACAGCGCCACCCGCGTCCCCACATGTATATTACATATGGGGTTCTCAGGAAGCCCAGCTTCGTTCTCAAAACTTCATTCTTTCTTTGGGGAGGAAACCTCAACCCACTGGGCAGGTTATTGGACGGAACCCCCATTAGGGAGGAGCTTCATGCAAGCCACGCCCCTTTGGGGAGAGTTTGGAATTGCATTCCTCATGGTGGGGTTGAGCTTATGAGAAACCACAAGAGACCATGAGATGGACACCAGTGGGATGTGCTCTGTTGCTCTGTTTCTCTTCTCTACCCATATCTGATGCCCCTGCCGCCGTGATGTAAAAGAGACTGGGAGCGTTCCCTTCCACGGCCGTCCATATTTGCCCACCTGTGTTTCTTTTCTCTTGTCCCGTCGTAGGATTTGTGGATAGAGTTTGTGGACACTGAACGCGTTCAGCACGAATTCCAGGAAGTGCTGGACTCCTGGTTCCAAGTCAAGGTAGAATCGCATGCAGCCTCAAGTACTTTGTCTTCACAGACGGACTTCACAGACCCTCTGCTAGGTAAGCAACGCTCACGGTGCTTAGAAGCACAACAGCAAGACATCTGTGCTTTAACTGAGACTTTTGCTTGCAGTATTTAATGGTGCAGCTGTTTTGGATTGTTAATAGAGAAAAGGCATTTGTAACTTCAGTTTCCTTAGTAATTGCAGCAGTGATTATATTTGTATACTCCTACTTTTTGGTGGAAAAGTAAAAACCCACTTAGATTAAAATGCTCACAAGAACTTTTGTTCCTTAAGTAGGTCTTCCTGATAAACTTATGCTGAGCCTACAATTCCGATTTGGCAATCCCTATAATCTGTTTCTGCAAAACTATACGAGTGTTTTTAGTGCAGTGCACTCTTGCATTTTAAAATTTTTTTAAAAACTGCTCAGAATAGTGAGTAGACGAACCTCTCATCATAATGGGAGACTGCTGAAAGAAATGATCTTCATGTTGTTTCCACTTTGATATTCTTATTGATATTCTTACATTAATCTTGCTTTCAGAGTAGGGTAGGGTAGGGTAGGGTAGGTGGGGGGGGGGTATTATTTTGCTGTTTTGTTTTATTTATTTACATGTTTTTATCCTGTGTTTTATTCTGTGAACTGCCCTAAGTTCTTGTGTTGAAGGGTGCTATGAATGAACGAATGAATGAATGAATGAATGAATGAAATCAATAAATACATTCATTCATTCCTGAGAAGAGTGTATAGAATCATCTAAATCTCCTTGCTTGATAATTGGCTGAAAGCTCTGCAAGTTTAGTCTGCACAGGTCTTCTGAGTTGTAGCCCATAAAGTTCTACTCAAGGTTGGCCCATTGAAGTTAATGGATGCTGGTAAGTCCTGCCCATTAATTTTAACAGGTCCATTCTGAGCAGAACGAAAATGGGATGGAGCCCCATGTTTGGAAATTGGCAGTCATAGGAAGAGGCTGACTTTCACAAGCTTAGTACCAGGCAGAGGGCCTTTTTGGTAGTGAAATGCTGTCCCGTCAGGTGTTAAGGAGATGAGTGATTATATAACATGTAGGACACATCTGAAGGCAGCCCTGTATAGGGAAGCTTTTTAAGGTTAAATGTTTTATTATGTTTTTATATACGCTGGAAGCTGCCCAGAGTGGCCAGTCAGATGGGCAGAGTACAAGTAATAAATTGTTGTTGTTGTTGTTATACCTGCAAGCTCATAAGTGGTCATCCCCTCTTGTGTGGTGACCATTCAGAGTAGTCAAACCAAACCAAACTCAGACCACAGTTTGATATCCAGGTTTGTCAGATAACCTGCTCAGTAGAATTAAAGAGTAACCGGGGGAGCCAGGAGGCGCTGGTGGGGAATCCAGTTGATCCCGCGTTGTAAAGTGCGGTGTTTCAGTTTTGCAGAGGGGCAGAAATGAATGGCATTGTCAGAGCGGTAGAGGCCTTCTTAAAGGTGTGAAACGATTTCTCAGTGCAAATTTTGCTTTCCACCTGTTGCTGATCAACCAGAAAGCGGTGTGACTGGTGACCGCTTCACATGCCTCTTCTCTTTCAGCCAAAGAGAGAATCATCAGCAGCTTAAAGAAGTACGACGCCCCCCAGCCCCCTCTCCCCCTTCAGCCGATGAAAGCTCCTGTGCCTGCTATTTCTCCCGCCAGCTTGGTGAATCAGAGAGAAGCCAAAGAGCTGGTTCACTCCAACCTCAGCATCCTTCAGCACCGTGCCAAGTGAGACACAGGCTTCCTTGTCGTTGTCTTTGTGCATCTCTCCCCTGTGTTGTGTTGAGCCCCTTTAAGTGTAGCCCCGCCTCCAAGCTGCCTCCTCCCTCTCTTCCTTTGGACAGGGAGAAACCCTGCCGCAGGCCTGTGTTAGGCGCTCTGGGTGCTGCATGCAAACCTTTGGGGGCATCACTTTCCCCTCTTCTTTCTTACGTGCAGTATCCACGGCTAGAAAAAGAATCCGATGTGCCTAAACGTTTGAGGAGAGCTCTGTTATTATTATTATTTTGGTTAATGTATGGGTTGTTAATTTTTCAGGTCTGCGGCGCTCCGAGAGTCCCAGCAAGTTGCTTTCAACAGCGAGATCCTGGACACGCTGCCAAAACTTTACAGCAACAGAGAAGAGCAAGTTACTCACCATCTGGAGTGTCGGGGCAGCTCTGGGAAAAGTTGCCAGGGAGCAGCTCTTGTGACAATCCAGGTTGGAACAGACACCTCTCCCTTCTACAGTTTGAGGGCCTCGGCCAGCCCCAGACCCTCATTTCTAAGCGCTGTGGGGTGGGCTTTTGAGTACAGGGGTTGTATTCAACTTAGCAATTTCCTAGACTGGTTGGACGTAGAGGGATGGTGGGAGGAACCAGCTGGGGAACTCCCAAGGGACTGGTCCAGCGTCACCCAGTAGTAGTAGTAGTAGTAATAATAATAATAATAAGTAAAGGTAAAGGGACCCCTGACCATTAGGTGCAGTCGTGACCGACTCTGGGGTTGCGGTGCTCAACTCGCTTTATTGGCCGAGGGAGCTGGCGTACAGCTTCCGGGTCATGTGGCCAGCATGACTAAGTCGCTTCTGGCGAACCAGAGCAGCGCACGGAAACGCCGCTTACCTTCCTGCCAGAGTGGTACCTATTTATCTACTTGCACTTTGACGTGCTTATGAACTGCTAGGTTGGCAGGAGCAGGGATCGAGCAACGGGAGCTCACCCCGTCGTGGGGATTCGAACCGCCGACCTTCTGATCGGCAAGCCCTAGGCTCTGTGGTTTAACCCACAGCGCCACCCGCGTCCCAGTAGTAATAATAATAGTAATAATAATTAATTTATTATTATTTATACCCTGCCCATCTGGCTGGGCTTCCCCAGCCACTCTGGGCAGTTTCCAACAAAATATTAAAATACAGTAATGCATCAAACATTAAAAGCTTACCTAAACAGGGCTGCCTTCAGATATCTTCTAAAAGTCTGGGAGTTGTTTTTCTCTTTGACATCTGGTGGGAGGGCGTTCCACAGGGCGGGTGCCACTACCAAGAAGGCCCTCGGCCTAGTTCCCTGTAACGTGGCTTCTCGCAGTGAGGGAACCACCAGAAGGCCCTCAGCGCTGGACCTCAGTGTCCGGGCAGAACGATGGGGATGGAGATGCTCCTTCATATATACTGGACTGTTTAGGGCTTTAAAGGTCAGCACCAATACTTTGAATTGTGATCGGAAATGTACTGGGAGCCAGTAAGCTTCATGGGTGAGTTCGGAAGTTGTAATCTGGTCTCCCAGGTCCCAGTCTAACACTCTGAACCCCACAACACACACATGAACACCTTTTCTCCCTTATGCCTATGGATACTAGATACTTGCTCTAAAAATTCGAGGAGGAGATTCTGTGTCAGAGTCACATTCTGGGCCTCTGTGATGCTGCTGGCCTTGTATGGGCCCTGCTGTAACCATCTGTTCCCTCTTTAAGTTTGAAGGGAAGCACAAAAACGAAGCCATCAGTCAGCAGCTTCATGCTCTGAAGAAGGAAGTGAAGCAGCTGCAAGCAGAGGCCTCTCAGCCCCCTTCTCTGAGTGTGGTGGAAGCCGCTGTGCATATGGAAAACTTTATAACGTAAGTTGCTGGGGCATCTCTCTCTCTCTCTCTCTCTCTCTCTCTCTCTCTCTCTCTCTCTCTCTATCTCTCTCGGGTCATGCTTCTCTGGTCCTGATGATGTCCAGTGCTGGAAACTTCAGGCATACAACTGGAATCTAGCTCAAAATCTGTTTGGTGGGATAAAGCAAAATAAGTGGTAACCTCGGGTTACATACGCTTCAGGTTACAGATTCCGCTAATCCAGAAATAGTACCTCGGGTTAAGAACTTTGCTTCAGGATGAGAACAGAAATTGTGTGGCAGCAGCGGGAGGCCCCATTAGCTAAAGTGGTACCTCAGGTTAAGAACAGTTTCAGGTTAAGAATGGACCTCCGGAATGAATTAAATATGTAGCCAGAGGTACCACTGTATCTTTGTGCATCAGGCTGTGGGCAGAGCCCAAAGGACTCTATGCAAGCTTCTGTTCTGGTCCTGGTTCTTTGTAGCCTCTCCTCATTCATATCACAGCCCCTTCAAATGTATTCTAAAAGGCCGCTTTTAATGTATCCCAAACATAGATGAAAACTTCCTTCATCTTGAGAACCATCATGCAAAATTTTATTATGACGTTTTAAGAGATGTCTGATCATGCAAAGAGCTTCCCAGAATGGGTAGCAGGTTGAATGGCTGCAGTGTGGCTTCCTGCATAATACGTTTCCTAATTTGGTTTTGCACAGAGCTTTGATAAATATCTACAAGCTTCAGTCTACGCCCGGGATTCACAGAGTCGGGATCGACTTGTTCTTTGCTGTGGTGGGATTTGTCTGTGACGAAACACAACGGCATCCGCCTACGAGGCAGTTCTTCACCTCCTGCATTGAGATCCTTGGCCAAGTAAGCTGGTCTTGCCTAGAATTCATTTTTGCTTGTTGTTTTCTTTGTCGTGGACGCTTTTGGCTTAACTTACACCTCCTTACCACCTTCTTGATGACATCCATGCAGCCGTGAAATTAAACCTCATAAATAAGTTAGAAGTGAGGATCTTCACCACTTTCCTTTTTTAAAAATAGTTTTTATTAAGTTTTTCTAATTTACATTTCAAGATAATCATTTAGACTTCCCTTCTTCTCTTTCCATGGTTCATTTTGCATACCATACATCCCTGCATATTTTACATGAACTAAACCATTCAGTAATCCATTGTTACACCATCAAAACTCGTTTACACTGTTGAATTTATCTTAATGCTACCAGTGTTTTTAAATGTACACAACTTTCACCCAAATAATCAGTAAACATTTCCCATATTCTTCTTGTTCTCTTTTTCTATATGTTAAATCTGCAAGCTGTGCATATTCCATCAATTTAAGTTGCCATTCTTTGGTTGGCACCTCGCTCGGTTTCCATTCACTTTTCAAAGGCCCATTAATAGGCCTTGTCTAAGGCCCTTGTGTAAAATTGTCTTTGGTCCTTGCTTAAGTGCAGGTATATCTATTAACAGAGACTTGAACTGAAGACTGATGCTTTGTAGTCCAAGTGTAGATGAGCTGTGGCAAAGCCAAGCAGAATACGGAAGGGTCTTGCTGTGCTGTGTCTTTGCTGAACAAACCCCTAGATCTAAGTCTCTTTCCAGGTGTTCATCTCCGGAACCAAATCGGAATGCAAGCCGGTGCTGCAAACAATCCTGAAGAATCGGAGGCTCTGCACACTCCTCTCTCCTTACTTCACTCCTGTTGCCTCCCCAGGAGAATTTGTCAGCTTGTATGAGAAAGTTGTGTCTTTCCTTGGCGACGACAACAGTGATGTCATTTTCATGCTGCTCACAAAGGCAAGAGGCTCTCAAAGTTCTCCTTTTTATGACCTGGAAAGTTGATTTTGCATGGATTTCCCTTTTTGAAGTGTTTGTTGTGGGTGCACAGAGGGTGAAAGAACGTTAATGCAAGTACAGCCAAGCTAGACAATCTTACTGAAATGTACTCCTTTAACCTGTGGTTTGGAGGCTTACTGTGCTAAGACGTTCCAGCATAGCAATACAAAGCGAATGTCCAGCTTCTTCCAGGCTAGTGTAGATGGAACATCCCACACTCTTAATCAGTGGCCTGATTCCCCATTACACTAAACTATGGCTTGTTTAGCTTATCTGTGGTTTGCTTGAACACCTGAATGACGGTTTGCTATTTCGAAATATCTATGGTTTGCTTGTGGCCTACAAACCTGAATATTAGAATTGAAGTTTACTTACAAATCTCAGCTTGTGTGAGCCATAGTTTCTCGTTATGTCCAAACACGCTACCCTGGGAGTAACTCTGGTTTGATTTGTTGCCCATCTCCAGGTGCTTGCCTGGCTTCAGAGACCCAAGGCAAAAGCAGTGAGTAAATGAAACCAACAGTAGGCAAAACAAGCCATGGTTTCTTTGCTCGTCTGCAAGGTTGCCCCTGGTTTGTTCAATAAACCATGGTTCGAACAAGCCGTGGCTTACTGTTTGGGGCATACGCAACTAGCATTAAGAAATCCAGAATGCATGCTCGCATCCTCGCTACTGCTCTCTTCAGATTGTGAAGTTCTTTTTTTGTATCCCTACTCAGTGTTAATTTATGTTTTGAACATAAGGAGAAGAGAGGGAAACTGGAATCGAATAAATATTCAGGGCCTCCCAACTTGTTTTATGCCTCTGATCAGCAACAGTTTCACACGTTCATTTTGAAGGGGCAGACAGATTCCTGTTTATTACTTCTTTGCCTGAAGGTTGCCCTTCAGGCGCTGGAGAACTATGCTCACTACTTCCTTTCTCAGATCTCCCAGTCCCCCCCAGCTCCATCCTCAAAGCTCTTTGTGCAAATGCTTGTGGCGATCACACAGGGTCCCTGGACATTTCACCATCTATTGATCCCGGTGCCACCACTTTATTTCTCGCTGCCGCCACCCAGGCCCTACCTGGGACACTACCGAGTCCAGTCAGGGTTAAATTGAAACATAAACTTATGTTTATTTATTGCAGTTTAACAAGCGTGTGGTTTCATAAGCAGTATCAGTCAATTACATTCATGGGCTGCCTATCCAGACCTATAACTTCCGCTCCCTGCTCTCACTCACTAAACCACCTCTCAGATATTTACTTGTCTGCCTAGCCCCTAACTGTTCCTGACTCAGCCTATTTCACTAAACTAATTCAACCTACCCACAGACTCTATCCCAGTTCACTCCCACTCCAACCAACCACCCAACTCCCAACAAACTCCCCTCTTCGCCCTTCCCAGAGCTGGTTTTATAGTCCCTCTGACTCCAGTGCTCCTCACTGGGCAACCTGTTTAATTATTTCACCTCCAGCACTCTCTCATATGTTAACGTCACAATGCTCTTCCTCCTTTTCCTCTTCCAGTTTGACCTCCCTCAGTGGCTGCACAGCTCAAAGCCCCCGCTCTCTGAGCGGACCAGACTTCTGGAGTCCATCCACTTGGCACTCAAAGCCTGTGGCCTGGAGCCCGAGGAAGACCTTCTGATGCCTTTTTCGATCTTCTGCAAGCACTGGACTTGCCTTCTCCAGTACCAGTTCCCCGACCACTACAGCAGCTACCTGCAGCTGCTCATGGAAAGTAAGTACCTGGTGAGGCACTACCTGAGAGTTTCCCAGCTGGCCTGTTGAGATAAGATGGCGCCCGGCACACTTCCCCTGTGCCGATAGGAAAAACTTGAACCTCTTAGCAGAGTTCGTAGCAGAGTTCTGCAGCGGTAGAAAGTGTTGCCTTGTGTGTGGATAATAAATCAGACTGAACGCAGGCTTCTTGCTAATCTCTAACAGTCTTTAATGAGAAGAAAAACATCATAAATCAGCCCGGCGAGAGAGCGGACATTCTTTCGTCTCTCAGCCAAAAACGAAAGGAAACTCACACACAAAGAAAGATTCCTGTAAGTGAACCAAACCACGCCTCAGAATGTGAGACATCACACAGAACTGTTTAACCCTGTAAGTTCTGATTCTCCTCACATGGCCTTCAGGCCGAATTCGTCCACTAGTTTCAAAACAGCTGAATTGCACCACTTCCACTGAAATTTGGTCCCACCTTTTGTGTGGGTGTGTCTGCATGTGTGGGATAGGTAGAAGGCCCTCTGCCCTGAAACACTTCATACCCTGCAAGGAGAATAAGCAGATTTCTGTGGCCTGTATAGATGCACGCTAATCATACGCAAACAAAGAGGTGCTGCTCAGCTTTCTTACATTTTATGACTTATTTTTTGCGATTGTTCCTTAGAAAAAGAAGAGAACGGAAGTTAAGATGCTTTAGACTTTTCTTGGTCTCTTGTGGACCTGCTGCGAAATACATAGCATTGTAGATTGTAGAGTTGGAAGGGACCACGAGGGTCATCTAGTCCAACCCCCTGCAATGCAGGAATCTTTCTTCCTGAACCCACGACCCTGAGATTTATTAGTCTCGTGCTCTACCCGCTGAGCTATCCTCCACACTGGTTAGCTTATACTAAGCCCCATCTAATGCAGCGACGGGCACCTTTTTGGCTTGGCGGGCCACCCCTGTGGACCAATGTTGAAGTGGGACAAACCACCTGTCAATCACCTTACATCCTTAAGAGTCCTTGTCACACGGCTGGTAGTCAGGGACATGGGATCTGTAGTACATGGGGACTTTGCCATCCCTGCACTTGGCATTTCAACAATCAGAGGACTGGCGAAGCTGTTTTCGGCAGCAGTTGGCCTTGTCCTTGAGCCCCAGCCCCCTGGAGAACTTGGCCGCACAGCCGATCTGGCAGGGTAAAACTGGCCGCCTGCGGCCTGTGAGTTTAACCCTGCTTACAGAAGGGATCGCCTTCACAGCTGATCCAACTTTGTCTCTACCTTCCCACCCCTTATGTCAAATATAAGGATGGGCGTGAGACAGGTTGGGTGTGTTTTGAGCGAAATGGCTTCATGGGCCAAATTGGGAGGTGGGCCACATTTGACCTGAGGGCCGGCGGTTCCCGACTCCTCCTCTCCTGTGATTTCTGGTTATTGGCACCTGTTACCTGGACAATCTGCTCTGGGCCCGCCCCCTCAGGTTCCTCGGATCAGCTCCTGAGCCCTGACTGCTGGAACGTGTCCCTGAAAGCCTTGGGCTGCGGCTCTGTGGCAGCGAAGACAGATGCCAGGAAGGAGAACGACGGCGAAAACATGGTGCTGCAAACTTCTGTGCAGCTGTTTCTATCTGCAGATCAGGTGGGCAGTTGGTGTAGCGTTGCGATGCGATCTCCTCGCGAACAAGGGGAAGGGCTGTAGGTCAATAGTGGAGCATCTTTCTTTCATGCAGGAAGGATACAGTTTGAGGTTTCATGGGCGCCAGGGAATATCCCCCAAAACACCATTTAGCCCATGGGTACCATGCTGGTGGGACACGGGTGGCGCTGTGGGTTGAACCACAGAGCCTAGGACTTGCCGATCAGAAGGTCGGCGGTTCGAATCCCCACGACGGGTTGAGCTTCTGTTGCTCGGTCCCCGCTCCTGCCAATCTAGCAGTTCAAAAGCACGTCAAAGTGCAAGTAGATAAATAGGTACCACTCTGGCGGGAAGGTACCAGCATTTCTGTGTGCTGCTCTAGTTCGCCAGAAGTGGCTTAGTCATGCTGGCCACATGACCCGGAAGCTGGCTCCCTCGGCCAATAAAGCGAGATGAGCACCGCAACCCCAGAGTCGGCCACGACTGGACCTAATGGTCAGGGGTCCCTTTACCTTTACCATTCTGGTAACTTCAGGCTTAAAGCACAGGCACTACATGTCTATGATTAAGTAGGAAGGAGGGTATTTAAAAGCATCTGTGTGTAGCAAGGCTTCTATGACCTCTGTCCTTGTTCTGTCAAGGCAAATGCTATTTAGCCGCTGGAAATTTAATGTCCTGCTATCTGTTCTTTTGGAAGGTAGATACAGAAAGATTCTGGATCTGTCCATGTAAGAGTAGTCACATAAAAACAGTGAGCCGTGTTCTGTTTCATTGTATATTTTATTCAGATTCCAGAGCCTCTCTCATAACGCCCCTTGTATGAAAAGTGCTAGGGAGGACAGAGGAATGCTATTTAAATTACCTCTCGTCTGTCCAGAATTCGTATGTCACTAGAAATATAGCTAGATTTTGTGCAATAGCCGTAAGTCAAAGAAAGCGAAAGAATACAAAGCTGCATAAATCATCATGAACAGCTACAGTTCATAGTTAAATCTCTTACTCTTTTAAACTTTTATGGCGTTTTATTCTCTCTGGACGCATATTTCAAGTACATTCCATTAGTATATTGATTGTTAAATCCCATATCAATCGTTTTTATTGCTTACGTAGAAAATTATGCAGAAGTTCTGGTTTAATATGCGGGCTGTTTGCCGTAATAAACATTGATTGATTGATATTTAGCTGCTAGATGGAACTCTGGTGTGTGGCAGCCTAAGGCAGTTTCTTATTTTCTTGAGTGACGCTGTTATGATGCATCATCTAAGGCAGAGCTAGACAGGTGGCAGGCCGGAATCTACTGGTAAATCTCTGGGTCGCCTACAGGAGGCGGTCCAAAGTTTCCCATAATCCACTGGCGGCAAAGTAAAGTGGCAGGCTCTCCGTCTGGGATGGCGAGCCATGATCTGCTTTGTACATCTTCCCAGGCCTCAGAGCTTTCTTCCTCTGCAGGTCATGGAGACGATCGACTGGCTTTCCGACTACTTTCTCAAGCTGCGCTTGTCTTCGCAAGACTTCCGGAGCTTTGGCCTGTTCTCCAAGTGGGCTCCCTACATAGCCGAAGTGACCTGCTTCACGGAGTATCTCGTCAACCGCCTGGTGGACTCGGAAGTGGCCAACTTGGCACGAGAGCCAGTTGGCAGCAGCAGGACTCTGGAAGGTAACACACAGGCAAGAGTGTAAGGAAAACTGGCACGGCCGTCCTGAGGTCCCTGTGTTTTGGGAGGCTGGCATCATGCCACGTAGGGTGACTGCTGCCATTGTGGCTTCCTCCCTTTTTGCTCTTCTCTCCCCCCCCCCGGTTGAAAATGTGTTTTGCTATCTCCTGGTTTCTCAGCTTACTGTTTTGCTGGCTTCCGAGAGGTCACTGGTGTAGGAATGATTGCTGGGTGCGCTCTGTCTAACCTTTTGCGGTCTCAGTAGTCTGCGGTGTCCTGTCTGTGACCTTTGTCTCTGAGACCTTTGTCTCCTTCGTCATACATTGTGCAAGAGGAAAATGACGCGGTAGAAACAGGCACCAAAATAACTTTGTACCACCCCGCAATCTCGGGACTGGAGGATGTGTAAAGGTCACAGCCCAAAATGTATCTGCCTGGGTTTGCATATTGTGTCAATAAAAGGAGCCTCCACAGAGTTGGCCGGCAGCTTGCTTGCAGCTCACCTGTGCGCAGCTCACCTGCATTACCAACTCCTGCCTCATGTCCTTCACTTCACACTGGCATTTCACACTCCCCTGTGTACAGTCATACCTTGAATCCTGAACGCCTTGCGAGTCAAACGTTTTGGCTCCCAAACGCCGCAAACCCAGAAGCGAGTGTTCCGGTTTGTGAACGTTCTTTGGAACCTGAACGGCCGACGCGTCTTCCGATTGAGCGCAGGACGTTCCTGCAGGCAATCGGAAGCCGCGCCTTGGTCGTCGAACGTTTTCGGAAGTCGAACGGACTTCTGGAACGGATTCCGTTCGACAATCAAAGTACGACTGTACTTGTTTTTGCATTGTAATGACTATCAACTTGCTTTAATTAAAGAAGCTAAGATAGATGTTAGATGTTTGTGCTGTGAAAATATCTCATTGCTGTGTTGCACATGTGTTTTTTCCCCTCCTTCCCAGTGCTGCGCTCTTTGCATTTGGTCATCACCAGACTTTTTAGGCCTTGGATCTTGGTTTTGGAGAGAGAAGATGCAAGGTGAGGAGGGAGCCGAAGGGAAGAAACATTCCATGTGTCTGTGAAAGGGCATTTGTGTGATTCTCTTGGCGATGATCAGTCAGCTCCTCGTTTATTTCTTTTTTTGGGGGGGAAAAAGCTTTACAGTGGTACCTTGGGTTAAGTACTTAATTCATTCCAGAGGTCTGTTCTTAACCTGAAACTGCTCTTAACCTGAGGTACCACTTTAGCTAATGGGGCCTCCTGCTGCCACCGCGCCGCCAGAGCACGATTTCTGTTCTTAACCTAAAGCACTATTTCTGGGTTAGTGGAGTCTGTAACCTGAAGCGTATGTAACCCGAGGTACCACTATATTGAATTTTAATAAGGATGAGCAAGTTATAGAAAAAAGGAAAGGACTCCTTGGCTGGCTTTGAATAAACATTCACAAACTTTTTATTGATAATAATCAGCTAAATAGTTTGAGGATCTATACAACTGTGTAACATGCAAAAAACAGCATTTTTTGAGAAATCAAAGACTGGAACTGAGGGAAGTTGGGGGTGGGGGTGGGTGGGTTTTGTGGGGGGAGGGAGTGGGAGGGAGGAAAAATGGGGGAAAATAAGGATGATATGTTTTTTTTTATTAAATATTTTATTAGATTTTCCATAAAAAAACATTTTTACAAAATTATACATCCATTTTTAACTTAAACCCTTTTTTTCAGAACTTCCCTCAGCTTGTCTGATAATTTTCCGTTCATTTTTTATCCTCGTCTCACATTTGCCAATATTATATTGCACTCAAATACTCTTAATCACATCATATTTTTTAAACAATATTTCTAACAGTAATTTCACAGAGCTTCTTGAAAGCTAATGAACGTTATTTGCTCATTACAGAAATTTTTGATATACTCTGTAAATTTCTTCTAGTCCTCGGAGAATCTCTGGTCACGTTGGTTCCTAATTCTCCCCGTCAATCTGTCCATTTCTGCATATTCCATATCAGGATGATATGTTTCTGGATAATATGTTTGTTTTAATTTTGAATAAAAAAAAGTTTTTAAAAAACTGCAAAAAAAGAAAAAGAAAAAAGGAAAGGAAAGAAAAATGGTCTTTAATTTTTTAAAAAATAAACACTAAGCTGTCACAATTGTCAATAAGGAAAGCAAGAGGATACAGCTGTGTGATTTACTGAATCAATAATGAAACATGCCTGGAGGAAAATGATGTATAGTTGATACCATTCTATGACTCCAATTACAAAAGGTTCCATGGTCTAAATTAAAAGAATTTCAAGTGTTTATTAAAGAGATTTTTAAAAATAACCTTGGATTGTACTCTGGAGCCAGAAACTTTGGTCCCTGGACACTCTTTGCTTATTGATATGCATGTATGTTTTTATCTACAGCTCTGTTAAGAATACAGTCGTACCTTGGTTTTCAAACAGCTTAGTTCTCGAACATTTTGGCTCCTGAACACTGCAAACCCGGAAGTGACTGTTCCGGTTTGCGAACCATTTTTGGAATCCGAACGTCCGGCGCTGCTTCCATGGCTTCCGATTGGCTGCAGGTAGCTTCCTGCAGCCAATCAGAAGCCACGCTTTGGTTTCTGAACGTTTTGGAAGTCGAGCGGACTTCTGGAATGGATTCCATTCAACTTCCAAGGTACGACCGTACTGTATATATACTTAATGAGCGTGCTTCCTCTTAAATACTGGGTATTTCTCTTTTTTGCATTTCCTGTGCTACACTGGGATAGATGGCCCCCAATGGTCTGAATTGGCACAAGGCAATTTTATAACCTTATATTGGTTGACCTTTTGAAATTGTGATAGGGCGCCAGGAAGCAGGTGTAGGGTAGTGGCTCTGGTCTAAAATCTCTCTTACCTCTCTCCCTCTCCTGCTACTACTTCTTTAATCAAGCAAACAGACCTGTTACCCCTGGCTGGAGAGCGACACACCTGTGGCTTCAAATATGGTGCAGTTATACGCACACAGCATAGGAGTTTTGCACGAAAACTTTAAAGGTAGGTGAAAGTCCATCCTGGCAGCCATTAAATATATCCTTTAATATTCATGCCCGCCATGAATGTCTCCCTTCCTTAGCCTTTTACTGAATTGCACATTATTTGTGTGTGGTTTTCGTTCCCACTTGTGCTATCCATGCTGCCAGGACGGTGTTCATCCACCCAATTTCTCCCAACAGGCGAGGCTTATTTATTATTATTATTATTATGAAGAAGAAACTTATTAGTTGCTTGCCATCTGAAGGTCTCCAAACAACATAACAGCAATACACACAACACATAAGAGAAGGCAAAATAAAGTAGGGATCATCCATCTTTTTCTTTTTTTTAAAAAAAAGTAATTATTAATACTTTTCAGATTTATACATTTCACTGATTTTACAATCATTTTGACATTTTGAAACTTGACTTCCTTCCCCCACTTTCTGAGGTTCCTTAAATTTATTTTTAATATTTTCTGCATATCCGAAATAGCTGAACTTGTTCATTTATTAATCTTCTTTAAATATAAACTCTTATGAAACTGCAGGCTATTACAGTAACCCTGCCAGTGCTTTTATCTGTTTACAATTTATCTGTAAACATTCAATAAACCATTTCCGTTCTTTTATAAAAAGTTTGTTATCTTGATTTCTTATTCTTCCGGTAAGTTTTGCCATTTCTGCATATTCCATAAGTTTCTGTACCCATTCTTCCTTTGCTGGGACTTCTTCTCCTTTCCATTTTTGGGTGAGTCACATTCTAGCCTCTGTAGCAGCATACATGAATAATTTTCTATACGTTTTAGGTAGTCCTGTCCCTATAATTCCCAAGAGAAAAGCTGCTGGGGTTTTTTAAATGAACACTACTTTAAACATTCTTTTCATTTCATTATATATCATTTCCCAGTAAGCCTTAACCTTACTATAAGACCACTTCATATGATAAAAGAACAACAACGAGAAGGCTGTTAGAATTCCTGCTCCGTGATTGCAGTCATGGGATTGTTGTCTTTCACATGACGGTGTATGTTTTGACTCCACAGAGTGGGAAGTGACGGAGACAGGATGTTTGTGTTACTGTTTTCTGTGAAGTGGGACTATTGTCCTTTGTCCTTTCTCTTTGCTGTCTGATGCTAGAGAGAGAGGGAGCCATGTTGCAGTGCTCCGTGTGTGTTTATATGTAAATAAAGTAGATTAGCCAAAATGCTGAGTTGCTGAGGTCTGTCATGCAAACTGCGAAGACTCAGCAGATCCCTAAGTGTGCCAATGTCTGTTGGCATCGGTCACTGTGTTGTTCGGGCAGAAGAAAGCTTTTGAAGCTCCCGAATGATCGACCAGGAGGGAGAGAACATGCCAGTCGGGCATGTGTCTCTGCCAGGGTCCTACTCGAGTGTAGGCTGAGCTCCTGACAAAGGCTACCTCATCTGATTCTATGGGACATCTTGTGGGCTTTCTATAGGCAAGTGGTTGGCAGGAACCTGGGCTAAATTTGCCATTTCCATTTTCCAGATAAACTGCTGCCAAGCCACCACGGGCCACTTTGGCTCCACCTGATGCACTATTGTGAGACGTGCACGGCCCCCAAAATGCCGGAGCACATTCTCTACACGTTCCACGCCAAGTTTGGCCGCCTTCCCTGGAGGGAAATGCATCCGGACCGGCAACTCATGGAAGAATTCTTTAAAGTAAGAGGCAGGTGCTTTGGGTAGAGAACCATAGCGAGGGAGGGGGAACGGGGAAGGAAGTTTGGAAGGGGCTCCCTGTCCTCTTCAGGTGATGCAATTCAGGTTATGCAACAGAGCTCCGAACCTGTGATGGCAAATGTGTGGTCCTGCCAGTGGGTCAAGAAGTGGGAAAGTCTGGTGAGCTTAATGAGGGTCTGTGAGCCAGAACCTCCCCACCCTAGTTACTATTGGCTCCCAGTACGTTTCCGGGCACAATTCAAAGTGTTGGTGCTGGCCTTTAAAGCCCTAAACGGCCTTGTCCCAGTAGACCTGAAGGAGCGTCTCCACCCCCATCGTTCAACCCAGACACTGAGGTCCAGCTCTGAGGGCCTTCTGGTGGTTCCCTCCCTGCAGTGCTCTTCAAAATGTGTTCAAGGAAATTGTGGGTTCCTCAAATGCCTGATAGGGGTTTGCCCATGAGCAGAACAGCAAGGTTCCTTGTAAGACAGCTGTCCTGCCGCTGCCACTGCGTGTCCGCAGGGTGAGCGCTCCTGGGAGGCAATCCCAAATTTTGCCAGCACCCTCCCTGAACTGTACACCTGGAGAAGAGGGGTGAGGAACCAAATTCTGTCCTTCTGGCCTCTCCAGCACCAAGGGCCTTCTGGCAGTTCCCTCCCTGTGAGAAGTGAGGTTACAGGGAATTAGGCAGAGGGCCTTCTCAGTGGTGGCACCTGCCCTGTGAAACGCCCTCCCATCAGATGTCAATGAAATAAACAACCATCTGACTTTTAGAAGACATCTGAAGGCAGCCCTGTTTAGGGAAGTTTTTAATGTTTGATGTTTTATCTTGTTTTTAATATCCTGCTGGAAGCTGCCCAGGGTGGCTGGGGAAATTTAAATAATAAATTGTTGTTGTTCTTTAAATAATAAATTGTTGTTGTTCTTTCCTTTTCACTTTTCCAGGTTGAGAGAGGCAGTCCCAAAAGCTGCTTCCTCTTCCTGGGCTCGGTTCTATGCGAGATCAACTGGGTCAGCGTCCTCTCTGACGCCTGGAATCCCAACCCGCCTCCGGGAACACAGGACATGATTGTGTGCCTGCTTTATATGGTGGTCCTTCTGGCAAAGGAAGAGCAACTTATAACCAGGGAGGTATGTCCCAGGACTAAGCAGCTCCCCCACCCCGCCCAACGGTTGTCCGCTAGACCCTCCCCGCTGAATTGAGCTTCTCAGACGTTTTCCTGTGTCAACCAAAGTTGGTACTGATTTCTGCTCCACAAATGGTTGCGTGGAAAAATTCCATATCCCGCAGCAGCAGGAAGATGCTACTCTCCAGGTCTCTTTCCACAGGACTCTCCTTGGGCCATGGCAGCTCACCGGCCCTGCTCTGCACATTGCAGAATTGCTTTTGCCCGGCTGGAATATGTCCTTGAAAGGGAATGTTCGTGGGCCCAAATCTCTCTTGAATGCTTTTTTTTGGGGGCGGGGGGGTTTCAAAACTGCAATAATCTGATTTTATTTCCCTTCTCTTTCCCTCCCCCTCCCCTTTTATGAAGATCACCTGCTCTGAGACCCCACAGCTAATTCTCCCCTGGCCTCCTCGTTGGCCCAAGTAGGACCAATTTCAGCCAGCTAGCCCTGGGGATTATCTAATTGATTTTTGAATTTTATTGTTATTCATGTTTTTATATTGTATTTTATGATGCTTTTATAATTAAGTGTTTTAAAGTGTTTTGAATTTGTTGTTAGCCGCCCTGAGCCCGGTTTTTGAACCGGGAAGGGCGGGGTATAAATAAAAATTTATTATTATTATTATTAATAATAATAATAAGCAGAGGCACAGCTGTAATGTATGCCACAGGTCAGGTAAAAGCACAAACGAGGTTGAGAGGATGCCAGTGTGGCTGAAAAGGAAAGTCAAGGAGGCTATTAGGGGCAAAGAAGACTTCCTTTTTCATATATGGGGTTGTGGTGTTCTGTTCTATACCCATTGAAGTTAATCCCCACGTCAACCTTAGGCCCACTGATTTCAGGAGGTCTGCTCTGAGTAAAGGTTAAAGGTAAAGGTAAAGGGACCTCTGATCATTAGGTCCAGTTGTGACTGACTCTGGGGTTGCGGCACTCATCTCACTTTATTGACCAAGGGAGCTGGCGTACAGCTTCCGGGTCATGTGGTCAACATGACTAAGCCGCTTCTGGCAAAACAGAGCAGCGCACGGAAACGCCGTTTACCTTCCCGCCGGAGTGGTACCAATTTATCTACTTGCACCGGCATGCTTTCAAACTGCTAGGTTGGCAGGAGCAGGGACCGAGCAACGGGAGCTCACCCTGTCGCGGGGATTCGAACCACCGACCTTCTGATCGGCAAGCCCTAGGCTCTGTGGTTTAACCCACAGCGCCACCCACGTCCCGAGTAAAGAGTAGCTGAAGTGTGGTGCTTTGGTTGACTGAACCATGAACGAGATCTCCATTTCCCCCCCAAACGTCAGGAGTCTCCGCTGCTGAACCTCCTCGGCCAGACCAGCTCCCTCCCTTGGCAGCACGTCAGCGTTTTGTCCTATCAGAGCATCATCGGCTACTTCAACACCCACTATCCTCCATCTATCATCCTGGCCAAGGAGCCGGCAGCTGAGCTGATCATCAAGCTGCTCAAGGCGTCGGCGGGCTTCGGCGCCTCCTCCGACAGCCACATGCATCTGGTAAGGACAGCCCTGCGTGGGTGGGGACAGCGGCAGAATTTGGGGTCTCAAAATCAGCAGGGCCCTGTGTGAGGCTGAAATTTGGCTCCCCTCACTGCCTCTCGCCGTCCATTCTACCTCGTAGCTGCGGCTTCCCCAAGGCTCTGCAACCAAACCGGCCCTGATCCCCTAAATCTGCTCCTGGTGGGGAGGAGAGAGACGCTCCACCTTGTGGGTTCTGTGCTACGAGATCGCCTCATCCCATAGGCGCCCACTTGCCAGCTGAAATCGGCTAAATTAGCACCTACAGGTGCCACAAAATGCCATTTTGCATTTGTAAGGGCTCAACCTTTTAGTTGTTGTTGTTGTTTAGTCGTGTCCGACTCTTCGTGACCCCATGGACCAGAGCATGCCAGGCACTCCTGTCTTCCTCTGCCTCCCGCAGCTTGGTCAAACTCATGCTGGTAGCTTCGAGAACACTGTCCAACCATCTCGTCCTCTGTCATCCCCTTCTCCTTGTGCCCTCCATCTTTCCCAACATCAGGGTCTTTTCCAGGGAATCTTCTCTTCTCATGAGGTGGCCAAAGTATTGGAGCCTCAGCTTCAGGATCTGTCCTTCCAGTGAGCACTCAGGGCTGATTTCCTTCAGAATGGATAGGTTTGATCTTCTTGCAGTCCATGGGACTCTCAAGAGTCTCCTCCAGCACCATAATTCAAAAGCACCAATTCTTTGACGACCAGCCTTCTTTATGGTCCAGCTCTCACTTCCATACACCACTATTGGGAAAACCATAGCTTTAATTATACGGACCTTTGTTGGCAAGGTGATGTCTCTGCTTTAATGCCATTCTGCATTTGTAAGGGCTCAATCTTTTAGTGGCAATGACTAAACTTTCAAACTCCTGGACTACTAACATCAAGCAGGCACCGTCACATTTCGGCGTCTGCTAGAAACATTTTTTTTTAACTTTAATAATGTATTTATTTATTTATTTATTTATTTAACATAATTATTACAAAATGTAAGCTAATATAGCAAATACATCCATACATCTATATATATTTCAGATAAGCACACATATAAAAAAGAAGAAAAGAAAAAAGAAGGAGAAATAGAGAGAAAAAAGAAGAAAAGTTGGAAGAATTTCTTCCAAATTTATTCTACAAATATCTCAATATGAAAATATTAATAAAATTTCATTGTTTGACTTCCATTGCTTAAACTGCACTTCCTATATACATTTTAAGCAAAATAAAAAATAAGAAGAGAAACATTTTTGTTTAGGCACGGCTACCCAGGGATGGTGCAAGTTTTAATCTGGGTTTTAAAATAAATAAATCTGTAGCCTTACCTTGGTTTTCAAACAGAATGCGTTCCGGTAGTCCATTTGACTCCTGGAACCATTCGAAAACTAAGGCACAGCTTCCAATTGGCTGCAGGATGTTCTTGCAGCCAATCGGAAGCTGCACCGGACGTTTGGCTTCCAAAAATCATTCGGAAACCGGAACACTCACTTCTGGGTTTCGATCGTTTGGGAGCCACTTTGTTCAGGAGCCAAGGCGTTCGAGAACCGAGGCACAACTGTTTTGTTAATCTAACTTATAGAAAGTCTTAAGTTGTTGCTGTTAGTTGTTCTTATTAGTATTTTTACCTTTTTTTGGAAACCGCTTTGAAGCTTTAATATACAGTGGTACCTCGGGTTACATACACTTCAGGTTACATACGCTTCAGGTTACAGACTCCGCTAACCCAGAAATAGTGCTTCAGCTTAAGAATTTGCTTCATGATGAGAACAGAAATCGTGCTCTGGCGGTGCAGCGGCAGCGGGAGGCCCCATTAGCGAAAGTGGTGCTTCAGGTTAAGAACAGTTTCGGGTTAAGAATGGACCTCCGGAACGAATTAAGTACATAACCAGAGGTACCACTGTATGCGCTTAGAATTAAGCGATGTATGGATTTTACTAAACAAATTTAGAGCAGCTCCTGTGAAAAACAGGGAGGTGATGAGCTAACCTTTTCCCCCTTGGCTTTTCCTAGGATGCAACCCTCAAGTGCAGGGCTTACATTCGCCAGGTCGTCCATTTCCTCAGCATCCTGGAGCAAAATGGGAAGATAACCCTGCCTTCTCTGGAGCAAGAGATGTCAAAGCTGTTGGATGATATTACCATCTTTAACCCTCCAGGTTGGTGTGTTTGTGTGTGTGTGTGTGTGTGTGTGTGTGTGTGTGTGTAGCTTGTGGAGTTGCAGAGAGAAGGGTGGTGTTCTATATGTCGCTTGAAATTTAAGAATAGATTTATGAAAGATTTAGAAAACTTATTGCTTAGAATATTTGTATGAGATTGTATGGGGAAAATGTGGAATAACAGATACAATCTTGCTTTAAATGTATATAGGAAGTGCAGTGTAAGCGATGGACGTCAATCAGTGAAATTTTAGTATTGAGATATTTGTAGAATAAATTTGGAAGAAATTCTTCCAACTTTTCTTCTTCTTCTTCTTTTTCTCCTTATTTTTTCTTTCTTTTCTTCCTTTCTTCTTTTTTGTTCTTTTTTTATATGTGTGTGCTTATTTGAAATATGTATGTATGTATGTATGTATGTATGTATGTATTTGCAATATTTTGCTTATATTTTGTAATAATTATGTTAAATAAAATTATATTTAAAAAAAAGAAATTTAAGAACAGGACACTGGACTAGATGGGTTGCTGGCCTGATCCAGCATGCCCTTCTTATAATCTCAGGATCTTTGGTCCAATCCTGCTGACCCCTTTTTATGTCCTTTGGGCTGTAACTGCGTGGCTGATCACCCGTTTCATGTGGAGCACATCTCTGTTGCCTTTCAGGGCAAAGCCTGGCGACTTACGGAAGATAATTGAAACCGTCAGACTGTTTTCAAAATAAAAAACAAACCAATCCAATTAGGAAAACTTCAAAACAAAGCAGCAGCGGGTTTTAAAAACCCAGTTCACTGCACTCTTAATAGAGCACAGCTTGTCTCAGGTAACAGCCATCAGTGCCGGAGGGAGAGAGCAAGATCCAGAGGGATTCCAGAGAGCGTCCCGGGATTGGGAGAGGCAGCCCATCTTCTGGGGAAGAGAATCAGCGTAGCACCAGTGGAGAAGGGGGGCAGATGGGGGAAGCGGTGAGGCGGTCCCATGACTCCTTGCCGGGGACCAGCAGGGAGAGTAGGGGTCCTCCGCTGCCTACGCCCTCCTTGCGCAGAAGGCTTCCGCGCAGAGAGAGTAGGAGGAGACTAGGCGTCAAAGAGCTTCTTTGCTGGAAGAAGTTTAAGCAACGCCCACTGACGGATTCTGCCAGCGATTGAGACAGCCACGGGCGAGCGGCTGTCCGGACAGAAAAGGTTCACTCAGGCAACCCAGCCAGGTGTTTGCACCGGCTTACGCACGAGCAACCCCTAGAACCACTACAGCTTGGAACAAATAGCTTTTAAAAACAAACCTTTAAAACGGTTGAATTGCCTTTTTAGGGGGGCTGAGGGCCACATTAACTCTTGGACAGCCCTCTGGGGGCCAAAGTGCAAAGTGGGCTTGGCAAGAATGACATATTTCAAGGCTGCCTCACAAAACACTTTCCCATCAGCTACAGCATTTAAAACCATTTTTCTTATTCAGTGAAGTAAAAAAGGACACATTTGGGGCAGCTTCAGACCTTAAATAGTCTCCTGCTGCGAGGTATCAGTACAAAGTTTCCAAGGCCACATTTTCATGGTCCTGTGGCCCCATTTTTGGGGACACGGTATTGCAGAGAGGAACCTATGGTGTGTCATTTTTAAAATAAAAAATAAACATTTTAATGGATTTTGGGGGGGTAGGTTTAGGGGAGGTACGCAAATCTTTTGGGAAGGGCTGTATATGGCAGGTTAAAGGGACTCCTGACCATTAGGTCCAGTCGTGGTCGACTCTGGGGTTGCAGCGCTCATCTCGCTTTATTGGCTGAGGGAGCCGGCGTACAGCTTCCGGGTCATGTGGCTAGCATGACTAAGCCGCTTCTGGCGAACCAGAGCAGCGCATGGAAACACCACTTACCTTCCTGCCGGAGCAGTACCTATTTATCTACTTGCACTTTGATATGCTTTTGAACTGCTAGGTTGGCAGGAGCAGGGACCGAGCCAACGGGAGCTCACCCCGTCGCAGGGATTTGAACCGCTGACCTTCTGATCGGCAAGTCCTAGGCTCTGTGGTTTAACCCACAGTGCCACCCGTGTCCCATATGGTAGGTTAGCCTCCCCTATTTTAAGATTTAACAGAAGTGAGGCCAGGCAGACATTTTGGAGGAACTTCTAGAGAAATAAGGCTGCTACAGAAAAGGCCTCGCACCCCAACTTTAAGGGTCTCCGGTGGCAAAACTGGTACATACATGGAGTCCTGCTGCCTCCCGTTATTGGTAGTACAGTGGTACCTTGGTTCTTGAACGTAATCCGTTCCGCAAGTCTGTTTGACTTCCAAAATGTTCAAAAACCAAGGCACGGCTTCCGATTGGTGCAGGCGACCCAGAAACAATAGCTGACAGCAGCATCAGACGTTCTGCTTCCGAAAAATGTTCAATAATTATAATAATAATAATTTATTATTTGTACCCAGTCCATCTGGCTGGGCTTCCCCAGCCACTCTGGGCGGCTTCCAACTAAGATTAAAAATACATCAAAAACAGAAACACTTACTTCTGGGTTTTTAGTTTTTGGGAGCCAAAATGTTTGAGTACCAAGGCATTTGAGAAGCAAGGTTCCACTGTACTGAGCAAGATGGCATCTTCAGAAGTTGATGGGGGGTGTTGAACTAGAAATTCAAATAATTTCTGCTCGTTTTGCAGTACTGGGGTTCAGCGGAGCTGTTTTTCACCAGTGCTGTCAGAGCGCTAGATCTCATGAATCTCCGTTTGTGGAGTAGACGGGAACAATACTAAAGAATATAAAACTGTGTGGAAAAAATGACGACAGTATAAACAGTACAATGAGAATGATTGAAAGACTCGTTTTGTCAGAAGTCTTCTTTATTTAAGTGTTTATTTAAGTATTAATTAGGAAGATTAAGTATTTTTATGTAAGCAAATCTGCTTTTTCTTTTTTCTTTTCTTCTGTAATCTCTTCTTTTCTTCTTAATTGTTTTTTCTTTAATTTTCTTTTTGTAGTATGAGATTGTAAATTCTTTGTACAGTGGTACCTCAGGTTACATACGCTTCAGGTTAGAGACTCCGCTACCCCAAAAATATTACCGGGTTAAGAACTTTGCTTCAGGATGAGAACAGAAATCGTGCTCCGGCGGCACGGCGACAGTGGGAGGCCCCAATAGCTAAAGTGGTGCTTCAGGTTAAGAACAGTTTCAGGTTAAGAACGGACCTCCAGAACGAATTAAGTACTTAACCCGAGGTACCACTGTATATGTGTGTAATTTAAATTAATAAATATTTTTTTTAAAAAAAATATCTCATGAATCTCAGCCCAGTGCTTTATGCAGAAAAGCCACCCTTCCTCTTTCCTTCCTGTGATTTCAAATCTTTTGCTTGATTTTTTTTAAAATTAAAATAAATACAAACTGTTTTGCTTGCTGCCTTTGCAGACACGGACATGCACTCTCGCCACTTGGCCTTAAGCAGCCTTTTCACAGAAGCCCTGACGATGATGAATAACGCCAGCGTTGCCACGGCAGAGTCTCTGCGCGTCAGTCTGCGAGGCTGGATCGACGGTGCCGTGCATGGCTTAGGGGTGATGCCTCTCTTAACAGCTGCGTGCCAGAGTCTGGCATCGGTCCGGCACATGGCCGAGACCACGGAAGCCTGCGTCACGGCCTATTTTAACGAAGGTGAGAAAGAGGAACATAGCTGTCAACCGTCCCTTATTTGGCGGGAATTCCCTTATCCCAGCGCCGTGTCCCGCTGCTGTTCCTTATTGATGATGTCCCTTAAATTTCCCGGGTTTCAAAGGATGCAGCTCCTCTCCCTCCCTCCCTGCCAACCAGGGAGGAGGGAGGCTCCATCTGTGTTGCTTGGCTGCGTTGCTCACCCAATAAGGAGTCTAAGAACGACTGGGGGGTGGAGCTTGCATGCATTGTGCTGATCAAATCGGCCGCGTTGCCTGGGGACTCGCCTTTGCTCAGCGCTTCCCAGCAGAGAGGTGACAGTGGTTTCCCTTGCTGCATCCCCTTTGCTGGGTTGCTGTGCGGTGGGAACCACCGCTTGAGGGTTCGTTTGGCTGCTGGCTGGGCTTTCTGCCTTTGGCTTGGAGGGGCTCAGAAGTTGAACATACCTGTGCTTGGAAAATCCCTTACTTTGGCTGCTGATCCCTTATTTTCGAGGCTGCTGGTCCGTTATTTTCAAATCTGTAACTTGACAGCTATGGAGAGGAAGGCTTTTGACTATCCTTCCTTGTGACTCACTGTCGACTCAGGGTGGCCCTGCCTGTCTGTCAAGGGATGGCGGTTTGCACCCAGTGAAGCTGTCCTGTTAGCGCAGTGGTTCTCAACCTGTGGGTCCCCAGATGTTGTTGGACTACAACTCCCATCATCCCTGAGCTCTGGCCTTGGTAGCTAGGGGTGATGGGAGTTGTAGTTCAACAACATCTGGGGACCCACAGGTTGAGAAGGGCTGTGTTAGTGCAAGGACTTCTGCCTTTGTGACGATACCTCACAGAATCATAGAATTGAAGTGTTGGAAAGGACCTGGATGTTGTTGTAAGTGTACAGGTTTCAGCATCCCAAGAACCTAAGTATTTAAACAAAAAGCCAAGCTTCTAGTTCTTATGTTACCAAGATTGTAGCTGGCGCCCATCTGTCTCAGGAGACAATAGAAGAGTATGCCTTTGTGGGTTGAGGTCAAACTGTTGGAAGGTTACAAGGCCTGCCGTGGCTGTAGAGACCAATATGGGAGAGACATGTTTTGTTGCAGCTGGGGCAGATGGAGGAGTCCAGTTGTGCTGCTGCAGATGCCCCATGGCGTTTCTTCTCTCTGCGCTCTCTGTTCGGTGCTTGCAGGCTTTTCCCTGAGGAGGGAGAAGGGCAGCCCATCCTTTAAAGGGAGTGCGGCTCTTGGGGGCTTTTCCGCGAGGTGGGGGAAGAGACTGAGGGGCTGCCCTTTGTCCCTTCCCCCACCTTCCACAAAAGCCGCGCTCTCTTTTCTCCCTCCTCGGGGAAAAGCCTGCAAGCGTCGCGCATGCGCTCCATGCGGCTTGTGAAAGGGAGCGCTGAGCAGAGCCTGGGATGCATACAGGCCTTGCTCAGTGCTCCCTTTAAAGAATATTTTTTCCCTGGCATTCCCCCTCTAAAAACTAGGTGTGTCTTATGGAGTGAAAAATACGGTAAATATGCAGGGGAAAAGTGAATAATTTAGTCTGATTCTGCCTACCATGGGGGAGGAGCAAATAATTGTGTGAAGCACTGAGGATTCATCCCCTGGGTAGTGAAATATCCCCTCAGCTGCCTGCTTCACATCCATATTTTTCAAGTTTATCTACATAAGGAGCGCAGAGAGAAGAAATGCCGTGGTGCACGTTCAGAAGCACAACCAGACTCCTCCAGCTGCCCCAGCTGCAACAAAAACATGTCTCTCCCATATGCATTCGCTCCATAAGACGCAAAAACATTTCCCCTTACTTTTTAGGAGGGAAAAGGTGCGTCTTATGGAGCGAAAAATACGGTAAAATTGTACTGTTTTTAGAGAGACGGTTTATTCGGGGTGCGGATTTGACCCTTTTGGGGTGCCATTTGGCCCCGTTCATACTATATTTTGTGCTCCTTTTGCCTCTATGGGTTTTCATGGATATTTACAGATTTAAAGGAACTGCTTTGGAATTAAAGGAACATCTCTGAGCTCTGGCTCATTTGGGTCTTCTGACCACTAACAGTGCTTCCTCTCCTTCTCTCTCCTCCCACCCACAACTCCCTCTTTGTACAAAGATTCTCCACTCAGCCAGGATTTGGGCTGGGGGCCGATCGTGGCCTCCCTACAGGTCCCTGAACTCACGGCCGAAGACTTCCTGCAGGAGTGCCTTTCACTGGGCGGCTACCTAACTCTTTACGTCTACGCTCTGCAGCTGTTGAACGTCAAGCAGACGCTGGACAATGAAATGAAAGTGGTGCTGACGTTGAGCAAGTGGCTGGAACAGGTGTTCCCCAGGTACAGAGATCTTGTGGTCGGGAGGGAGATGAGGACAGATGTTTGGAGCAGGACATTTCACCTTGGCTACCGATTGCCAGGCAAATCCTTCTCTTTGGGCCTTCCAAAATGCTCACTGATAGTCAACGTTCCACGGGGCGGGCGCCACCACCAAGAAGGCCCTCTGCCTGGTTCTCTGTAACCTCACTTCTTGCAGTAGGGGAACCGCCAGAAGGCCTTCGGAGCTGGACCGCAGTGTCCGCACTGAGCGATGGGGGTGGAAATGCTCCTTCAGGTATGCAGGACCAAAACCGTTTAGCTGTTTGTCCCTTCTTTGAGGCGGATTTAAGGACCCTCTCCAAAACGGGCATGTCTCTCCCACTTCCACCCTGGTTATCTCTCTGAAATGGGGATAATCTTTCCTTACGATACAGTACAATAATCTTTATTGTCATTGTCCCATACAGAACAACGAAATTGAAAAAAATCTACATCAGACATTCAAAAACCAACAAGCCTGCTATCCCAGCTATCCCAGCGTGGTTAGCCCCCTAAAAACTCTGATACTCCATAATTAAATACAATATACTCCCATAGAGACTACCTTTCACTGCATTTAAAACCAAAATCACATTTGGATAGAAACTGTTTCTCAGGCGGCTAGTCCTAGTCTTTATAAACCTGTACCTTCTTCCAGAGGGACGCGGGTGGCGCTGTGGTCTAAACCACAGAGCCTAGGACTTGCCGATCAGACGGTTGGAGGTTCGAATCCCCGCGACGGGGTGAGCTCCCGTTGCTCGGTCCCTGCTCCTGCCAACCTAGCAGTTCGAAAGCGCGTCAAAGTGCAAGTAGATAAATAGGTACTGCTCCGGTGGGAAGGTAAACGGCGTTTCTGTGCGCTGCTCTGGTTTCACCAGAAGCGGCTTAGTCATGCTGGCCACATGACCCAGAAGCTGTACGCCAGCTCCCTCGGCCAGTAAAGCGAGATGAGCGCCGCAACCCCAGAGTCAGTCACGACTGGACCTAATGGTCAGGGGTCCCTTTACCCTTTTACCTTCTTCCAGAAGGCAGAAGCTGAAAGAGATCATTTCTGGGGTGCGCACTATCCTGCGCTATCTCTGCAGCTTTCTTATGACACCTGAATGAAACCGGAATGGGGGGAGTGTTTTAAGAGCTTAAATAGCAAGTTCTTAACCGCACAAGCTTTAAATCCCCAGAGGGTGACCGGGGACGGACAAAGGATGGACAAGGGAGACTTTTAATCTTGCCTGTGGTTCCATCAGAATTGCTCCATCATTCAGCCCAGCTGTGAGTGAGGCCAGCAGTCATGAGCTGATGCTTCGCCTTGGAAAGTGTGGCTTTGGCGGAGACGGGGTTATTTTTGGAAGCCTTTAAAAAATAGCCAGCAGGGGAAGTTCGCCCTCGTGGCTCAGATCCGTGCGGTTTCTGTTGGCAAATTGCAGGGCAGTGATCATGTTTAAACTCCTTGTAGCTAGAACAGAGATGGATGGATTCAGGGAACTATCTGTCCTCACTCCTGGCTACGCAAAATGTAGTCAGTTGTTTGTGGGGATGCCTCTTCATGTTCTTGCATGCAGAAGATCCCGGGTTCAGTTCCTGACTTCTCCCAGGTAGAACTGGGAGCCACTATCACTGCCTGAAACCTGGGAGGACCATTTAGGTTGAGTCAGCTTCTGCTATTTAAATCAGAACACTGATGACTAGAACCTTGCTTTATTTTTAGGGAAAGGGCCCATAGCTCAGTGTCAGAACACAATTGGAAGGTTTTAGGTTCAATCCCTGACACCTCCAGGTAGAGAGAGAGACCTCCCATCTGTCTGCAGATATATGGCAGATTAAATTGATGGATTATGCCAAAATGGTAAAAAATGACCAGAAGAATCAGAAATCAGGAAGACCAAAATTTTAATAAGGAATGGGGGAAATTTCTCTTTTTTAAAAATCATTTTTATTGATTTTCCAATAAAAAACATCCAATTAATATATCCAATCATAATACTTCAATTAAAATAAAAAACTAAAATAAAAAGATCAAATTATAGTCCAAATTGTATTTATTAATTTCTCGGAGTGCCCCACTGTCTGGATCTCTGAAGCATATCTCCACATCTTAGTCCTGCTTCTCCTCGTTGTTTCCATATTTTCCACAACTTTTTTGTTTTGACGCTTCATAATTCTTTGTCCCTGGGTCGGTGATTCTCATTCATGCTAAACATCATATACTTTCATCCACCGAATACAGCTTTGTTAATATATATTTTTTCCAACTGTCTTTTTATCAGCTCAGCTTCCTCTGATTCCGTTCCAATCTGGGATGTTGTCCAAATCTGTTATCTTTGATGGTGCATTAATTGTCCAAACCTTCCTTTGAAGCTTTATTAAACCAGTAGGAATGGGGGAAATTTCTAATTTACCTTAAAAACCATTGTAAACAGTGAAAATTGTTAGTAGGATTGGAACAATGGTGAATTTTGGATATAATGGAGATGTAAATGCTTGGCAGGAGGAAATGATAGGACCCATATCCTGGAACATTGCTGCCTCCAGCTGTAGAGGCTAGTAGCCATAGCTCTCTCCAACTCCATGATTTTCTCTAATCCTCTTTTAAAGTTATCCACGTTGGCGGCCATTGCTGACTCCTGAGTTCCGCAGTGTTAGTTTTATTGTTTTAAAATAAATTTTATTAGATTTTCCACAGTGATAACACAAATCACAAAGCAAAATGATACACAAAAACAGAAAAAGAAAAAGAAAAAAGAAAGAAAATAAAAAGGGGGGAACAATAAACAGATAAACAATAACAACAAACTTTAATTCTTCACAAATCCAACCTTTTAAACATCTTGGTTGACTTCCTCAAATCCCTCCCTTCTGAGTTTCCTTGTAATTAAAAGTAACAGCTTTCCAATATCATTATTAAACTAAAACAGTTTCCAGTTATAGTCCACCTTATTCACTTTTCTTAACATTCTAAATCCCATTTATTTAATTATAACTTAATTTAATCCTAGGCCTATTTGCTTCTTTCAAGTAATTTCTAATTTTTTATATTACAATATTGATTCAAATAGTCCTTGAATTTCCTCCACTCCTCTTGAAACTCCTCTTCTTTCTGGTCGCGGATTCTTCCAGGCAGGTCAGTTAGCTCCGAAAAGTCCATCATCTTCATCTGCCAATCTTCCACTGTTGGTAATTCTTGTGTTTTCCAACTTTTAGCAAATAATATTCGGGCAGCCGTTGTGGGAGTTCCGCAGTTTTAACTATGTGCTGTGTGAAGGAGAGTCTTTCTTTGGCATATACTGTATTTTTCGCTCTATAGGGCGCACCGGACCATAGGACGCACTGGACCATAGGAGGGGGAGAACAGGGGGAAAAAAACTCCCCCTCTCTGCTCAGCACCCCTTCAGCGAAGTGGCAGGAGAAACGGAGCCCCTTCCATTTCTCCTCCCGCTTCGCTGAAGGGGCGCTGCGCAGAGAGGGAAAACTGTGCAGCGCCTCTCCAGCGAAGCGAAGCCTGGAGAGCAAGACGGATCGGTGTGCACCGACCCCTCTCGCTCTCCAGGCTTCAGACGGCTATCCGCAAGCCTTCGGAGCGCAGTGGGAACTTCTGCTGTACTCCGAAGACTTGTGGATAGCTGCCTGAATCTCCCGGAGCGCAGCGGGAGTTCCCTGCGCTCCGGGGGCTTCAGGCGGCTTCAGCGAAAGCAACTCGAAGCCTCCGGAGCGCGGGGGGAGCTCTCCCTCTGCGCTGCGGAGGCTTCGCGTTGCTATCGCTGAAGCCAAGGAGCCTGCATTCGCTCCATAGGATGCACACACATTTCCCCTTCATTTTGGGACGGGAAAAAGTGCGTCCTATAGAGTGAAAAATACGGTACTTCTCGCAAGAGGGATGACAGCTAATGGGAAGTAACACTGGGGTGACGGGCAGTTTCTAATGGTGTCTGGTTTTGTCTCTGTCTCTCCCCCCTTCTCTGTTCCCCCCCCGAATCTTCACGATTCCCCCCAAAAGCTCCACCAAGGATGAAGCGAAGCTGTTCCTTTGGTGGCACAAAATCCTGCAGCTCTGCCTCCTCCAAGTAGACCAGGACGATGCCATCCTGATGGAGTCAGTCGTCCGCATTCTGATGTCTCTGCAAGGCAGGCAGAACCTCCTGGCCGAAGAGAGACTCACCTCTGGGATACTTGGTGCTCTAGGGCTGGGCAGGAAGTCTCCTTTGTCAAACAGGTGAAAATGGGTTGTTGTTATGATGATTAAGGAAAGGTGGGCCCAAATAAAAAGATCGCAGATATGTAAGACTGAATGTTTAATTATTAAGATACAAAAATATAATCTCAATAATAAAGTTATAAAATAATAACAAGGAAGTCACGCACGGGTGGAGGGAAGACACAGGGCAAGGATTAAGAAATGGATAAATGTTGGTACATAATGAAATGTGAAAAATGTGAATTTACGAATATAATGCACAGTGGTACCTTGGGTTACATACGCTTCAGGTTACATACGCTTCAGGTTACAGACTCTGCTAACCCAGAAATAGTACCTCGGGTTAATAACTTTGCTTCAGGATGAGAACAGAAATCGGGCTCCAGCAGCGCAGCGGCAGTGGGAGGCCCCATTAGCTAAAGTGGTGCTTCAGGTTAAGAACAGTTTCAGGTTAAGAACGGACCTCCGGAACGAATTAAGTTCTTAACCTGAGGTACCACTGTATATGTATCATTATGTAAAGATTTCATATATGTATTGCAACATAAACAAAATAAAATAAAATAAAATAAAATAAAATAAACAGATGGGCTTTTTGGAAGGCAAGCAAGAGCTGCTGCTACATATGTTGCAATGTGAAAGGTTTGCTGCGTGGCTGGAATCTTGCCCCGTTCCCGGATACTCCATTCTATTCCCACCAACAACAACCAGCGTTCTGCCACCGCGGGGCTTGCCCGATCCATGTTGGGTTGTTGAGAGTTTCCTTCCGGTTCTCCGCCCAGTTTTATTTTCCCTCCCAAAGTCTACTGATGTCTTCCTCTTGTGTGTGAAGGAGAGGGCAGGGTGTATTGGCCACAACAAAACCTGCACAATAATTATTATTGTTATCGCTATTATTCATTCATTCATTCATTCATTCCCCGGTAGTTGTGCCCGCCCTGTGGAACGCACCCTCCCATCAGATATCAAGGAAATAATCAGCTATCTTATTTTTAAAAGACATCTGAAAGCAGGGACGTTTTTAATATTTAATGCTGTATTGTTTTTAACGCTCGATTGGGAGCTGCCCAGAGTGGCTGGGGAAACTCAGCCAGATGGGCGGGGTATAAATAATAAATTATTATTATTAGAGGAAGTGCAGAGCAAAAGGTTGACAAAAGGATGCCAAAGATTCACCCTTTCCTCTGAAAAGGCCAATACAGTGGTGCCTCGCAAGACGAAATTAATCCGTTCCGCGAGTCTCTTCGTCTTGCGGTTTTTTCGTCTTGGGAAGCACGGCTATTAGCGGCTTAGCGGCTATTAACGGCTTAGCGGCTTTAAGAAAAAGGAAACAAACTCGCAAGAACTCGCAAGACGTTTCGTCTTGCGAAGCAAGACCATAGGGAAATTCGTCTTGCGGAACGACTCAAAAAACGCAAAACCCTTTCGTCTAGCGAGTTTTTTGTCTTGCGAGGCACTCATCTTGCGGGGCACCACTGTATCCGCATCCTTGGTCTCCTGCCGTCCTCAGAGCAGCTTGCAGGGCTCTGTCTTGCCCTCTCCTCTCTCTTGCCTCCCTTATCCACACAATAACCCTTCCAGTAGGTTAGGATGAGAGATTGGCAGCGATCAGCAGAGACGTAATGCAGGGCAAAAATAAAGCCGGGCCGGAACTGCGTATTTTTTACGTGGAACTTGCAGGGAAAGAGCTCTTTGTGTGTGTGTGTGTGTGTGTGTGTGTGTGTGTGTGTTTCTCTGTTTTCAACGGAGAGAGGAGCTCCTTGCCAACTCCCTTCCCTCTTCATGTTCTCGTTGAAGGTTTCGTGTCGCTGCCCGAAGCATGTCCGCCTTCCTGCTGGTGCAGATTCCGGTGGAGAACCAGATCCGCCTCAGGCCTGGCGTGGAACTGCACCTTTCTGCCAAAGCTCAGCAGGTAGATTGGATGCACCCTGAGTGGTTTAATCTGGTGCCTGTATCAAGAATGCTCTTTGTGTCCCTTGGTGGATGTAAGGTCCTTAAGGTACATAAATAGCAACACCCTAGTGGTCCCGGGCCCTAAGGAAGTCAGATTAGCCTCAACCAGAGCCAGGGCCTTTTCAACACTGGCCCCAGTCTGGTGGAACGCTCTGTCTCATGAGACCAGGGCCCTGCGGGATCTGATTTCTTTCCTCAGGGCCTGTAAGACAGAGTTGTTCCGCCTGGCCTTTGGCTTGGAATCAATTTGATTCCCTCCACCTCTTTCTTTTTTCCTTTCTCCTCCTGTGATGGAACTCCTATTTGGGGACTTCCCTGGCTTTTTTCTGGCCCATGTAGGACCAGTCTGGATAGTTGGCCTTGGTGAAGACCTGACGTTTACATCCCCCAAAAAGTTTTTGATTTGAGTTTCCATTGAAATGAGGCTGTATTTTAATGTTTTCATGTTGTATTTTAATCTTGTTTTTAAGTTGTATTTAAATCAATTTGCTTTTATATCGGGTGTTAGCTGCCCTGAGCCCGGTCTTGGCTGGGGAGGGCGGGGTATAAATGAAATTTATTATTATTATTATTATTATTATTATTATTATTAGCTCATTTCCATCTTTGCAGGCTCTGAGTGCTCTCGATTCCATGACTTCAAACAAACAGTACGCAGAATACCAGGAGCAGATCTCCCAAGCCTCCCAGTTTGTCAGGGACTCTCACCGCTGCCTTCGCGATGGGCCAAACCTTCTGGCTATCCTCGTCAACACTTTGTACCCAGAAGTGCATTACTTGGACGCCATACGGTAGCAGCAAGCGAGGGGAGGTGGCCTCATCCTGCCTCGCATTGCAATCGTGGATTATTTACAGTTTACAGTCGGCAGTTGCACAAGTAGCTGTGATTCACAGGGTTTCACTTTGTCAAAAGTGGTGGAAGAGAGAGAGGGCAAAGATTAGATAGACTGGTTTGAAAGCCGGCTTGGAGGTTTCCATAGCTGGGCTTTAACACCTGCACAAATCTCTCGCGCGTTTCCGCCAAACCAAAACACTTCTCTGGCTTTCCCCCCCATTTTAATACAGTCTTAACGGCGTGGTTCAGGGCTTTGCGGGGCTCTGGTTTGATTTTTCCATGGACTTTACGAAGACCTCCGTACTGGATTGTGCTTGAAGACTGTTAAGTGACTTGAGTGCTTCATCATTTTGGAAATAATGCAGAGTTTGTTTTCCCCAGCACTAACTCGATTTTGCTTTCTGTGCCTTTTCTTCTTTCTTTCTTTCTTTGGCTGACTGTGAAATTCTTGGGCCAGTCTGGACTCACCTGGTCGTTACCTAATCAGGATTTTGGACCATCTCTCTCCCCAACCCCTGCTCTTGTTTAATTTGCCTCCATCTACTTGTCCTCGATGTGTGATAAAAATGGAACCTAGTGAGGCCAACCTCCTGCGTCTTTGCCCAGCCAAATTGACAGAAGCTGGATTCATTTGTTTAAGGGTTCTGGGGAAAGGGAGAGAGTCTCTTACGTCACTTCCTTATCATGTGCATGGAACAAGCTATCCCTTTCATACTGCTTTTTTATTATAAGGCAGTAAAAGGAGCAAAGAACAACAATTTCGTTGGATTTCAGTAGCATGGAGAAGACAGCAGTGTCCTAATTACTGGAGTGTTCTTAAGAGTTTAATTAGGAATATTATGGTTTTCTTGTAATGGTACAAAGGACCATCAACGCTGGCAGGGGAGAACGCCTGCAAGGTGCCCAGGATTCCTCTCACCTGGAGCAGATACAACTCACAAGCTATCCTTAAAACGCATCATTTGAATAGCTTGGATTCTTTCTGTCAATACAGCAAAGCAAGTTTGATTTTTCCCCTAAGCTGAGGTCACTAACCTGTGACCTGGAGAAATAAGCTTTATAGTAATCAGTTGAACATTTACTGCTAAGTGTTCTAAGGAAGAGACCGTGTAGCCTTTTTGTGAGGCTCGGATGACACTCCAGAATCGTCTGTCCAAATCTTGCAATATACAGAGTACAGCTGGGGTTGTGTGTGTGTGTGTGTGTGTGTGTGTGTGTGCCCTTTATTTACCTGTGTGTATACGACGTGCCTCTCAAGCTGTGTTTCCTGGTTCAGTTGCTGTCGCTTCGTTTGAGTGAGTTAGCTAAGGTTGTCCCCCTTCCTTTTGAGAGAAAAAAAAAAGAGATATTGATCACCTCCGCACACACTCTTGGTGCAACTCGCTATGCCTGGCATAGCCAATGGGTTGCATGCAGATGTTGCTGAACTCTCCACCCCCATTGGCCCCAACCGCCATGGCCGGTGGCCACAGAGAATTGGAATTAAAACCAGCATCGTTAGGGGGCCAAGATGCTCAGTTCATTTCAATGGGCTGACTTTCAACTGTCTTTTGAGTCTCATTGAAATGCACTTGGATGGTGAAGCTACTATGCTTTGGCAACAGGCCTTTCGATATATATATCTATATTTTTTTCTGGGATTTCATTTGCTCAAATATAGATTCTGGCAAACACTTCAGGCACGTTCTGTGCATCTCTTGGGAATCACCCCTGCCCCCTTTTCAGGTTTAAAGATGCTTTTCCTTTCTGAGCTAATCAGTAAAAACAAAACAAAACCCAAGAGCGCATTTCTGTTTGAATGTGTACCTTCATATTCATGCCTTTAGCTCCACTTGGCAGGCAAGGTTTTCTCCTAACTTTTCAGCGTCTCGCACCGGCAAATGATATTGTAGCGTTTGCCTTCCAGCTAATGATTTCTGAAACTGCAAATCCCACAGTCTTTCCTTTCCTTGTGAAATTGCCAAATTATGCCAAATAAGGTCCTTGTGCATCGGGTTCTTCAGAACTCATGTTGTGGATTGAGCTTCCAGACATAGGACCAGGCAGCTTGCCCCTGTGGTGCACTGGTAATGAAATATCACTGCTTTGGTGGGACTTCATGTTTAGAGGACCTCACAACTGGAAGAAGAATTATTGCTGCTTTTTAGAGAGAGAGAGAAGAGGAAGAAGAGAAGCCTTCTGAGATGTTTCTTTTCCTCCCCTCAGCTCAGAATTAATAAATTTATATTAAAAAAACGAAGACTGTGAAAAGGCAGAAACTATTATGTGTGCATCGGGCATGATAGTTCTGATATGGGAGCTATTGATTTGCCTGTGGTTTCAACAGGATGTGTGTTATAGTTGTTTGTGTCTACAAGGACCATGTGAAATAAAACAGTGAGAAACACTAGAACGATGATGGAGACTCTTATTGGGGATAGGCTGTTTTGTCAGTTGGGGTACCAGTTGCGGGGTGTGTGTTGACGGGGCAGTGGGATTCTCTTCCCTTCATGCGAGGCTGGTTGAACATTTGAGGCAGGACCCTTGGCAAAATATTTTATTACGCTTATAGTTCACCTTCAATCCAGGAAGAAAGCCAGGGCAAAAAAATCACGTTATCTCCATACTGGTGCCCATCCAGGCATTGGCCAGCCTTAGCTTCATCAAGATAGGGATTTCGTTTGCCTTCAGACCAGACCCCCTGAGATTGACTGATGGAACCCCTCACCTCACAATTCAGGGTGGTCTGCAAAGGAAAGAACTTCGGCTGATGGGTGACGGACAGCTACGTGGCCATGCAAGTGCAAGCTTGCTGCTGTTGATGTTTATTTAATTCATTAGGCGGCCGCGGCCCAAAAAGCGACTTACAACATGTTTGAAAGCACATACTCTTCAGATCGTATACAAACCATTCGCCTTTTACTAAAAGCACAAGCAGAGAGGCATTATGGTGTAAACACATTAACGCAAAACCACTTTCAGTTCATAAAAAAAAAAACCATACAAAGCAAAGCAAGCCTCAACAGAAAGCAGAAAGATTCAGCGGCACAATTTTAACAGCAACAAACAATGTCCTGGCCCATCAAGATGTTCCATCGCAAGGGAGTTGCTAGTTTTTATCCACTCCTGTCATTTTGCATCACAACATCTGTGAGTGATAATATTCTGGGTGGGATCTCTGCTTCGCTCCATGAAACTGCCTGAGTGCCACATAGCTGAGGATCTTTTGACACATGTGCACAACATTGTTTTAGTTATTCGTGCATGTACTGCTTAATGCACAGATGGCTTTCTTCTATCTGTTTCACTCGGGCAGGCTTTGACTTATGGAGTTGATCCTGCGGTTGAGGTTTTCGTATGGAGAATCTTGCATGGCTTGCCTGCCGGTGAAAAGAGTCAACAACATAATTTCCAAGAAGCGGGAAGCAGGCCATGGCAGAAATCGATTATTTATTTTAACACAATTTATATAACAATCTTTTTTAAAAATCCAAACACTTTTAGGTCGTTTACAACAAAGAAAGCCCAACTGCTTAAAACAGAAGAACATCAACTCTAAATCCATTTGATTCCCCCCCCTATTTTTATGTCCTGTTGAGCAACCCTGTGGATTCTACTCCAAATTAAACTCCACTGAATTTAATGAACTTCTAGGTTGCAAGTTAACTCCCCAATGGAAAAAGGCAGTGAGCTTTGGCTGGATCATGCCTGAAAGGTTTTAATCGGCGAAAGATGTTGCCATGAAAACAACGACTTTGATCCATCCAGATCAGTGAACTGGTGAAGCTTGCTTGCTATAGTGCCAAGGTTTTGTCTAATCCTATGTCTCCCAAAGGGACGCGGGTGGCGCTGTGTGTTAAACCACAGAGCCTATGGCTTGCCAATCAGAAGGTCGGCGGTTCGAATCCCCACGACAGGGTGAGCTCCCGTTGCTCGGTCCCTGCTCCTGCCAACCTAACAGTTTGAAAGCACGTCAAAGTGCAAGTAGATAAATAGGTACCGCTCCGGTGGGAAGGTAAATGGCGTTTCTGTGCGCTGCTCTGGTTCGCCAGAAGCGGCTTAGTCATGCTGGCCACATGACCCGGAAGCTGTACGCCGGCTCCCTCGGCCAATAAAGCGAGATGAGCACTGCAACCCCAGAGTCGGCCACGACTGGACCTAATGGTCAGGGGTCCCTTTACTTTACCTTTTTATGTTTCCCAAACTTGGGTCTCCAGCTGTTTTTGGACCACAAATCTCATCATCCCTCACCACTGGTCCTTCTAGCTAGGAATGGTGGGAGTTGTAGCTGAAGACCAAAGTTTGGGAAACTGCTGGGTGAGGGAACCTGTGGCACTCTAGATGTTCCCGGACTCCCCCAGTCCAATTTACTGTGTCCAGTGGTCACGAATGGCGGGAGCTGCAACTTCAGGAAGGCCATAGATCCCTCAACCCTGTTTTCAAACCACCTGTGGCAAGAGACAGGGAACTGGGGCAGGGCTGTAGCTCAGAAGGAGCACATCTGCCTTGCATGCAAGAAGGTCTCAGGATCAGTCCCCAAGTAAGGCTAGGAGAGAGACTGGGTCTCAGACCCCAGACAGCTGCTGCCGGATGGACTGGTGGATCTGATACATCATAGGGCAGCTTCCTACGTCAATTATGTCCTTAGAGCTGAGAGTAGTTGGGAAGAACGCTCTTCTCAATTTCATCTCCCGCAAACAGGTTTGGCAAAGCTCTGTTTCTAAATTCCGCCAAACCTGGGTTTCCGCAGCAGAAACGAAGAAGCATTACGGGGAACAAAGTGATACGTCTCTCACTGCTTTCAGCTCTCTCAAAGGCCCTCTGTCTCTGCCATCTTGTGTAGCGTCAACTGCTACCCTCTATTTTTAAAGAAATAAATGGGTTTGTTTGTGTGCTCATGCCAGACAATGAAGGAAAAAAGCAAAAAAACACTGTTTGAAAGTGGGCACCTCAAAATGTAGGCCATCGGTTGACCAAGGACAGAGATAGGGAAGAGTGCCTCTGCTGTCAGGTCCTGTTTGTGGTCTTCGCTGGTTTACTGTGAGAACTGACCTCGATGGGCTACTCGGCTACTGGAACAGGGCTGTTCTTATGTTCTTATAATTGCAATCTAAATTAAGCGGGTTGGAGGGAAACTGCTAAGTCATGCTGAAAACCGCTGACTCTTCTCCTCTGCCCAAATTCTCAAATATTCTGCACTTTGAAGTTGGGCAGAAACAAAGTTGAAAGGTGATGTGTCTGCTAATGGTTCAGAAATGATTCTCTCTCTCTCTCTCTCTCTCTCTCTCTCTCTCTCTCTCTCTCTCTGTGTGTGTGTGCGCGCTTTTGTTGATGGGCGGAATGAATGAGAGTGGAATGTCCTAATCTGGCATAATTCCTTCCTTGCCAGGAAAAATAATGACCAGGAAACAGGTGATGGGAAAGCCCTTCTTTGCTAGAGACTCTCCCAGTCATAGTGGGCAGTAGTGGGCTAGATGCTGAAATGGTCTGTCTGACCTATTTAAAAGGCAGCGTCTTCTATCCCACGGATCTTTGCCCCACTTTCCCACTCTGTGTCCACGTCCTGCAGTAGTTCCTTATGACAAAAACTCCTTAAAAAATAGCTCGTGCTTTTTAGTGGCTATTCCTTCTACCATTGGTTTATCACACTTGGCATCAAAAAGGGGGATCAATGGTACCCTATTTTCAAAGAATCTTAGTATTGTTATCCTTTCCTTTAAGAATAGATGTCTTGATCTGTGGATAAATTTGGCCAAATTTTGATCTTGAAAGGTGATCATTGCTCGTACCGAGTAACCATCCTAGTGTACGTACTCCATAGAAGCAATATTTTTTGGCTTTACCACTCCTGGCAACATATCATTCAGGATGTTCAGGAAATGCATTATGCGATCCATCCATGAGAGGAAACCCTTCGGTTTTGGGTAGTTAACAAACACAAGTTTTTGAGGGATTAGTATCAAGTTCCAGTCTTTTTTTCTGGATTGGAACTTGCCAGTCCTCTAGTATGTCACCATCAATATTGTGGGCCACGCCCTCTTTAATACCCGTATTTCTAATTGATTTCCGTCCAGGGCTCTGAGATGTTACTTCCGTTATTACGTTTGTTTCAGGGCTCTGCTTTCGGGTTTCCTCCTCAGGTGTTATCTGGGGTTTTGCCTTGTTTAATCCCACTTTGCCTTTCTCTTTACTGCCCCGTGGGGTGGAGCTGTGGGTTAAACCACAGAGCCTAGGACTTGCTGATCAGAACGTCGGCGGTTCGAATCCCCCCGACGGGGTGAGCTCCCATTGCTGAGTCCCTGCTCCTGCCAACCTTGCAGTTTGAAAGCGCATCAAAGTGCAAGTAGATATATAGGTACCACTCCGGCGGGAAGGTAAACGGCGTTTCCGTGCGCTGCTCTGGTTTGCCAGAATCGGCTTAGTCATGCTGGCCACATGACCTGGAGGCTGTACACCGGCTCCCTCGGCCAATAAAGCAAGATGAGCGCTGCAACCCCAGAGTCGGCCACAATTGGACCTAATGGTCAGGGGCCCCTTTACCTTTAGTGTAGAGGATGGTGGAAGTAGGCTGTAAAGTTTCTGCCTTAGTGGCTATTCATGCACTTCTGAGAGTTGGGCTGAGATTCCACTTCTACTGTAAGTTTTGCCAGATAAAAAATTGTGAAAGACCTACCAGAGCACCGTATAGTTTTGTATGCCAGCTGGTGGGAGGCAAAGGGAGCAGACGGTATGTCCCAGCACTCTGTCAACGAAGAACAAGCCTGCATGTGGAAATCCAGTGTATCTGGAAGGCCAGCATATTGGGAATTGGCACGATGGCCAAGCAAGCCCATGAAACCCTTCCTATAGTTCAGGCTTCTTCAAACTCAGCCCTCCAGATGTTTTTGGCCTACAACTCCCATGATCCCTAGCTAGCAGGACCAGTAGTCAGGGATGATGGGAATTGTAGTCTCAAAGCATCTGGAGGGCCAAGTTTGAGCAAGCCTGCTCTAGCTTCTGGCACCCACTCAGACCTGCTGACCCAATTTGAAGCTGAGATGTAAGAATTTCTTACCGTGATAGGCCGGTTGGAGCCATCAAGTTGTCTGTGATTTGATGCAAGAGACAAAAAATAAAGATAAAGGTGTATCAGTTTTCTTACTGCATTGAAGAAGAAGAAGAGTAGTAGTAGGAGGAGGAGGAGGAGGAGGAGGAGGAGGAGGAGTTTGGATTTGATAAACCACTTTATCACTACCTGAAGGAGTCTCAAAACGGCTAACCTTCTCCTTTCCCTTCCTCCCCCACAACACTCTGTGAGGTGAGTGAGGCTGAGAGACTTCAGAGAAGTGTGACTAGCCCAAGGTCACCCAGCAGCTGCATGTGGAGGAGCAGGGAATCTAACCCGGTTCACCAGATTACGAGTCCACTGCTCTTAACCACTACTCCACACTGGCTCTGTTGTGTAATGTTCAAGTGAACAGACACTGGAGAGCCAGCAAAAGCCCAAGTCCTTGATAGACCAAGACCTGGTTCTTACTGAAACAATAGACCTGTGTCTGGGCCATAGTATTTCAAGCTGCTTGTGGGGGTCGGCAGATTGAATGCTCCTCTGCACAAAGGTTCCCTGCATGGAGAAAACTAGATGTCAGGACCAGGGTTTCCCCCCTCTTTGTAGCCTAGTCTTCTCCTTAACACACCAGTTGTCCATGCACAGGGATAGCTTCCTTATTGAGGAGCTCAGTGTTCCTTTGTACAGCGCAACCTTCCCCCAACCTGGTTTACTCTACCTGGTGTTGGACTCTCCAGCATCCATTGTCTCTGACCATTAGCCGTGCTGGTTGGGGCTGATGGGAAACGGAGTCCCACAAGGTCTGCAATTCGCACCCTGAAGGCTGCTTCTGCATGTTGAATTTTAGACCATAAGCTCCTCAGGACGAGGGCTTGACCTTCTGTATGCTAAATCAGGGTTTTCCCAAACTTTGGTCTCCAGCGGTTTTGGGACTACAATTCCCATCATCCCTCTGGGAGGGATGATGGGAGTTGTAGTCCAACAACAGCTGGAGATCCAAGTTTGTGAAACTCTGTTCTATAGCATTGGTCTTCAGCTGGCCTGATCTAAAATGGGTCCTAACAGCAGCAGCACACATCTTTTGAATATAGTGCAATTTAAAAAAAAAGAAATGGGGCCTAAATGCACGTATGGGTTAAAAGTGATCAAAATGATCAAGTTGACGACATAAAACACCATGCATGCTGATGGTGCAAATATATAAAAACCAGTGCTCCCTCTGCAAATCCAGGCTGCAAAACTGGAATGTGAAACCGGATCTAGATTTTCATCCCCTTTGGTTTCTCAATGAATACCGCTGTTGTTCCTGCTACTACCACCACCACTACTATTATTATTAATAATAATAATAAATTTTTATTTATACCCCGCCCTCCCCGGCCAGAGCCGGGCTCAGGGCGGCTAACACCAGTAAAATTACAATAAAAACATAATGGGGGGGGGGGGACAATTAAAAATACAATTTAAAATTCAGCCTCATTTTAAAAGTAGCCGATAGATCAAGACCATAAGGGGAGGGAAACCTAAGGGTCAGACTGAGTCCAAACCAAAGGCCAGGTCCAAACCTAATAGTCAGACTGAGTCCAAACCAAAGGCCAAGACAGCTCTGTCTTGCAGGCCCTGTGGAAAGATGTCAAGTCCCGCAGGGCCCTAGTCTCTTGTGACAGAGCGTTCCACCAAGTCGGGGCCAGTGCTGAAAAGCCCCTGGCCCTAGTTGAGACCAATCTAACCACCTTGCGACTTGGGACCTCCAAAATGTTGTCATTTGTGGACCTTAAGGTCCTCCACAGGGCATACCAGGAGAGGCGGTATTGCTTTGTTTCATAGCTGTCAAGTGTCCCTTATTTGAAGGGACAGTCCCTTATTCCAGCGCCATGTCCTGCTGCTGTCCCTTATTGATGGATGTCCCTTAAATGATGTTCCTTAAATTTCAAAGGAAGCAGCTCCTCTCCCTCCCTCCCTGTCCGCCAGGAAGGAGGGAGGCTCCAACTGTGTTGCTTGGCTGTGTTGCTCACCCAATAAGAAGTCTAAGAACGACTGGGGTGTGTGTGGAGCTTGCATGCCTTGTGTGTGGCTAGTTAATGCAAGCTGAGGGGGTTTTTGAATGCTGGACGCCATTTTGTTGCACGTGCTGCTGCAAACTTTGCAGTGCAAAGCCAGGCTGGGGAGCCATCTTACGTTGAGGCTGCATAGGCCTTGTGGTCAATGTGATTCAGATTCTATTCAGTTGAACCTCTGGTTACAAAGTTGGTTGGACAGTGTTCTCGAAGCTACCAGCATGAGTTTGACCAGACTGCAGGAGGACAGGAAGACTGGAGTGCCTGGAACAGGTGAGGCTGCAGGTCCCTTATTTTGGCTGCTGGTCCCTTATTTTCAAGGCTGCTGGTCCCTTATTTTCAAATCTGTAAGTTGACAGCTATGCTTTGTTTAATTAGGAAGCATCTCTGAGTGATTGACAACGCAACAGAAACATGCACCTACCTCTCTTCCAGAAAGCGCCAAACCCCAGTATCGCCACCAGCGCCAGCATCTTAATCCCCAAGGCGGCAAACAAGAGGACCAGGACCCAGGAGCTGCCCCCAGCTCTGAATTTATAGAAGTATACGGCCCCCTCTGCTCTTCCCAAGCTGTTAACAGCTGTGCAGGTGTATTTCCCATCGTGTGTCAGGCGCTGAAGTTCCTTGGTTATCTGGTGGGCTGCAGTTGAAGCCGAGGTGATGTTGTCGGAGGGAGGACCGGCCCACGTCAGGGTGGGCAGAGGCTCCCCTTCGGCTGTGCACTTTGCGTGGAAAGCGTGGTCCTGGCTGGTCTGGACGGAGATGTTAACGATCCTGGGGGGAGCTGCAGAAAGTCCCAAAATATGAACACAATGCAAATACAGTGGTACCTCGGTTTAAGAACAGCTTAATTTATGAACTACTACTACTACTACTAATATAATTTATTATTTATACCCTGCCCATTTGGCTGGGCTTCCCCAGCCCCCCTGGCCGGCTTCCAACAAAATATTAAAATACTGTAATGCATGCGGGACATGTTCTGCTTCCAAGGCAAATTTCCCAAACCAAAACATCTACTTTTGGGTTTGCAGCATTCAAAGTGTTGGTGCTGACCTTTAAAGCCCTAAACGGCCTCGGTCCTGTATACCTGAAGGAGCGTCTCCACCCCCATCGTTCTGCCCGGACACTGAGATCAAGCACCAAGGGCCTTCTGGTGGTTCCCTCATTGCGAGAAGTGAGGTTACAGGGAACCAGACAGAGGGCCTTCTCAGTGGTGGCGCCCGCCCTGTGGAACGCCCTCCCTTCAGATGTGAAGGAAATAAGCAGCTATCTTATCTTTAAAAGACATCTGAAGGCAGCCCTGTTCAGGGAAGTTTTTAATATTTAATGCTGTATTGTTTTTAACACTTGATTGGGAGCCGCCCAGAGTGGCTGGGGAGACTCAGCCAGATGGGCGGGGTATAAATAATAAATTATTATTATTATTATTATTATTATTATTATTATTATTATTATTACCACCCTGCCTTTCACTCAGTTTGGGACCCGCCCTGCTTACCACAAAGCAGGACAGTCGCTGCCAAGCCTGCTTCTTTCATATTGCCCTCCTCCCTTGCCCCAAAATGGGCAGGCGAATGGGCAGGACGTTGAACAGGAACAGAGGCAATAGACTGTGGATGCCACTGCTGGGTTTGGACCTCACTGAGTGCCAACCTCTATGCCAACCTTTCACACTGTCCATCCATTTCCAGCTCTTCTCCCTCCCCTCTCTATTGGATCTGACGTTCCTCTCACCGATGAGATGGAGCCTGAGTCCCATCCTGCTCTCATACTTGTCGTGGAAATCCCCAGAGAACTCGACCCGGCAGAAGTATCTGTTCTTGTCGTTCCACGTCAGGCTGTTGATCTGGAGCGAGAGGTTGTTCTGCCTCGGGTTCCCCAGGAGCTTGTATCTGCCCTCCGAGCCGACGGTGGTTTTGCAGGGGTCGCTTGAGCTGTGGGAAACACACTTGAAAACAACGGCTCCGTTGAAAGGCTCCTTGACCCGCCAAATGGCTGTCAGGGTCTGGTCGTTGGTGTTCTGTGGGTGTGTGAATGTGCAGGGCAAGGCAACTGCCTTGCCGATTTCACCGGTTACCTCTGACGGGATGTGCATGGACCAGCCTTTGGAAGAAACACCTGGAAGGGAAAGCATTGATGATCTTTAGTTAACCAAGAAAACCCCACACCGGTTCCTACCCTGTCTGACCCAAACTCCGCCGTATCAAGCAGTTGGTCCCTTACCTTTCTTGCCCTGATCTGGCCGCAGTGATCCATGCGACAGTCGCCTCCAGGCTTGATTATTGTAACTTGCTCTATGCGGGGCTGCCCTTGAAGCTGACCCAGAAACTCCAGCAGGTGCAGAATGTTGTGGCAAGGCTCCTTATGGGGTCCTTGCTGCAGGATCACATTCATCCAGTGCTTTACCAACTGCACTGGCTCCCGGTGGAGTACAGGGTCAGGTTTAAGGTGCTAGTTTTGACCTTTAAAGCCCTTCACGGCCTAGGACCCACGTACCTACGGGACTGCTTCTCCTGGTATGCCCTGCGGAGGACCTTAAGGTCCACAAATAACAACATTTTGGAGGTCCCAAGTCACAAGGTGGTTAGATTGGTCTCAACTAGGGCCAGGGCCTTTTCAGTACTGGCCCCGACTTGGTGGAACGCTCTGCCACAAGAGACTAGGGCCCTGCAGGACTTGACATCTTTCCACAGGGCCTGCAAGACAGAGCTGTTCCACCTGGCCTTTGGTTTGGACTCAGTCTGACCCTTATGTTTCCCTCCCCCCTTATGGTTTTGATCTATGGGTTACTTTTAAAATGAGGTTGCATTTTAAATTGCATTTTAACCTGTATTTTAAATTGGTCCCCCCCCCATTATGTTTTTACTGTTGTTAGCCACCCTGAGCCTGGCTCTGGCGGGGGGTATAAATAAAATTTATTATTATTATTATTATTATTATTATTATTATTATTATATTTTTGAGCGCACAACTGAAAGTGGAATGTGGGAATGTGACAAAGTAAGTGTTTGCAAAGGAATGATCTCATACAGGGATGGTTGTAAGGGAGCCAGGAATGACAACAGTTCCCATCAACATGGCGGGCAGAGTTCAGGGCAAGGCTCAAATTACAGAGGGGTCAAGGCAGAGCATAATAGAACCATAGAATTGTAGAGTTGGAAGGGACCTTGATGCTTGTCTTGCAAGATTGGCTGGCTCCTTTAGCTGGTATTTTTTAGGAAGGTTACAATAAACATAGTTTGTCAGAAATTGGGGGAGGAGAGTGTGGGGTTGGGGCTTGTGGATTAAAAAGAAGAAGAAGCTAGGATATTCACAAGCTGTGTGCAGTTGCACAGATGCCCTTTGCTTTCATTTCTCAGCTCTCTTTGAGTGCGCAAGGAATCAAACCCGGAAGCTGCAGTCAGCTATGGCTTCCCATTACGTGAAAACCAAGAAACCATGGTTAAGGGTTTCCAAACAAGTGAGAAGCCACGGTACACAGTGGATTGTGTGGATGCTGCTGCATTCTGTCTAAGGCAGAGTAACAGCAGACGAAGATTGCTGTTGGAGCAGGCCAAAGACCCATCACAGTCCATCATCCTGTTGCCATAGTGACTAGCCAGATGCCTGCAGGAAGTCTGAAAGGAGGACCTGATCCCAACAACGCCCCATTTGGGATTCCCAGCAGCTGGTATTCAGAGGAAACATTGCTTCAACAGGAAGAACATAGTCAGCAGGACCAGCAGCCGTTGATAGAGCTCCATTGGCTACCAATAAGTTTTTGATCAAGACCTGCAACATCTTGGGTTTTGCCCTCCATTCTGTCCCACAGGGAATTGGGCAATTCCAAGAACAACGTAAGGACGAGAGGGGGAAAGTTTTCCCAAAGCAAAACTCACCTTTCTTAAGAAAGCAAAGCAGACATGCGAGCAAGAAGCTAGTGCCTTCCATCTTCTGGGCTTGCTCCACGGTGAAGCTTGTTTGCTGATCTGATCAGATCCACTCTTTGTTTGCTGTTGGGTAAAATGCTGAAGCAGTGATTCCACTCTGCAGAATGAATGTGACTGGACTTCCCTTATCCTGGAAAATATGCGTCGTTCACATGGCTGGCCAGCTGATGAGTCTTCTTGCTAGCCATGCTGGGATGAGTGTAAAAGCCATCGCAGAGAAAAGCCATTGGGTTCTTCCACTCCCAACCCTTCCTCCCCCTTTCTGTTTAACCAGGGTGAACGCAAGTGATGAAATGACTTGGGTAAACTAGTGCTGTGCTGAAAATGTCTCCCTTAAAAAACCCCCAACCCTTCGTCAATTAATGAGAAAATGAATGAGAAACTACATTGCATACATGAAAGGGATGTGGGTGGCACTGTGGGTTAAACCACAGAGCCTAGGACTTGCCAATCAGAAGGTCGGCGGATGGAATCCCCGCGACGGGGTGAGCTCCCATTGCTCGGTCCCTGCTCCTGCCAACCTAGCAGTTCAAAAGCACGTCAAAGTGCAAGTAGATAAATAGGTACCGCTCTGGCGGGAAGGTAAACGGCGTTTCCGTGTGCTGCTCTGGTTCGCCAGAAGCGGCTCTGTCATACTGGCCACATGACCCGGAAGCTGTACACCGGCTCCCTCGGCCAATAAAGCGAGATGAGCGCCGCAACCCCAGATTTGGCCACGACAGGACCTAATGGTCAGGGGTCCCTTTATCTTTACCTTTAAAGCGCCACAGTAAGTGTTCTAATGTGCTTTGGAAAGCTTTGGTCGTGGCATTGCAGTCTTCTTGCAATCTCTTATCTGTTCCTTTTCTGATACAGTCCTTTGGCCCCTTGAAAGGAGTGAGCATGGTTATCTTGATGCACCAGCCCTCTTAATGAGCATGTGGTTTTCTGGTCCTCCTGTGTTTTACTCCACGAAGGCAGTGAGACACAATTGTGGTGCTAAGAAGTGAGCTTTTTGCCACAAGGGGGCAGTGGGGCTTGAAGGAGATGCCGTGAACTTGAGTAGGACTTACCCCCAAGAAAATGGCCTTGCCGGGTGGCGGGGAGGGGAAACGTACGCAAAATAGGGAGCCCGAGGCACTGCGCAGCTCATTCTGCCAGGTTTTATGTGAAATCGAAGAAGCTTATCTGGCTCTAAGTAGAGTGACTTCTGGAGCAAAAAGGAAGTGGAACCCTACAGGATCAGGCCAACGGCCTATCAGGTCCAGCAGTCTGTTCTCACAGTGGTCAGCCAGATAGTTATGGCAAGCAGCTGGCATTCAGGGGGCAGGCTGACAGTGGCCGGAGAATGTAGCCATAATGGCAAGTAGTGGCTGATAGCCGTATCCACAATGAATTTCTCTAATCCTCTTTTTCTTTTTTTTGAATAATTTTTATTAAGAATTTCAACATCACAATTTATCAAAAACATATCGTCTTCTCTCCCTCCCCACAATTTCCCCTCCCTCCTCCCTGAGATTACCAGATGGGCAGAATAGGCACTGGCCTGTGGGCCCCATGCCTTTTAGGGGCAACGGATCAAAACAATATTGATTTGATCTTGAAATAAAATTACAATCAAGTATTAGGAGATAATTTGCAAGCCCCCCCCCCGAGATTTCGCCTGTCTAGGTGCCTCCACAGGGTCTAATTTTGCACTGCTTTCCAACTCTACAATTCTACGATGCTACAAGTCATTCACCTAGTTATCTTTCTCAATCTTTACATGTATTCTGTAATTTTGCCTGCCGCCACCCTGATCTCCGAGTGGCGTGAGATTCCAGGGGTTCCAGGCAAGTGTTCACATTTCCTTTTGGAAATGAGGCACAGTGAATAGGATTTATTTGCAAGAACCTAGGGTTTGCTGATCAGAAGGTCGGTGGTTTGAATCCCCGCGATGGGGTGAGCTCCTGTTGCTCGGTCCCAGCTCCTGCCAACCTAACAGTTCAAAAGCACGTCAAAGTGCAAGTAGATAAATAGGTACCGCTCCGGTGGGAAGGTAAACAGTGTTTCCATTCGCTGCTCTCGTTCACCAGAAGCGACTTAGTCAAGTTGGCCACATGACCCGGAAGCTGTACGCTGGCTCCCTCGGCCAATAAAGCGAGATGAGCGCTGCAACCCCAGAGTCAGTCACGACTGGACCTAATGATCAGGGGTCCCTTTACCTTTTTATATACGGTCTGAGCCTGCCATGGAGGGTTTCACAGCCTTCCTGACATCGCCACAGCCTTGGATTCAAGCAGAAATAAAACATTAACTCCAAGTGCTTCTCTTTCTCTCCCCAGCACGCTGCTTTGCTTCTAGCTCACATCACGGCAATCCAACTCTAAACTCAGGCTTTGCCCTATTCCTTGTTCTCCTTAATGGCCCGTCACCCAGTCTATATCACTGCGACACAGGGAGAAATCCTGGCTTATATTTTAACATTTGCCGAATCCAGGAGTTAGAAGGATCTTGCTTACAGCCGACTGCCCCCCGCCCCGCAAACTCATAACAATATTTTAATGGCTGAAGAGACTGTTGATAAAGCCTGCCCTGCCCAACTTTGCAAATCTCCAAGCTGTAAATTGCAGGCTCAAATACTTTTGTGCTCAATAAAAAAAAAAAAAAAAATTGCCCAGCCCTTCGCCGCAGTGAGGGGGTGAATCGGAAAGGGCAGTGGAATTTTTCCCTTTTTTGCCAGAGGGGAAAATTCCAGTCAGCTGTGTCATGGCGCTTCAGAAAGTGGGGATCTGAGGTGGAGCTATGCTAACCTTTCCTTTGTGTGCATTTGACCCCCCATGCAGCCAAGAAAATGTTGAATGTTGAATTTTTCTTGGGGGGGTGTGTGTGTGTGTGTTAGGGAAGGATTATCGGGCCCGGCAGCCTTCCACCCTCCATAGTGCGGCAGTGGCTCTTGGTTTCCATGGCGACAGACTTGCCGCCATCTTTTTTCCTCGCAGTGGAACTTCTGGAGGGGGGTTACGAATTTCACATTGTGGCAGCAGTTGCTAGTTCCAGGCTTTAAATACCGATTTGCATTCATTCGAGCTTCAAATGGGGTTATTATTGCAATATTCGTATTCTGTTCAGACACACCTGCCACAATTCTCTTGGCAGGAGTTCAGGGCCTTGAACAGCCAACAAGCAAAAATTCAAAGATGGGAAG